TCGAAACAAAAGATTCGTAAAGGTTTCAAAGCTTCATGAAGCGGTGCGTCGAAATCAGCCATCACTGTTACGAGAAAATCACCACAGCATTAACAGAAATTGTGCTCTGTTTAACCACCGCAAATAAAGTAGACAATAGAGTGTGATATGAACGTTGTAATGTAAAGTCTGAGAAGAACATAAATTAGCAGGACATAGTCAAAGAGGAAGAAAAACACAACCTGTTCTCATCTATAAGTGAATATGATTTTATGTCATGCATAAGCTAGGACTTTTTATTTTGACAGAAGAGCCGCTTTTGCATCACCTGCAGAGCTGGATTTAATTACAACAAACAATTTCAGGAAAAAAAAAGATATATATTTGTAGCACCACAGACAGAAGGAAATAGCACCTAGTTTGGGAATGTTGTGTTTCCTCGGTGTGCTCTTCTGATACAGGGAAACACTGATTCATCAACGTCAGTCCAGCCGCTGCAACATGACAGCTAGCAAATGAACGCTCATGTTACGGCTGATTCCTACTTTTATTGTCATCTTGTTACAAAAAGACGTTGGCTTATCTGCAATCTTCTAAGCATTTGGTTGTTGCTGCACCTTATTTTCTTTTCCTCAGATTCACAGAAAGTTCTTTATTTTTTTGAGGGAAATGTATTTATTTATTGATTTTGTTTATTCCAATAACCAGAAGCTCTGTCCTTATCGCTCAATGGGTTCACATGCATGTTTTGAAGCCAGAAAAAAAAAACACTTCACCAAAGAGAAAAAAATATACAGAAAGTACTTACAAACATAGAAAAAAAATATTTATATATATTTATATATATAATCACCATTCCAGGGAATGGAAGACAAGTATGCACAAAAGCTTAAAGTGGAAAGAGGAACAACGTAAACCCAAGCAAACAAACCAACTGAAAGGCTTTCTCGATCTGAGCACCGGACGCGCGTTGAGCTACAAATCCAAGAGGAATCTAATCTGTCTATACAGCCTGTGGTAGGGGCGAAGAGTAAAGTGGGCGGGGCTTGGAGAGACACGAGCGATGACCTCATCCAGTTTCAAAACTTGCATGTGATGCAGAGGGTACACTGAGGTTAAAAAGGTTGCTTTACGAACCCATTGTTTTAGACATCCGTTCTTTCTTCAAATTTCTTACTTTGGTATGGGTTGGGTTTGTTTGGAAACACGAAAACTTTACAAATAAGTCGTCCTATTTCTTTCTTGTGTTTTGTTTTGGTTTTTTTTTTGGAGAAGATGAATATGTTTTGTTTTTGAGCAGTCTTAACCGATGAAGCAGGCTGGTCCGACCTCAAAGCCGAACTTCTGCGTCGCTCCGCCGAAATCGTTGAACATAATGTCAACAAACGGTACCTGCTCCACTTTCGGTGTGTTGATCTCAAGAATAGTCTTTTCATAGCCCTTTTTCAACTGCGGAGGAGGAGAAAACCAACATTACTGAGCAATTCCAGCATTATGGATGTTACATATGCAGTAAAAACTCAAAACATAAATGCACATAGAAAGTTTATGTTAACATTATTTTGAAACATTGGTTTATATTTTTAGCAAAAAAAAAAAAAAAAAAACCAAAGCTATAGGGTCAGAAAAATATGAATCCATAAACATTTTTAGATTTTAAAGAAGGAAAATAAACATGCGTTATGGATCTGACTAAAAAAAGTGTAGAGTTAACCACATACTTTGTAGAAATTCTATTAATTAAACTGGACAACTCAAAAGAAACACTGATACTGTAATGAAAAGGAGAAGTGTTAACTCACTATAGAACAGAGATGATTGATTTTTTTTATTTAACATTTTTGCATTTATGAGGACAAAAGCTTTATTATGGATGTGACACAACTCTGTGATGGATGTGACTGATGTGAAATTGGCACTTGTGTGACCCAAAAAAATCTAATATTATTGTTTGAATAATATTCATATTGTTTGAATGGGAAACATTGATTTTTTTGAGAATTCTGCTGTCCTGTAAAATACAAGCCTACACAAAAGCCTACACACTTAGTAAGGGTTTCGCTTGTTTGGTAAAAACTTTTGTTTAACAGTTTGTAAACAGGAAACAGTGCTTTATAAACATGTAAAGTGTTTAAAACATTGATGCTACCATCAAATATGAACTCTCCGTGATTCAATGAAATACAGCTCAATTTGATCATTGATTATTCTATTTGTAAACAATTTGTAAATGTTTGGAAAGCAGAGAAAAAACGTTTTCATGGCGAGGTTGACATTTGCATGGAATTGCTCTTTCACAATGCTGATGAAAGATTTCCATCCTATATTTTTAAATTGACCACTTTAAATTGCTAAAAATGTATATATATATATATATTAAAAAAACATTTTAAAAGTATTTTTCATGCAGATTTAATGTTGAATGTTTTATGAATAGATTCATTTTATAGCATGCAGCATTTAAATTGATTTGCAAAGAGGTTTAATATAGCTCAGAGGTAGAATGAATGTATTTTCATAGCAAATTTACTATATACATATATTAATTACATATATATATATATATATATATATATATATATATATATATATATATATATATATATATATATAAAATGTATGTGTGTGTGTGTTTTTTATTTTTAAGATGACAATAACACCTTGTTTTAAGTTACATGATAATATTTGTAGAAATAGGCAACAATAGCCTGTACAGGTCAAAATTATATATTTTTTATTCCAAAAATAATTTAAATATTAAAGATCCTGAATACCATAAATCTAGTAAGGCCTAACGTTTGATTGATAAAATATAGTGCCAAGAACTTAATCTGTAAAAATGTAAAGGGGATTTTCTCAATATTTTTTTAACCCCCAGATTGTCAAATAGTTGTTTCTCAGCCAAATATTGTCCTGTCAATAGAAAGCTTTTTATTTAGTGTTCTTATGTTGCATGTATATATTTTTGACATTGGCCAAAAATACATTATAAGGGTCAAAATGATCCATTTTTCATGGCAGAAATCTGTTAAATATTAAGATCATGTTCTGTAAAGATATAAATACACTGAATATATCCAAACTCAATTTTTAACTAGTAATAGACGCATTTCACAAGTCATTTTTCATTGTCATCAGCATCTGAAATCCTTGAAAATTTTTAATATCTAGATTTTTAAAAAAATTACATTTATATGTATTTATGTATGGATTATATCTTAGCATCAAATTGCAAAAACGCATGCTTATGTGAGCGTTTGAGTGTAGAACAGTAAATTTGACGTTATTCTCTCTCTCTTCTGGCTGCATTATAAGTCTCACACTATTTATTTCCCTTTTTTTCCTGAAAGTCTTGATAACCCCATTGTGGAGTTTTTCTTTTATTATTTCAGCAAACAGGACTGTAAAGTAATGATTTGTTGTACTCTCCCATTCACTGTGCTCCGTTCACCCAGAAAAGAGTCCCAGAAAGAGTCCATTTGCATTGCTAAAATCCTAATTTAGACAACTTTTAAGGTGATTTTGCTCAAGTTTAGATTTTTTTTTTAACCCGGCCAAATATTGTTCAATCCTAACAAAGTATACATCAATAAAACATTTATTTCTTGTACTTTAAGTTAATGTATAAATCTTAAAATTTCCAAAAATTTACACTTTTGACTGGTTTTGTAGTCCAGAATGTGAAATCTTTGCGTGTCTTACCGCGCAGCCGTCGACTACGGCTCTGATGTACGGGTTATTATCGTAAGACATCTCCTCGTCATTGGAGCCCAGGAAGCGGATGGCTTTATCGTAAGAGTCCTGGTCTTGGTCGTGCCAGGCCACAGACTGGTAACAGTTGTAGGTGAGGTTCTGCCGGGCCGTGGCACTGAGCAAACGCAGGAACGTCATCTGCACCACACCGATGGCATTGCCCTCCGCATCCACATACGAGAGCTGAACAGACAAACACACAGAGCAGTGCACTTCACATAACCGCTGGACACACTATACACACATCTGCTGAAAACTACACACCACACCCTGCTTTATGATCAACTCTGAATATTTGAGTGATAGAAAATAGACTAAATATTGAATAAAATGTTTTTTTTTTTGATTCTATGATACATTATAGGCATGATTTACAGAAAACACCCAATAAAATGTCATTCAGGTTAACAATAGCGGTGTAATAGATGATAGTTGATGGGTTTGGTGGGTTATTAAAGGTGTTTCCTGTCCCTACTTGTTTAGCCTGCATTAATGCATTTAGCGTAAGCTCCACAATTAATCATCAAAAGATCGGATCTCAACAACCTTGCAAAATAAATAAGCAGTGGCACAAAAAAGGGGTATGCAGTATATGCGGCGCATAGGGGCGCCACACATGGGGGGCGCCATTGTGCCACAACAATTTTTTTAATTATCCATATTAAAAGTTTCAAATAGTATATATTAATAATTATATATATATATATATATATATATATATATATATATATATATATATAGTTAAAAATGTTTATTTAGTATTTTATACGCGTATAATATTGTATTTTATTACATTAAAAAATCATAAAATCATAAAAAAAATTTTATGAATTTATTATGTATCATATTGATTCATCAGGCCTTTTGGTAACTTCTTAGCTCAAATCTATTTTAGCTACAAACAAAGTTATAACATTTCAATTAAATAGAACATTTCACACAGTTTGTTTCTGTTTTTTTTTTTTACACTAAACATTAGACAGTCTTTTTTATTTCACTTTTAGCAGTTTCAGTCAATTGTTCTGGCAAAGACAGACCTTACACTTCTCAGTATGCATGTGAGAAGTAATCGCAATGTTCTTTTGCCCTTTAGGACTCCCATGTCTATGATTTTGTTTTGACAAATGTAGTACAAAAAGTCCAAAAGCAAGGCTAGTCAAGGTGCTATAATCATTTAGTAAGGTAAAATTAAACTGAGGCGAAATTTGGGGTGGTATGAGATGCATTTCTTTGCGACTTAACATGCTTATGTAAATATACCTTTTACTACTTCATACTATTTCAGTTGTGTTCAGAACTGCGAAACTGTATTTTTTGAAGTATATTGATATCTTTATGAAAAAATATCTTTAATTTATTGATGGAAATATTTTCCACATTTTATCACTTGCCTGTTTTAAAATATAGTTGGATTGAAGGGGGGCGCGGAAAAGTTGAAGCCGCATACCCATCAGTAAGTGTGCAGTTGCGCCCCTGTAAATAAGTGACGATGATTTGCATGTTTAATTGATCCTTTGAATCGCTGCAATTAAAATGGTGTTTGAAAAACGCAAAAATCAAGAAAGCGATTCAGTCTTTAGTGTTTTGAGTTAGTTATGAAGTTACAAACCAAATAACAAATGACACAGAAGTACTGGGAGAACAGTTTAGATATAACCGTCAATCACCGTCATATGCATTTAACTTGGCACTTTATAATGAAAGTTGAAGGCTGCAATTACATTATTTAACCAATTGGTTAAAATTAGCCAGCCATCAAAAACATGCCAGTGAATAATTCTTCAAAAATTACACATCTAGCAATGAAACGTGAAGTTTGAGTAAATAACTGAGTCATTTATTGAAAATGAGACTAAAAATAAATATGTGTTGGACAAATTATGTCTACATTTAGCGTTATCAGCAACAGTAGTAGTAGTAACAGTGAATTTTTTACAGTGCAGAATATTTGAATATTTATTTTTATTCAGCTGATTGTTTCTTCATTTTGTTTTTAATAAAATCACAGGTTCTAAGTTTTGTTTGGTAAAACCGAAAGTGTCTTGCAGTACTGTTTTTTTAATAAATAGAAAGCAAATTACATTTGTCTCCTCCCCTTTTTAGCTGATCTAAAAAATGGGCCAATCCGTGCTGTGAACCATAATGTGATCTGAACCGTGAGATTTGTGATCCGTTACACCCCTAGTTAACAATGTTTATGTAGCAAAATTTGCGAGGTATATTTAGAACAAGATTACGTATTAAAATATTTTAAAGATCACAGGCCCAAAATATGAATTGTGTCATTTTAAAGCTTTACTTTTCACCGTAATTCCCATTTGTCAATTTTACCCATTTGTCCACTATATGTTTTTATTTCATTCAAAATAAAAAGATAATCATGCTCACTTTATGTAATTTAATAAGTTCATCTTACAGTATGATTCATCTTTTTTTTTTTTTTAAATAACTTTGAATTGAAGTAATTTTAAGTCTTTTGTGATATACTGTTTAAGCCAGAATTATTAGCCCCCTTGAATTTTTTTCTTCTTTTTAAAATAGTTTCCAAATTATGTTTAACGGACCAAGGAAATTTCACAGTATGTCTGAAATATTTTTTCTTCTGGAGAAAGTCTTATTAGTTTTATTTCAGCTAGAATAAAAGCAGTTTTTATTTTTTTAAACACCATTTTAGGGACAAAATTATTAGCCCCTTTAAGCTATATTTTCTTTCAATAGTCTACAGAACAAACCATCATTATACAATAACTTGCCTAATTACCCTAACCTGCCTAGTTCACCTAATTAACCTTGTTAAGCCTTTAAATGTCACTTTAAGCTGTATAGAAGTGTCTTGAAAAATATTTAGTCAAATATTATTTAATGTCATCATGCCAAAGATAAAATAAATCAGTTATTAGAGATGAGATATTAAAACTATTATGCTTAGAAATGTGTTGAAAAAATCTCTCTGTTAAACATATACAGACTTCTACTGTATATGTTGAGAAAAACAGTTTCAGTTTTGGAAATTTGGTTTAACATCAAAATGGGACTTTTTACCCATATATCCTGCTATTACATCTTTGCCTCTCTAGTAGATGCATCTTGTTTAAAACAAAATTAGAATTAAATTGAAATTATTTATAAAATTATTAATAAATGTTATATACAGTTAAAGTCAGAATTATTAGCCCCTATATTAAATAAAAAATGTATTCTTCTAATTCTTCTAGTTTTCAGCTTAAAGTGACATTTAAAGGCTTAACTAGGTTAATTAGGCAAGTTATATAATGATGATTTGTTATGTGGACTATCAAAAAAAAAAATATATATATATATATATATATATATTGCTTAAGGGAGTTAATATAATTGAATAAAAAATGCTTTTATTCTAGCCGACATTCTCCAGAAGAAAAAATATAGAAAATACTGTGAAAAAAAAAAACATTCATTTTCTTTTCAGCTTAGTCCCTTTATTAATCTGGGGTTGCCACAGCGGAATGAACCGCCAACTTATCCAGCATATGTTTTATTCAGCGGATGCCCTTACAGCTGCAACCCATCGCGAAAAAGGGGAGAACATGCAAACTCCACACAGAAATGCCAACTGACGCAGCCGAGGCTCGAACCAGCGACTTTCATACTGTGAGGCGACAGTGCTACCCACTCCGCCACCGCGTCTTCTGAAAATTTCTTTAATCAATTAAATATCACTTGGGAAATATTTCAAAAAGAATAAATATTGCATGAGGGCTAATAATTTTGCACTCTTGTAACCTCTAAATGTCTTTAACTCTCACTTTTGATCAATATTAATGTATGTTTGCTAAATAAATAGTGTTTTTAATGCAGTTAAACCCCTTTTGCCAGTTCAGATCTGCTCTCTGCATGTATGAAACATCCAAATGAATTTTCTCATTCAAAGGTGGACGATAAGCTCATTTTGTCTGCGACTCCGGTGAAAAATCTCACTAATCTATTGAAATGAGCTGAACTCGTTAATATGCAGATTCGCTCTTTGTGGTGTGATGCAACATTTGCATTACAGAAAATATGCAAATGCTTTGTTTTCATTCTTGAAAATACCAACCCATGTTTAGAAGAAAACTCCATCGCCGACGATCCACAAACACACACGCGTGACTGACTGAGAACGAGCACATGCTTCATGCACACTCACACATATACTTACGACCGGGAGCTCCTCTCATACACGCTTTTGCCATGACCCTTCATGCATTCATGCAAAAACCCACCATGAGCACATTACCTCACCAGCACAGCTGCATGGCAACAGACTGACCCCTGAAGCCCGGTGAAGAGACTGACACAAACACATACCACAGGCTCTGTCCAAACACTAGTGAGAATCCAGCAGATCAACTAAATCCCCAGAGTGACTAAATTGAGCGTCTTGTCATTGGTAGCAGTTTAAATATAATCAAAATAATCATGTAAAGACAAATCTAACTAGACTAAGGTTCAATGTTGTGTTTGCATATTGCTAATAACTAAAAGCTCTACATCATCAATATCAATAGGGCTAAATAGTGACAGTAATAACAATATTATTATCATTAGCATGTACATTTTATGAATATTAACATTATTATGGCGAAATAAGAGTTTTATTGTTCAATCATTTCTAATAAGCTGATCTTTAATATTAAATGTAAGCATATTTCGGCCTGTTTTGAATGATTAGTTGAGGACCATTTTTAATAATGTTTTGGCCAAAAAAAGTCATATTACAATTCTAATAATAACAAAAATATTTTAATAAATTTAAATATTTTTGGTGAGCAAAATTAACTATAATTGTAATTAATTATTACAGAAAATTATGTAATTATGTTAAAAAAAGACTTTTTGCTGAATAAAAATGATCTGACCAACAGATAAGTGCTTTAAAAATGTCATATAACACTAATATTATTAATAATCATAATAATTAAGACCATAAAATACAATAAAAGCATCTGTTATGATGAGACTATACAGTAATAACTATATTATTATCATTAGCATATACATTTTATAGAAAATATTTACATTATTATGGTGAAAAAGGAGTTTTATTGTTCAATCATTTCTAATAAGCTTATCATTAATATTAAATGTAAGCATAATTCTGTCTGTTTTGAATGAACAGTTGAGGACAATTTTCAATAATTTTTTATTAATTTGACTTAATTATGACTTAATTTTTAAGTCATATTACAATTATAATGATAACAAAAATGTCATTTTAATAAATTAAATTTAAAGAAATATTGTTCGTGAGCAAATATAATTATAATTGTAATACATTATTACAGAAAATAATAATAACAGTTGTTGTTTTATTTTTAAATAAAGATTTATAAAAATTGTTAAATTAAAAATGATCTGACCAACAGATAAACCTAAAAATGCTTTAAAAAATGTCATATAACAGTAATATTATCAATAATTATGATAATTAGACCATTAAATACATAAAATGCATCTGTTGTTATGATGAAATGAGGCTATACAGTAATAACATTATTATCATTAGCATATACGTTTTATTAATAAACATAATAATTGTATTGTTTAATCATTGCAGAAAAGTTCATTATGAATATTAATGTAAAAGTGTAGTTCTGCCTGTTTTGAATGAATTGTTTTTCGGATCTCAGCAGCATTTGGAGCAGAAGCGCAGTCATGTGTTGATCAACTCAGTCACTTCAAGCTGATTTCCTCAGACGTACAGCAACAGAAGAGCGGCTGGACTGATCAGTCAAGCAGATTTACAAACAAATGAAAGTCCACATGAAGTCTGTAATGACTGTTTTACTAGTGCTTATTGTTAGTGTTTATGTGAACAATTATTTTGTGTAGGTGAATCCACTGATGATAAAAAAAGGTTTATTTTGATAATCTTTAATCAAGATATGTCTGTAATGCATCAGTTTGATGGTCAGAGTGAAATATGTTTAGCCACGCCCATCCAACCATTAACCCTTAGCATTTTTGCCCCATAAACTTACATTTATATGCGTGTGAATCCAGCAGACCCGAAACGCCAGTTTGAGTGACAAGTTTCACATGTGAGACCTAGAAGATCCAAACGTGACCTCTCAGGACAGAAATTTGTTTAATTGATATCTAATCATCTAGTTGTATCCCGGCCCATTCTGATCAAATTTCACATGCTCAATTGCTAGCTTTAGTCTGCTGCAAGAAAAAGATGAGAGGTGGCAAAAATAACAACCCAGGCTCATTGTGGAAACGTAGTCCCGCGGACGTTTCTGGAGACCGCGGAATACGTCCCGGCAGGTACGTACGGCTGCAGTTTTTGTTTTTGCGAATCCGCGAGAGGCCGCTGTTGTGCGCTTTTTCGCATCTCAGACGCCTCTCGCGAGTGCAGTTCGCGCCCGCGCTGTTCTCGCGTGAACCCACCAGAGGCCGCTGTCCGACTGACCGGATGATTGACTGCGCGACCGGCCAATCGGCTGACCCGCCCTCCTCCTTCCCTGAACCCAACCAATTTTACCGATGGACCCGCTCGCTTCCATAAACCCGAGCAACAGTTTACAAAAGCCGTCCAAAAAAAGAAAAGCCCTCTTTATTTTTTTTTTCTACCGCGTTTTCGGATTTCGCCGCGTTCTCACCCTGTTACAAAACTCGTTCACTTAATTTTTGGGATTCTGTTTTCGTCTTACCTGATTGCTGGAACCGCTCTTCCCCAGACTCGAAACCGATCGCCGTGGTCAACTCCTCTCTGCATCTCGAGCCTGCCGACACACGGTGAGCTGAGTGGACAAGCGGGTTGCAGCGGGGAAGCCTTCCACAAGGAGGTAAGCGGTCGGCCGGCCGGCCGGCAAGCGCGAAAGGGAACAGTGTCACACCGCCCCGCAGCGTTCGCTTGAAAAAATAAATGCAGCCGTACGTACCTCCCGGGACGTATTCCGCTGTCTCCAGAAACATCCGAGGGACTACTTTTTCAGAATGAGCTTGGGTTGCAAAATAAAGTCCCTAATATTGCATTTCAGGTGGAAATACATCATTAAACGTATTAAAATGTGCATGAAAGTCTGCAGCAGATTCCAGTTCATGTGGACTTTATGCTTTTCTGAATTCAGACTGACTGACATCTCCATCCACAGTCCTCAGATTACCCATAAGTCTGAGCAAACACACATTGTTCTGAAGATGAACATGCTGTCATAAGCATGCAGAAGAGGCCGATCGTCCCCTGAACCGCTTTGGATTCACAGACGCTCTGATTGGCCCCTTCCCTCATGCACTCTTACTTACCATTGACCCTCTCTTGTAGCGACTATACCATGTGCCTGGACTGTCTTTGGGCCAGCGAGCCATTTTGCTCTGTAAAATAGGAGAGTGTTTCAGGAGGACAAGAAAGAGGAGTCACTCTTACCAGTTTACCACGTTTGTATTCACTGAACCAGGTGCCTGGATTCTCCTTCGGCCAGGAGGTGAGTCTGGCCTGAGAGACAGAGAGTCAACCGAGTCAGTGCTGGATTCTCAGAGCAACAGTATTCACATCTAATGGATTGTATGTAGCGCAGAGTAGATTAGCCACCGTTATTATTTAACATTTCAAACCACCAGATCAACAACTACTGTAACACAGTTCAGTCCTGTAAGCTGCTCTTTTGTACACAACTATAATTTGTATTGTATTAAATTGTATTATATTATACTATATTATATTATATTATATTATATAAAATTATAGTATATTATATTAAATTATATTATAGTATAGTATATTATATTATATTAAATTATATTATAGTATATTATATTATAGTATGTTATATTATATCATATAATAGTATATTTGATTATATTATATTATACAGTATTACATTGTAAAAAAGTTTTTTTAATGTATCTAAAATGATTAATAGAACATTCTTTTTATTATTTTCTCGTATGTGAACAAAGTAATTTTTTACAATTCGATTAAATATAGTGATATAATTATTGTAATGTTAGCATTTGAAACTAAGTGAACTTAGAAGTATATGTAATGTGTGTGTATATATATATATATATATATATATATATATATATATATATATATATATATATATATATATATATATATATATATATATATATATATATATCAAGAATTCAGATGCAAAAACCTCTAAGTGCCATCTGAATTCTTCTCCTAAAACTAGCATTTTTTTTAAGCTCCTATGTATAAGTTAAGAAATTTCCATTTTATGTCAATTAATATGTTATTTTTATTGCCTTTAAGGTGAAATAAGTGAACATTATTAAAGTAATTAGAAATAAAAATGGTAATTTTATATATGCAAAAACCTCTGAGTGCCTTCTGAAATTTTCTTCTATATATAATAAATGGCAATAATAGGCCGGCGATCTCTGATTTTGCTAAGCAAACAACAATGTTAATATCATAAAATATTTTATATGTGCAAAGTTGCTAAAATAAACCTGTTGTAAACCGTTAAAAAAAGGAGTACTTTTTTTTTTTTAATTCAATGTTTTTTTTTTGCCCAAAAAGGCATATTATAATTATAACAACAAAGTCATTTTAATTTATTAAAATATTTCGGTGAGCAAAATTAATTGATATTTTAGATATGATGTTTTAATTAATAATCATAGATAATTATGTAATCGTTTGATTTAAAAAAAAAAAAAGTAAAAAATGGTAAAAATCTTTTGCTGAATGAAAGTGTATCTGACCGATGAACCTAAAAATGCTAAAAGTCATAGAACACTAATATTAGTATTAATCATGGTAATTCGACCACATAATAAGAGTTTGTTATGAAGAGATGAGAACAGGCTGGAGAAGGTTATCTGTTGTCTGCCTCTGCTGGTGTGAAGAGTGAACCTGTAGAGGAACTCATGTTGGTTATTGAGGGTTAATTTTACACCCACAGAATGTCTATCAGTGACTCTTCCTTCAAACACAAATAAATGCAGAAAAAACTCATCACACTTCATACACAAACATCATTAAACTTACTATTATATAAGAGCCTTCACTATAATCAGCACTGAGATATTCTGGCCTGCCTATAGGTTTGGGTTGAGCAGACCTTTTTCAGCTATCAAAAAAGTACAGGCTGTTCAAGAAGTCATTCTGATGTAGTTCCCACAGATTCTCTCAGGACCAGAAAACCTCCAGCACATTCGCTCTGTAAAACTTAAGATGTGACCTTAAAGGTAATGTGACATATTGAACAGATTGGTATTTCTGTTCCTCTGCGCATGCTGAACAGATTCTCTCAGGAGCTTTTTCTGTAATACAGAGTGTGTGTGTGTGTGTGTGTGTGTGTGTGTGTGTGTGTGTGTGTGTGTTCCTCCTAATTTTGATGTGATTGATGTTGTGCATTGTGATTCTGTCATCAGTGCTGTTTTAGCCTAGATGTGGGGCTTGCGGGAAGTCGTTCCGAGCTGTTGTGCTTTGTTGCCATCAGAATATTCCTCACCCCTTCGCTCTTTTTATCGGGGAAGATGCAGCTCTCTCCACCTGCTGTGAAGTTACAGTACACTTTGAATGAGTCTCTGGAGCAGCCCTGGTTGGGATCAATCCAGTATTCACCTGAAAACAGACAGAACAGCAGAGCCTTTAAAAGCTGATGTAAATGCTTCCTTTTGGGTGGAAGCAAAAACACAAAAGTTTTTGTGTGTATCTCTTTAAATGCAAATGAGTTCTTTATCGTGCACATTCCAAAAGCGGGCGGAGCCTCGACAGCTTGTGCATAAAGCAACAACAGAAAAAGTTTGTTACTGCATTGCAATTCACATACTATCTGTCCTAAATAGTGTTCAACAGAATTATTCCCTCATTTATTTTCCTTCAGCGTAGTGCCTTTATTTTATCAGGGGTCGCCACAGCGGAAAAAAGCAGGAACTTATTCAGCATGTGTTTTACACAGCAGAGGTACAGAGGTCGATGCTTTTGACTACACTATTCGAAAGTGACCAAGATGGTCTGTTAATTCTGGAAATTCCAAGTGCATGCTCTAATGCAGGGGTCACCAATCTCAGTCCTGGATGGCCAGTGTCCCTGCAAGTTTTAGCTCCAACTTGCTTTCATAACCGTACGTTCACACCGAAAGCGGCGAGAGCGTCCAAGGTCGCTCTGGCCGCCCTGGCGACAACGCTCTCTGCCTTCAGCTCCGGCGGCGAGAGCGTCAAAACTCGCTACATTGATCTCGTATTTAAAGGAGCCGTTGCAGCATATCAGTTACATTCCTGCATAAAACATGTTTCTAGCGTGAAAATGTTGCGCACTTCTTATCAAATTCATACAACAATGGAAGATCAAGTTGCGTGTGGTGTGGCTTCGCTCTATTTATCCAATATGTGTCCATATGTCTGAACATCCTGAAGCAGCAGTACTGTCACATCGCGTGAGATTCCTGCTTTTTTAAGATAAATTTATATCACATTAATGAACATCAGTAAGTCGCCAGTAACTTATTTAATGCATGTTCCTGTAGGAAAAAATTTGAAATAATTAGAAATCCGGCGACCGCAATAATCAAACCCTTGGGAACAACTGTGGTCGGAACCAAAGTTCACAGGTCTGTGTTCTCTGAACTGCTATCAAGCGATGGACGTCTTCATTCTGATTGCTTGCCGCCGAACCGCATCATAGCTCATTACCATAAAGTTGACTTCATTTCAACTCTCCTTGACGCTCACGCCGGCAAAGACGCGCCGCGCTGCTCCTCGCCGCCTATCGCCGCCGGCTCTCATTGAAAATGAATGACTTCCGGCTACTTTGACGCTGTCGCCGCTTTCGGTGTGAACGTACGGTAATGCAAATCTTAAATTCATGCTAACCTACAAATGATCAAAGGAAATATATTTATGTAATATAAATATATAAAATATGAATTGATGTTTACTTTAAACTTTATTTATGTTGTTCCATTAAAAGATTTTGTCAAATAAAGATTTTACTAGAGTCTACCATAATTTTATGGCTCAAAAATATCAGTTCAGGCACCGTTTTGACATCAATACCATTTTAAAAGTATCAATTTTGCACCGTTATCGAAGTAAACCCAAACAATACCCAACACTAGTTCACACTAGCTAAATGTACAGTACTTTGGAGTCAAACGAACCCGAGTGTGGACCAAAAGTGCTAGTGTGAAAGGAGAGAACATACTGTATGAATAGGACACAACTGATGTCGGAAGGTCATGTGAAAATGACAACATCATTCATACTACTCATAATAATCCTATATGGAACATACTTTTCTGATGGTCCTGAAGTAATTCGAATGTAGTACTTCATCGAGTCGTATGTGATTTCAGACACAGCTAGTGTGTACCAGTGGAGTGACTAAAACTCTGCAAATCTGTTTCATGCTCAAACAGCAGCAATAAAAGACTTTTAAATAAAAAACTGTGTGTGTGTGTGTGTGTGTGTGTGTGTGTGTGTGTGTGTGTGTGTGTGTGTGAGAGACAACAAAAGAGTGCTACATACCATCTGGGAAGTCTGGGTGGCACAGCTGCAGGTCTTTGCAGGTGCGTGCGGGGTTACTCTCTGTGCCCAGCGGGTGTTTCATCTGCTCAATCTCCAGCTTCAGAGAGTTGAGAGAGCCAAATATTTCCTCCATGCCGTCTTCGTAGTCCTTGTAGTTGGCATCTGTTGCTTCGTCCATCACCTGGCTGGCATCAATGTTTCTCTTAGCCCGTTTCGGGGAAGACTGATAAGGCATAGGGTGGATGACATCACCTGGTGGACCCTAGAAATGAAGACATCCGTTAGTAATCACATGACAGGCCTTAAAAAGTTATGCCAATACAATATTTGTGTGGTTGCTAGGGTGTTGGTTGGCAGTTGCTAAGGTGTTCAATTAATCTGTGTAAGTTAATCCACTGAAAAAAAAGGTTGATTCGGTAATCTTTAATCAAGATCTGACCATTTGCTTCTTGCTGATGTCAGTTTGATGGCTTCAGACAAATTTCCTTAACCACGCCCCTCTTAATGTTGGTTTACTACAATGGAATTATAATATTAATATTCTGTTTCAGTTGGAAGTACATCAACATACTAAGATGTCTCTGCAACTTCTGGTTCACATAGACTTTAATGGTTGTCAGGGTCATCTATGTGGTTACTTGGGTGTTTCAAGTAATTGCTTAGTTGTGCAAAATATGCTATGACAAGATTTTGGTGGTGACCAAAGGCTGGTTTATACTTCTGCATCGAGCAATCATCGTTGCCTACGGTGCATGCCTTGTGTGTAGTCATGCATTTATACTTCTGCTCTGCAATAACACTTCTGAAACTCTAGCTGGCAGTAGGTTATGTTATGTTCCTCTGTATCAAGCTTCTTCACATGTGTTTTGCTTCTTCTGTACCTTCTCCTTCTCTACCTTAATGTACAAGTAGCTAAAACAGAGGCTGGAACTGGCGGATGTGCAACAATAATCATAAGGTGAACACATGACAAAAGTTTCCATCTGGAGCCCCTTCACAGGGCTCGACACTTGTAAAGACTTGCTCCAACAGGCTCGCTGCTCACAGCTCCGCCCACACTTGTCACAGGTACCAAGTTGACCAATCACAGAGCTTGCGTTACATGTCGTTGCGACTTGTAGTTACATTTTTTTTGAGAGGTACACGTCAGCATCGGCGAGGGTTATACGACCGCAAATAGTTTAAATCAGCCTTAAAGGGTTGCTAGTTAGTTGTTCTAAGTGACTGCTTGGATGTTTTTGGTGGTTGCTAGGGTGTTGCAAGAAAAAATACTGAGCTGTTACAAAATTGCTGGAAAACATGAGTGATGTTCTCAACACCACAATGTAGAAAGGTTACTAGGGTATTATGAGTAGCTGCTTTGATGTTCTGTGCAGTTGCTAGGGTTGCTGTAAATGGTTAAAAAAACATGAGTAGTGTTTATCTGTGCCAAACGCATCATCACAATTTTTGAGTGGTTGCTAGCAAAGTTATTTTGTTAAATAAAATCTCAAATTAAGACTATCAATTTTTATCAATTAAATTGGAGGTTTCGGGTTCAGTGTTTGTGTAATTACTTTTATTACTATGAAGATTGCACAAGAGTTAATGTAAGCTTTACAAACACTAAACACTGCTCTGGTCGACACTGAATGTGTTCCGTTATCTGTGCTAAACTAGAATTACTGAAGCGAAAAATATAAAAACTGAAAAGAAATGTGTTCACAAAATTAAAACTAAACTGAAACTAATAACACCATTAATGAAATGATCTAGACTAAACTGAAATGTAGATTTCAGTACAGCAAAAAAAATTGTATTGAAATAAAAAAAATGTAAAGCTATAATGCTGCGTTCACACCAGATGCAGATGACGTATCAAGTGCGAGTGATTAACATGTTAAGTCAATGCAAATATGCAAATAGACATCCTGTGGTGCGATTCGCGTAAATGTGCTGCCGCAAATGACGCAGCGTGAGTTGAGCGTTTTGTGCAAAGCACTGCGTTAACCAATCAGGAGCTTTCTCTTCTAGGGGCGTGGTTATGAAGTAGTCCCTGTTGTTGCTGTCCTGAGGCCGAATCCTCTTGCCGACAACGAACAACAGCTCATCAGACTGGGCATGTCTCAGTCTGAAGCACTGCTGAAAGACTCCATCATCCAGGTAAAGCTTCTGGAGGAGTTTTCACCTCTTAAAGTATCTACCTGATCCGAAACGGCGCCGAACTAATCTACACTGTTTTTCAGCCTTCCTAAATCACTTAAACAGCTATTCTCTCAATAAAATTCATGCCATTTAGCAACGAAGCTAGAGTCACCAGGCAGACAGAAGCCCTGCCCATGACACAAATTTGCATCTATTCTGAAATGAATTTGATGCACGAATGAAGCGAGTAAACTCAAAATGTTCCCTTGTCTATTTACGCACAAATAGCGCAATTTATTCCCACGTGCATGCTATATCTGGTGTTAACACAGCATAATAACCTTGGTTGCTAGAGTGTTGTGGTGTGGCTTTGCAGGCCAGCGGTATGCATAGTGTTGTCATTAGTTGCAATAGCATTACATTCACCACACTTCTGTTTCCTGTTCTGTCTCTGACTATAAATAAAAGTGGCAAAAGCCCAATAATAAAAAACTACTGTAATAAACCTGACAAATAAGCACATCTACAGTTATACATCTGAGCAATTAGAGGTTTACCCTCACACTAACTGAACACCTGCATCCCTCTCTGTCCCCTGAAGCTGTTGTGTGTGGATACAGATACCGATACAAGTTGTTGATATGAAAAATGTGGTTTTCTCATGGAAGCAATATCCACTGAATCTCTCTGAGGAAACTTAACAGATGTGGCTTACACCACATAATAGACCTCAATTACACTTGCATAACACCTACTGCACAGCCATCCCTTTAAATATCTGCTTATCTCACAGTGGGGGAAACACGTTTATGTCTTTGCTTTGTTTTAGAGTTTAGTTTTGTGTCTAAAAAAAAAAGTCACATACTGGAGGTCCTGGAGGTCCCGGTATTCCAGATTCTCCCTTCGGGCCAGTCTGACCCTATAGAGACAGAAGCAGATGCAGCTTTAATCGTCAAGTTAAACAAATCACAGCTAATTAAAATGATAATTAGATTAACAAGGACATGAATAACTTACACTGGATCCTTTAGCTCCTTTAGGACCAGGAGGACCCTGAAAAGAAGCAAAACACACAGATAGATCATGATGAAGTTAACCTTTAAATATTTATTTACCCTATAAATATATAATGGAGGCAGAAATGTTACCGGGAGTCCAGGAGGTCCAATGGGTCCGATAGGTCCAGAGGGTCCAGCAATACCCTGCAGAAGAAGAATGAATGGCAATCTTACTGGCAAGTAGTGTCTGTTTAGGTGGTTGCTTGGGTACTGTTGTTAAGGTATTCTGTGTGATTCACATGGTTGCTAGGGTTTTGCCAAGACATTCTGGATGGTTGTTAGGGGGTTTGGGAGATTCCTAGAATGTTGCTATGGTGTTGTTATGATTGGCAATCTAAATAGCAAGTACTGTCTCTTAGGTGGTTGTTTGGATGCTGTTGTTAAAGTGTTTGTGTGATTTACATGGTTGCTAGGGAATTGCCGGAACATTTTAGATGGTTGTTAGGGTTTTGCGAGGTTTCTAGGATGTTGCTAGGTTGTTGTAATAAATGGCAATCTGAACAGCAAGTACTGTCTTTTAAATAGTTGATCGGGTGCTGTTGTTAAGGTGTTCAGTGTGATTTACATGGTTGCTTGGGTATTGCTAGGACATTTTGGATGGTTGTTAGGGGGGTTTGGGAGGTTTCTAGGATGTTGCTAATGAGGTTGCTTGGGATTTGCTATGAATGGCAATCAGAGCGGCAAGTACTGTCTCTTAGGTGGTTGCTTGGGTGCTGTTGTTTAGGTGTTCTGTGTGATTTACATGGTTGCTAGGGTATTACTAAGACATTTTGGATGGTTGTTAGGGGGTTTTGCAGAGGTTTCTAGGATGTTGTTAGGGTGTTATGAATGGCAATCTGAATGGCAAGTAGTTTATTTTTGGTTGTTGATTGTGTGCTGTTGTTAAGGTGTTCTTTGTGATTTATATGGTTGCTATGGTATTGCTAGGACATTTTGGATGGTTGTTAAGGGTTTTGCGGAAGTTTCTAGAGTGTTGCTTACGAGGTTGCTAGGGTGTTGTTATGAATGTAAATCTAAATAGCAAGTACTGTGTTTTAAGTGGTTGCTTGGACGCTGTTGTTAAAGTGTTTGTGTGATTTACATGGTTGCTACGGTATTGCCAGGACATTTTAGATGGTTCTTAGGGGGTTTTGCGAGGTTTCTAGAATGTTGCTAGGGTGTTGTAATGAATGGAAAGTAGTGTCTTTTAAGTGGTTTCATGGGTGCTGTTGTTAAGATATTCTGCGTGTTTTGCGTGGTTGCTGGGGTATTGCTAGGACATTTTGGATGGTTGTTAAGCAATTTTGGGAGGTTTCTAGGATGTTGCCACTGAGGTTGCAAGGGTGTTGTTATGAATGGCAAGTAGTGTATTTTAGATGGTTGCTTGGGTGCTATGGTTAGGGTGTTGTGTGTGATTTACTTGGTTGCTAGGGTATTGCTAGGACATTTTGGATGGTTGTTAGAGGGTTTGGCAGATTTATACATATTATGAATTCCAATCTGAATAGCAAGTATTGTCTTTTAGGTGTTTGCTTGGATGCTGTTGGTAAGGTGTTCCGTGTGATTTACATCGTTACTATGGTATTGCTAGGACATTTTGGATGGTTAGGCGATTTTGGGAGGTTTCTGGGATGTTGCTAATGAGGTTGCTAGGGTATTGTTATAAAAAGTAATCTGAATGGCAAGTACTGTCTTTTAGGTGGTTGCCTGGGTACTACTGTTAAGATGTTCTGTGTGATTTAGATGGTTGCTAGGGTATTGCTCTGACATTTTGGATGGTTGTTAGGCAGTTGGGAAGGTTTCTAGGATGTTGATAATGAGGTTGCTAGGGTGTTGTTATGAATGGCAATCTGAATGGCAAGTAGTGTCTTACCCAGACAGCACACATACGTTGGGCCGACGTCGGCCGAAGGTCAACACGTCGGCCCCTTTAATTCTATCATCGGTATATGGTCGGCCAAACATACGCATGATCGTTCGGTCGTGTGTTCTATTGTTCCAGCTCAACAAACGTCGGCTCTGCATCGGTTAACGACCAGAGGCCGACGAAGCACTTCATAAGCACTTTATCTCTCATGCCCATGAAAGAATCCGGCAACATATTTGGTTTACAAGTAAGTTTTTGCGTGCATAATAAATTAGACAAACGCGAGATGCATCATGTCTACTGCGTCGGTCGGTCCAGCTTTAAATAGCCTACATTAATGCAGTTAAACTGACCAAAATGCCTACAATACATGATTTCAATTCATTAAAATATAAAAAGTTTTATTGTTATGCTTAAATAATGAAAACGTTGTTTTTCTGGTGTTAACTGCTGTTTGCTTTTTTTTTTATTGTGGCTTTTTCTAATACATTTTCCCTGTGTAAAAATCAAGTATGTTCTGCATTTCGGCTGTTTAATTAAAATAAACACCTTTTTACAGAGTGACATCTTTGTTTATATATATACTTGCATTTATATTTATTGGTTATTTATTTTTGACAGTGAATCTGATGCACAAATAAAGTGTTTGTTTTGTAACAGTTTAGTAGGCTATAAAGCTCGTCTTAAAGATAATAGTGTATATAAAACTGCTAAATACATTTTAAATTCAAGATATAAAATACAAGGTTATTATTTAAATTGTCTATGGAGTGATCATGTTTATAAATGTAATACTGCATGACTTTGATGTGCGCGCGCGCGTCTCATTTCAACACTTAAGCGGAGAGGATGTTGCTATGGGAAACGAAGCTACAACACGACACGACACCACCTAAAAGACACAACACGACTTCTCTCAAGCTGCCGTTTTGACTGTTTTCAGGTAAGTTTAGTCCCTAAAACAAAGCAAATAATACATAAAACTGTTCCTCACACATTTATTATTGGCAATTGATGAATATTCAGTTGAATAATATGTTATATAAGAGTGGTAAGTCTTCGTAAAAGTCCGTTAGCATATTAGCACTGGTAACTTTAGCGTCGTGGTAATATTACGTTAACTTACTTAGCTCTTGTTAAACTTGTTTGTTAAAGTTTTGGCTTTTATTTATTCTTTATGTGTAGATGAAAGGTTTTGTCAATGTTTTATTGAATGCACTTCATATGTAGTCTAAAATACGCATTGTTACGTTACTGTAAAGGAACGTGAATCAAAAGTTCAATCGTGTTTTGATATTTCATGGTATCTTAAACAAATGTTAAGTAAAAAAAGTGTTCTGTGGTTTCAGGAGTGAGAGAATAACCCCCTGCTACAGAAAATATAACACAAGATTCCTAAATTTCTGAAGGGAGCTGATCCCAGAGATGCAGGAAAGACAGGTAACTTTAAGCAGAGGATTAATTCATATGAATTTCCATTGCACATCATTATGCAAATGTTACATGTCTATATATTATGCATCTGTTACTTGTCTTTATTGCAGTTATTTTAAGAAAGTTTTGACATTGAAACATGTGAGTGGTATTAAATTTCACATCACATGATTCTTGAGAACTTAATAAATATGCAGATTTGCTGCTAATGAAGTAATATTTGTGATTTTCATTTTGTTTAATTTTTTTATGATTAATTGATTTATTAAATCTTAGAAAAAGTTCACACTAAATTATTTGTCATCACATCTGTTTTTAGCATTGATAGCAATCAGAAATGTTTCTTGAGCAGCAAATCAGCACCATTTGATAATCACCATTATATTAGTTCAACCTCAAGCACTAAATCAACATCTTAAAAAAAAGATTTCTGAAAGATCAAGTGACACTGAAGACTTGAGTAATGATGCTGAAAATTCAGCTTTACATCATAGCTATGAATTACATGTATATTTACACCGTTCACCCATCCCTTACACCTTAACTCATCCTCACACAAGTCAATTTAAGCCCTAAATGAATAAATTTTGATTTGTACAGGCATGATATGCAACTTGTATTCAGTCGTTTTGTTTTTTCTTTCTTTTGCTTTTGTTTTCCACATCAACTGAAAAGAAGGTCAAAGTTTAACCTAAGTGCCCTGTAGCTGATGAACATCTTTATATGTAAGTATATTTTTTCGACTGCCAGACACTTGTCAAACAGTGATGAGCAAACGAGGGGCCGTTATTTTAAAAAGATCAGGGAGATGCAAGTCTGGAGATTAATATACATTTTAATTCAAAATTGATTTATCTGGAAATATTTCATAATTTATTGAGATATGTGCCCTTTATGCATTTAGATGTCCATCCACGTTTAAAATACTTTTAAATTTAACAACGGCTGCAAGTTATAAAAACATAAACAAACACAAAAATGTTAAAGTAAATTGAGAAAACATTTTCATCAGTTTGACAACATACACAATCTCACAAATAGCATAGAAAAAGTGACAAAGCTCTCTTCTTTGTCTGTGTTTTATTACTCTCTTTGACTCTCGGCCACTGTATGTAACAGTGATTAGTATAATGTAACAGTAGACAGATGAGGAATGTGAATATGTAGTTTAACTTTAAGGAGCGTTACTACTGGAACCATTTTTTTGTACAAATATATATATATATATATATATATATATATATATATATATATATATATATATATATATATATATATATATATATGTATTGATTTACCTGTTAAAAAATTAAGCAAAAAAATAATTAAAAGGTAGATCAGCTCCTGACAGACATGTTAACAAATCAGTTTAACTCTTATTAAATTCATTCATTCATTCATTTTCTTTTCTGCGTAGTCCCTTTATTAATCTGGGGTAACCACAGCGGAATGAACTGTCAATTTATCCAGCATATGTTTTACGCAGTGGATGCCCTTCCAGCTACAAGCCATCACTGGGAAACAACCATATACGCTTATTCACACTCATACACTACAGACAATTTAGCCTACCCAATTCACCTGTTCCCCATGTCTTTGGACTTGTAGGCAAAACCGGAGCACCCAGAGAAAACCCACGCAAACGCAGGGAGAATTTGCAAACTCCACACAGAAATGCCAGCTGATCCAGCCGAGGCTCGAGTCAGCATCCTTGCTGTAAGGCGACAGCACTATTGTGCCACCACGTCACGCTCTTATTAAATTATATTTATATAATGTTGTGTTTCAGTACATGCTATTTTGGGAAGACAAAATATATTCATAAGCTCTCAGAAAATTCAATAAGACAATTAACTGCACAATTACTTGAAATGTGTGGATGGGATTACATTATTTGTTAACCCAAAGTGAGTTTCTCTTTCTTTGCAGTATTGGATGCCTGATTGCAGTTCAACTCCAAACTCAGTTGGACCAGCAGATCAGTGTCTTCAGTATTACCACAAGCTACTGGGCAGATGTGTGGACACGACAGCTATGAGCCAAACTTGGGACGTTTGGTTTTTAGGTAATACCAGTGACAAAGTATTCAGTAAATTGCTTATAATAAAAGATGCTCACTGCTTACCCCCTTATAGTTAAGTTGTTTGCAGTTTCATCGTTGTAAAAATACCATACTTTTTCCTTTTTTTATCAGTAGGTGGAGAGACCGTCTGGGCAGCAGAAACAAGACAACTAATCATAGTTGAGTTGAGATTAGTATTATTAACTTGACTAGTTTGGTTGCAGACTTGTTCAATACTTAACAATTTGTATAAGTTACAAGATCAATGGTCCTGCTATCAATGTTTTTGTAACTTAAATTCATTACAGTTTAGATACAATCAAATGTCCAAACCATCTCTGAGTGAATGACATCAAGGAAACAGGATCAAAAGATCATTCATTATAGACCGTTTCATAGGTAACAGCACATCCTTTGTGAAAAATTATTTATTTTTGTGTCATCATCACAAGACAAAATACATTTCAACTGATTTCAGTTGGTTATATTTTTCAGGTCATTCTGTTCTCCTGGTGGTGAGGATGTGCAGAGGCTGTATTTGTGCAGCTGTATTCACTCATACAAGTAGCCGACATAGAGTTCTGGAGCAGGACAGACAGGTAGTTCACAGTGGCTAGGCTAGAAGTTTATACTTTTATACAAAATACTCCGCTATTTTGGGGGGTCCATACAAATAAACCAGTGTAAGCTATACTATTGCACTGAAAAAATTAAATGAAAGAATTAATTAATCGGTTGAACACAAAATATTTTAAAGAAAGCTTGAGTATCATTGTATACATTATACATTGTATACATTGTAGTACATGAGCTGGCTAATACAGACTCGTAAATGTTTAGTTGTTAAGATTAGTTAAATACTAAATCCTATACTTGAGACCGGCTGCATATACAGCTTTAACTGAACTGAATTTAACTAGAACTACACCAGCATTCCAAGTGCTCTGGACTAGATTTTTGCTCTGGTGCCTCTAAAATGTTTGATGGCATTGCATTTAACACTGCAATTTTACATGTTAAAATCACAATCCATATAGGCAATATTGACTTGTAAATGATTAACAAAAATCGGGTCAACACACATAATGGGGATTGTGTGTAGAATTTTGAGGAAATTAATGAATTTAATCCATTTTGAAATAAGACTGAAACATTAAAAATGTGGAAAAAGTGAAGCGCTATCAATACTTTCCGGATGCATTGTATATGGTTTTTAAAAAAATAGTCCAACACTATCTACAGCAGCAAAAGACCCTCCACATCAAAAGCTACTGGTCAGCTCACGATTCAGCAAACATCTGAAAAACAAATAGCTTATTATGCCTTCACAAGAAATCAGTGTTTTTGTGTCTAATGAAGATAGTACTATTTTATTAAATTATTATTTAGCCTGGCATGTTTACTGTTACAAAATATTTTAAATGTTTCTTAAAATAAAACATATTGTGTTTAATGGGGAAAAAGTAGCTGTTTTTTACACAGAGATAAAAAAACACATTTCAGAGCAGTAATCACAATACTGTGAAACTGTGATATTTTTATCCAAGATTATACCCTCAGAATCTTATACCTGCTCATTCCTAGCCAGTTACTTAAAGCATTCAGTCAGAGTTTTTTTTTTTTTTTTTTCAGTTGTCCTATATTCTGTTTTTCTTTGTTCTTGGAAATGCTGCTGTGCATGAAAATGTGACGACATATCCAGGTTCTATAGTTAATTCTGAAATAAATCTTAAAATGAAACAATATTTAAAAATGCAGTATTTAATGTGTCAGACACTAAATAAACATGTCAATTCATTTATATTAATCTGATTCCTTAACAGGGCAGCACGGTGGCGCAGAGGGTAACACGTTTGCCTCACAGCAAGAAGGTCGCTGCTTCGAGCTTCGGCTGGGTCAGTTGGCGTTTCTGTGTGAAGTTTGCATGCTCTCCCCGTGTTAGCGTGGGTTTCCTCCGGGTGCTCCGGTTTTCCCAAGTCCAAAGACATAGGTGAATTGGGTATGCTAAAATTGACCATAGTGTATAAGTGTGTGTGAATGAGTGTGTATTGGTTGCAGCTGGAAGGGCATCCGCTGCGTAAAACATATGCTGGATATGTTGGCCTTTCATTCCGCTGTGGCGACCCCAGATTAATAAAGGGACTAAGCCCAAAAGAAAATGAATCCTTAACAGTTAATATTGGTATAATGAGCAGCAGTTGTCATTTATGTAAATTAACCATTTGAGCGTGCTTAGTTTGGGGTATGTTGTGCCATTAAATTGTCAATTGTCAATTTCTACATTTTAAATCTGCTTTAACTTTCTTCTTTCCTATGAACCAGGAAATATAAAATATATATTTTTTTGGTTTTTAACAAATTGCTTATTTTATTCTTAGATTGGTGTACGCTGATGGTCTGCTGAGAATTCTGCTGAGTTGAAGGGACAACCTCTCCAAAGTACAACAGGACTAGTAAGTAACATCTTAAACATACAATACTGTTTCATAGCTTTTAGGTTGGTATGGTAAATTCTCTTCTGATAGTGTCAGCTTTATTTAATTAATACAGTCAAGCAGTAATACTGTGAATTTAATACAATGTATATAATTAATAGTGTCACATGATCCTTCTGAAAAAAATAGTATTCCAATGGACTGATTCTCTCCTCAAGCTGTTTTTTTTAAATATAAAACATTTTAAATAGTATTCTTGATGTATGAAAAGTTTATTTTTAAGAGCATAGTATTTATTTAAAAAAAAAAAAAAGTTTGCTCTTTGATGATTGCTAACAATCAGACATGTTTCTTTAAAACAAAAAGAATTTGTGCAAAAAAGTATTCTCACTGAGCGTTGTCCAACTGTGGTCCAACACGTCATTTAAGTTTTCAAATAAGCCTAAAAGACTTGATTAGCTGCATCAGGTGCATTTAATTAGAGAGTTGAATATATAATTTCTTTATATATCCTCCTCTATAGCCTACATATAATTGTTTTTGTAGCAGAAATAAAGCTATGATTAGGCCGACCCGGATTTTTTGCAGAACTCCGCAGATGTTTAGCCTATCATTAATTCTGTTTATTTACTTGAGTAAATGTGTGTAAATCTATATTTATTCAGTTTTTTTATTAATTTCAGTAATATTATTGACTAATGTGAAAATGTTCATCTGATTTATGTACAATGAGGTTTGTACAGTAATATTTTCTGTCTTACTAGATATGTTATATGAAAAACTTGCTTTATTTACCAAATAAAGTGAATCTAATTGGATTTGCATTTTAAACATTAAAGAAAACTTAAAAATATATTATTTTTTTATTTCATATATTAAGGTTTTAGTTATGATACTCCCAAAATAATTCTGCAGAAATCCACAGACTTCCACCAAAATTTTCAGCAGAAATAGCAAAAAACATCCGCAGATTCCTCCTGGCCCTAGCTATGATATATTAAATGTGGTGTATAGTGTGACATTTTAGTTGACGAAACTTAGTTTAATTTGCATGTAATGTGGCATCTGAAGATTAGACATATATTTAGATACACATTTATACTAACACAATGATACTAAAAACCAGAAAAAAACATTCATTATGATTTCACAAGGAATTTAACTTTCAAATGGCTTTTCTGAAAATTAGTGCTCAGACACACTTTTTAAGTTCAAATTAAATTACACATTTTAGCTAGGCACTTGCATAACACATACTCCAGTTATATGTCATGAAACAAATGATATAAATTTGTGGAAATATGAACTGCTGCAATGCTAATCTTTCTCCTTTTGGTTTCTTGCTTTATTTAAGGGTTCCCACTACAAGGATTAGATTTGGCTACTGCAGTCCTGGTTTGGGCCAGCCTCACTTGTGAAGACTAAAGATGAAGACAACATACAAGAACAATTTAGAGGATGGCGACACACTTTTTATTCCACCTATATATCCCCTTTTATGTGTAAGCAACATTCCACAAGATAAAACAAAACTAAATGACAGGTTATTTCTTTTAATTTTGTTAACATTGTACACAATTTACAACAAGTTTATATATATATATATATATATATATATATATATATAGGTCAGAGCAAGAAAATGTTATGTTTTCTTCTGGAGAAAGTCTTATTTCTTTTATTTATATTTTAGTTTTGAATTAAAAAAAAAAAAAAAACATTTTAAGGTCAATATTATTAGCCCCTTTAAGCAATTTTTTTCGACTGTCTACAGAACAAACCATCGATATACAATAACTTGCCTAATTACCCTAACCTGCCTAGTTAAGCCTCTAAATGTCACTTTAAGCTGTATAGAAGTGTCTTGAAGAATATCTAGTCAAATATTATTTACTTAGTTATTAGAAATGAGTTATTAAAGCTATTGTGATTAGAAATGTGTTAAAAAATATTTCCGTTAAACAGAAATTAAGGGATTATATATATATATATATATAAAATCCCTTAATTTCTGTTTAACGGAAATATTTTTATATACAATATATATATATATATATATATATATATATATATATATATATATATATATATATATATATATATATATATATATAATGACAAAATATGTTTTGTGTCGTGCATTAGAGTTTGCTTAAAAAAACTGGTTATCTCTGAGAAAGTATTGTTATTTTATATTATTGATGTGTTATTAGTTCATAGGAGATTGCAAATTGTTGAATCCCATTTATAAAAAAATTGTACTACAGACTTTAATAAGATTTTATCAGACAATTATTTTAATTTGTATGATTTTATTTACTACTGTAAATATTGTTTGCTTGGTATTTATTTTGTGTTTGTGTACTCTTTTATTATTGTAACTCCCTGAAGAAAGTCTTTTGGATACTGAACACATGACTGGTATTATCTTGTATTTTAAAATTATAGTCTTGGAAACATGCATTTTCTTTAACACTATTTAAGAAATTATAAGCATTATAACATGTGCTTACACAAGTTATTTGTGTTTTTACTATAGTAAACTATAGTCACCCTTAGTGTACATGTTTTGAAGTACTTGTAAATATTCCTATGGTCTTAATATAAATGCTGCAATGAACTTTGTATTTAAAATCTTTATTGCACAGTAGTTCAGCCATGGTAATAGTACAACTTGTTGGTTTTGTTTTAAACGTGGTAAAACATGGTTATGTGTGATAAAAGTATGTTAATCTATTTGTATGTTTGTGAAAATATTAATAAATCTTCAACTGTTATTGAGAGTGGTGTGTCGTGTTTATTATAAATAGGCTGCTGCTGCAGTTAGTGGTCCATAAGTATGAGCAAAACGCCTGAGAACAGCGCCTCCGCGGCGCGGCCAGTATTTCCGGTTGCGTCGTCCTAACATCGGCCGGACAGCGTTTCCGATCATTTGCCGACGTCGCGGCGACATTTTGCCAATTAGCAAACGCTCCCTGAGCGACATCGCACCGATGGAATTTTGAATATCGGCACGACGTCGGCCCAACGTATGTGTGCTGTCTGGGTAGGTGGTTAGGTGGTCAATGTGTTCTGTGTGATTTACATGGTTGCTAGGGTATTGCAGGGACATTTTAGATAGTTGTTAGGGCATTTTGTGAGGTTTCCATGATGTCGCTTGGGTGTTGTTATGAATGGGAATATTAATGGCAAGTAGTATCTTTTAGGTGGTTGGTGTTGTTAAGGTGTTCTATGTGATTTACATGGTTGCTAGGGAATTGCTAGAACATTTTAGATGGTTGTTAGGGTGATTTGGGAGGTTTATAGGTTAATATGAACACATTCTGAAAGGTTGCTAGGGTGGTTTGAGATATTGTGAGAATGTTTTGGATTTATATAGGGTTTTACTGGTTTATATTGCTGTATGTTTGTGAACATGTTCCATACATTGTCTCCTTTAGGTCCTGAAGTTCCCTGTGGACCTGGCAAGCCTCGGTCTCCCTTCTCTCCCTGTTCTCCTGGAGGTCCAATAAGTCCGATGAGACCAGGATGACCCTGAAAGAACCCTCGTGATTATTAAACTGATCTGATGAACAACTGCTTTCAAAACCAATAATTCAGCCAGAGTTTAACTAACATACAGAGCATATATAGTCATTATGACAGCTCATTTCCAAACAATGAGTGAGTTACCTACAGTATCTAGACAACATCCAAGTGTGCTTAATGAGAATCAAAAAAAAATTTGCTTCTCTTACCTTTTCACCTTTGATACCAAGATCTCCTTTCAGTCCAGGCAGTCCAGGAGGACCCTGAAACAGAGAGAGATGAGAGTGATTGTGTGGATTGTCATTTGTGACTGTAATGAACTCATTCTCAGAGGAATATTATGTCTGTACCATCGGTCCAGGAGGTCCATCGGGTCCAGGAGCACCGGGCAGTCCTTGTTCTCCCTACATCAAAACCAGATAGATTAATTCATTAGCACCAAATCAGAATCCCAGCTTTAGAAAGACCTGTATGTGAGGTCTGCGGTTACATTTCAGAGGCTGAAAGGGCGATTCTGATTCTATATTTAATTTGACATTGCGAATGAAGGTAGATTAAAGGGATAGTTCACCCAAAAATGAACTTGTACTCATCATTTACTGTACTCATCCTCTACTTGTTAAAACCTATATAAGACAAAAAAAGATATTTAGAAGAAAGTTAGAATCTGACATCCATCCAAAAACCACAGCTCTGCATAGTTTAGCTCCAATCATCTCTAACTCGCACCTGCTTAATAGTCTATAGTAGTCTAGAACATCTTGATCAGTTGGATTAGCTGTGTTTGATTAGGGTTGGAGCAAAACGGCAGAGCTCCAGGAATCTAGTTTGAGACATATGGGTTAATGGTTTCCAACTTTCTTCAAAATATCTTCTTTCGTCTTCAACAGAAAAAAAGGAAACTCAAGCAAGTTTGAAGTAAATGATGATATAATTTTTATTTTTGGGTGAACTCTTTAATTAAATATAGTAGAATTCATATCTGTATATATGAGCGTAAACAATGTTTACAATTGAAGGCACAATTATCTAAAATTTAGATTCTTTTTTTAAATATCACAGTATGTCTGTATATAGTTTTAGATATCACCCACCACTGGTCCAGGCACACCTCTCAGACCCTCAGGACCAGGCTTTCCAGGGCTTCCTTGAGGACCAACTGGACCTGTTTTACCAGGCGGACCCTCCAGACCAGATTCACCCTGATTCAGAAACACACAAAACCATCAGAGCCCTGCAGTGACTGTACTGGAACACAACTCGAGCACACACATACTGTATACTGTAAGTCAACTTGATTGCATAAACGCCTGGATTTTACCTTAGCACCCTTCTCTCCCTGTCTTCCTTCAGGTCCTGCTGGTCCATGAGGTCCCTGAGGAGAAAGATCGAAATATATAAGTATATTATAAAAACATTTTACATAAATTCAGTTCATGTTTATTTCTATAGTGCTTTTTACTATGTAGATTGGGTATAAGCAGCTTAATATATATAATAAGAATAAATATTAATATAGATCAAATAAAAAGCTATGAAATGTTTCGGTAACACTTTATTTTAAGTCACAATTCACAATATCATCCACTGGCTTATAATTTATATTATATTAGTATTAGTAGCTATTAAGTATGATCTTATTTTAGTTCCCTAACCCTACCCAATACTTAAACCCAACTAGTACCTTACTAATTATTAATAAGCAGCTAATTAAGTCGTTTCTTGAGCTAATAGTCTTAGATAAGGGGTGTTAATTTTGTGAATTGTCAGTTATTGGTGTTACCAATATTTCCAATTGTGGAACAGTAGTGGTTGATATATTTAGGTGTAGTAAAGGTGTAGACCTCATTTTCCACTCTTTATGAGTTTAAGATGGTCACTCACTCTCTTTCCTGGAGGGCCAGGAGGACCAGTTTCACCAGTGGGTCCAGGGGATCCCTAAAAGAATAAAACAAATAAAAAATAGCATTGCTTATAAATGCACACTTCAGACATGTCAAATGGTTGAGTTAGAAGCACACTCACTGGCTGACCAGGCTCTCCATCATCACCCTTATCACCAGGAGAACCATCCAAACCCTGTATTAGGAAGAAAATGTGATGTCACCTCCTGAAAGCTGCCTAAAAATGACACTGTAACAAGTATGTTCATTCTTTAATAGTACTTACAGAAGGACCTGGCTCTCCGGGAGGACCAGGATCACCAGGGAAACCACTTGGGCCCTGAACATCAAAGGGAAAGTTAAATGTATTTTGACAGCTTGGCAAGATCGACTCGATAACTGTGCTTCATTAAAAGTGGGTGGAGCTAAATCTTCTTTTTGGCACAATTTCCCCGGCATGTTAATATAATAATAATTATTATAAATTTTGTCTAAATAAAAATGATCACACAAACTTTTTTTTATTTCATTAATAGTGTTGACTTTAAGTAAACAGTCAGTTTATTAGCATCCAGTTTATTCAGAAACTAATAATTTTTCTATACTTTTTTGTACTATTTTGCAGCTTTGTTAATCTGTATTGTATAGAGTACTTAGAAATAAAGGGGTTAAAATGACAATAATATAAATATATAAATAGGAGAAATTAAATTATATATTACTTTATCTATACACAAAAAAATAAACAAATAGGTGAAATTAATAGTTTAATACTAACAAATGAATACAGTAAATGATAAACAATGAAATCTTTATATTATTAACAAAATAAATGTATTATTAAATATTTGCTCACTTTATTTTTACGGTACAATTCTCACCATTAGCCCATTAACTGACTTGCTTCAATAAACTCCTAATTTGCTGCATATAATAGGGTATATGCCAAAGCATGCTAATAGGACTTTTAATATGCCAGTAACCTGGGTTAATTGTTTCCGGTGAATTGTATGCCAATGCAAAATCGGTGTGTTTAAGGTCTGTTTTCTTTAAAATTCAGCGATCTCCACTGGCGTGGAGTGATATCTGATATAAAGTGAGTGTCAGATTGTACATGAAGCACTGCATTAAATTACATTTTCCCGCCATGTCTTATTAATATGAACATTTATTTTACCCCAGTATATTCATTGGAGCTTCTGCGCTAGCCTGCCGACAATGACAGGCGCGTGCGAGAAAACAGCTTTTTGTCTCATTTTACGCTTGAGCAACTAAATAACAAAGTCTGTTTAACTGATTGTATTTTAATTACATTACGACATCGAATTTGTAAAAGAAACCGTATAAAATGGAAAAAAACTTACAATAATAGGTCACTGGAAGTTTATCAGAATGGGAAACACACTAGCTCAGCATATACCCCATAATAAAACAGAACTTGGGCCTAGGTATTCAATAGGATTAGGGATGTAAAATAAAATACTTAATATGTACTTTGTTAGTACTAATAAACAGCCAAAATCTTAATAATAGACAGGTAATAAACCACTAGTTAATAGTGAGAATTGGTCCTTAAACTAAAGAATTACCAAATAGTCTTAATGATAAGACTTTTTTTTTTTTGATGAACAATAGCTACTTTTAAAACAAATAATAATAATAAATGTTTTTGAAGAGCTTGTTTTCAGACACACAGGCTGTTTCTCAATATGCGTTCTTCAGTGTTCTCGTGTAAAATCTTCATCAACCGTCAAAATTCAGTAGCAAAACTTAAGAACGTAGGACGCGTGAAAGTTCCCGGATGTGTTTTTGATATTGAGGATGCGTTGATGCAGACTTAAAGGTGCAGTAGGTGATTGTCTTCTGAAACAATTTTTGTTGTGCTGGTTGAAAGTCTCTTCACAGTCCTATAGTACATATTGAAGTAAATGATCTAAATGTGTTTATATATTCGCGGTAAGGCATAAAACCAAAAAATGTTCATCCAATGAAATATTGTCGGGCTGACATTTCCCATAACTCCGATAAGTAGCTTAAACTGTCTGTCAGCACATGTAGATTTGGACTTCTGCATATTTTTGTTCATGCATATCCGCCAATAGCCTTTGACAGCATCGATAATGTACATTTTATTTAGTTTAACAACAAAACATTAGTATATAGCGCTATTTCCCTAGCCCAGGGACAGCTCTGGGCTGCGTTTCCCGATAACGATTGATCTTAGCACTTAAGAGCGTTTTCTACGAGTCATTTTGCGAACGTTCGTTATTGTTTCACGTGCGTTTCCCAAAAATGCACTTAACACAATTGCACGTAGCCCAGCTTTAAGTGCAACTTAGGAGTCGCTATCCGTTTGTTAAGTGCTGAAATGTCACGCTATAGAATGGCTCGTTATTGTTGCACATGTTATAGCAATCCATATAATTCTTCTTCTACTTGTGTGAATGTATATTCAACTCGAATAACATAAAAAAAAAATATTTTTGAGCCAGTTTAAAAACATAAATTAACTGGAAATGTCGTACTGTAAAAACACTGTCTTGCTCCAATCTCGCATAAAACTAATTCTAACAGTCCTTGCCGGAAATGACATCAGCATCATTTTCGATATTTATATGAATTACCTTAATTAAGTAGAATTATTTATCAATTTCTTTATCAAAAATTGATTATCTCACATCAAAATAAATAAATAAGTAAATAAATAAATAAATAAATAAGCTCTTACATTTATTTTTGAAAAGTTTAGCCTAATTATCCCCACCTGATGTGCATTTGCTAATAGGACAAAAATATAAATAAGCACATACCTAGGGGTGGAGACACTAGCATTTAAATGTGATTTAAATCACATTAAATATTTTCTGTTAAATACAACATATGTAGCCTACTACCCTCGAAATGTCCATATACAACAGTGTAATTTTTTTTTTCATTATAACATTTATTATGTAATTTTTATTTTTTTCTTTATTCATTATTATTTGTATATTGAATTGTGTAATGTGTAGAAAATATAAATGAATAGAGATATACGTACAAATAAAATGAATAATGACTTTGAAGAGAAGTAAATTGTAGGTGCAATTTGCCGGTTGTCCAGCAGGTGCCCTCATAACTCTGTCTCCTTACGATGCACTTAAGGCTTTACGATTACTCCAGAGCACTCGTAGATCCACTAAGATTTTCAAGTGCTACTTAAGTTACGATGCTTTTGGGAAACAGACCGTAATATTAAGATCAGTCGTACGATCATTTCTACGAACTTCTTAGGCTTACGATGCTTTTGGGAAACGCAGCCCAGCACAGTTACGTTCCAACCCTGCTCCAACACACTTACCTGTAGGTTTCAAACAAGCCTGAAGGACTCAATTAGTTTGATAAGGTGTGTTTAATTAGGGTTGGAACTAAACTGTGCAGAGCTGCAGCCCTCCAGGAATTGAGTTTGACATCCCTGCACTAGCCTGTTTTACAAGTTGAAGTTGCTTTTATATTTACATTTGTTCATTACAGAACAATGACAGCCTCCCTATACTGTTTACCATGCTACTCTGAATATTCACTTTGAAAGAGCTTGTAAGTATGGCTTTGTAATAAGTGCAATTCTTGCACGCCGCCGGCCAAACACTACATTTCTAACTGGCGAATGAGATGAACTAGCGGGTTGCTTGCTGTCATGTCTCGGTGCACGCATTCGCGATTTCAGGAGGCGTGGCTTTGAAACAGTCCCTCCGTGCCGTCCAAAGATAATATGCTAAGTGGTTAGCATTTTGGCAGATCACCTAGTGCACCTTTAAGGTTAATGAACAAATTAAGGGTGTTTATTTACTGATATTTGTATTAAAATCTGTTTTATTTGTATTGTGCAAAGTATATTTATAAGGTTTTTGTGCATGTTATTTATATTGAAAAGAATAAAAAACAAGAAATCGTTTTAATGTTTAAATAATTTCCCGTTTAAATCGCGTGACGGTCATGTGACCATTGGGGAGAACGCAGCATCTCATTTCTCACAGGACGCGTCCTCTGTTCTTGCAGTCTGCCGAGTTCGCTCTTCCCAGGTAACCTGGCAAGAGCGTTCTCCATGAGAACCAAGTCTGTTCTCTGTGCTCTTGGAATTGAGAAACAGCCATAATAAAGCACTCGAGGTGAATTTTCAAGAACTTACCGGACTTCCTTTGGGACCGTCATCTCCAGGGGGTCCTTTGGGTCCAGGAGGACCACCAGAACCAGCAGGTCCAGCTTCTCCCTTTTCTCCTCGCTCTCCTCTTGGACCCTAAAACACAAACAAATAATGAGATGTGAGTGTTAAGGTGCTTTCATCAGATGTCTGCATTAGTCTGAGGGTGTATTTTCCGTACCGGAGGGCCGATGTCTCCCTGAGGGCCTGGTTCTCCTGCTTCACCAGCGTCTCCCTGTAAAAAAGGAAAAATATGTAAATAAAACATTCACACACACACACACACACACATAGTTTATTTCTTCCTCGACCCTGCAGAGATTTTCTCCAGTGGACAGAAGAGCACGTCAGCATCATTATTCACTGTCTCGTCAGCAAATCTGCTTTCCTCTGCAGAACCACAGCATCAAAATCTGAGCAGCATCGATATTCAGACAAACTGATGTCCTTGAAGATGAGCACACCACCACCACCATCAGATCATACATCCTCAAACCTCTGCGCTGGAGTGATGGGACTTTCGAAAGAAATAGAAAACTTTTGTGGCTTATTTTGAAGTAAGTAGTGATGTTTGTGTAAAGGGATTTTAGGTGGCTTTTTTATGTTGCTATGTGGTTGCTAGATAGTTCCTTATTGGACAAAGTAAAAAAAGAAAAGTAAAACGAATGACATAGGCTGCGTCTGAAATCACTTGCTACTCAGTTGATACTACGATTAAATTTAAACATACTACTTTGCTGTTAGAAAAGTACGTTCTATACAGTATAAATGCGAGCAGTATGAATGGAACTCAATCGTATTACATCTGCCATTTTGTCAGGATCACGTGACTTACCCACGTCAGTTGTGTCACTTCACTGTCATTCATGAATTCTCCCACAGTGCATGATAGGATATCATCCATTCAATGCGCACTTCAGAATCACGCCGAAAGTAGCAAGTCATCCAGGTACTTCTCACATACTGATTTTCGAATTATGTGGATTTGTACATGCTACTTGGCTTGCATACTGATTTTAGCGTACTACATAGTATTGAAGTATGCAATTTCAGACGCAGCATTATTCTTTGTTTATGACTAATAAATGGTGAAAATAAGTGGTGGGCAAAGCGAGTTTTCATGAAGGACTGAAACAGTCAAAGCAAATGTGTCAAAGCTTCTAAACGTTTCGAAACCTGTCTCTACAGTAATATCTAGTGGTAATTTTATGTATTGCGCTAAAACAGCGTAGGGTGTTTTCACATCTGTAATTCGCTTCCTTTGGGTCTTTGGGTTGTTTTCACATCACACTAATTGCTTTGGTCTGAACCAGTGGAAAAGAACCAAAATGCAGTCATCTGACAAAATCCACATCACTCATTGGCCGGATGTTGTTGAACATATTTCCTGAACTGCTTATCGATTAGTCAGAATTCAGGTGTGGGAGAATGCCAATTTTTCAACTCCCGCAAGTAAACAAACCGGCAGACACAAAATGTCGCTTTTGACTATGGAGCTACGACTGTGCTGACTGATTGTACACTTGCTCATAGTATACTATATAGTTTGTCTACATCACTTTAGACAAGCTATACATTTTGAGAAAAAAAAACACACATTTGGCTGAAAACAATGTTTTAATGCATGGCAAACGCGAAGGGGCATCGCATGTCACTTCAGGAGAAGGCGTGAATTAATTTAACTAGCATGGTCATCTTCCGGAAATATCACCAACAATCCACCAGGTAATACTTTTTCCTCTCTCTGTGTTTAAAATTGTTGGTAAAGCGCTGTTAACAATTTTTTTCCTCCACATTCCATAATGCACAGCATCAGCCTACAGGAGCTGGATTGCTCCAAAAAGGAGCAGTACTTTTTGCGGTTGGGTCTGTTTTAGTTCGGATCATGTTCCAGGATTCGTTTGAGACCTGCTTGAAGAGTTTTTTTTGGTCCGCTTTTGGTGCGCACTCGAGTCCGATTGCTACATTCACACCTGCTTAAACCTACCGCACCAAGAAGAAAAACGAACTCCAGAGCGATTCAACCCAACTAAATAAGGCAGGTGTGAAAGCACCCTTAGTAAAGCGGTGAGAGTTCGAATTCAGGGTGATGCATCTATAGATGTTAGTTTTTAAATACTCTGTTCTTGTAACGTGCTTTGTTTCAACATTGGTCTGACATACGAATGAACACTCTGTGAATAAATTTCTCATTTTGGTCATAAAAAAAGTAACATTAATAAAATACATTTCAGAGTATTTGTATAAGTCGGGATTCAAACTCTGGACATTTGCAGCACAGTTACTCCGTGCACCCAGATAGTCCACTAAGCTGAGATAGAGGTTTTATTCCGACGCTGTCAGTCAAACACAGATCCACCAGGTATCGAAACACAAATAACCGAAGCTTTTAATCGCTTTAGTCATGTGACCTGGGTGTTTTGGACCATGCTTCAGCAGTGTTTCGAAACACTTGTGCTTCAGGATGTTGAGACTGCTTCGAAACATCAGTTTTACTTCAGCCATCCCTAGTGAAAATTTCAATTCTACCTTCAGTCTGAAATAAATAAATGATTTAAATGCAAATCTGGATTGTTTTGGCTAAACAAAAAATTCTCTGACTTGTGCAAAAAATTTAATTCAATATAATTGATATTAGAAAATGATTTATTATTTTTGTGTAAATTAGTTATAAAATGTGTGAATTTATACATCAATGTTTATACAGTAAAGACTCTACTACACAGTACAACAAATTAACTTTCACTAAAGATTAAATAGAACTGTGTTGTTACATTTAAGGTTTAAAAAATATATTTCAAGTTCTCATATAATTGCAAAAGAATCTAAAAGTTTAAATAATCTAACTGCGCATGGAGATATCTGAGGATACTGACAAATTCAGACAGCAATGCCTGAGTCAGCAAACCACCAATGAAAACACAACATCCTCCTCAAACACCTGTGTGTGCTTTCTCTGAGCTCTCCACTGTGTGTGTAGATACTTTTAAAAGTCCTCTGAAATCAAAATGAAAGTTTTGTGTGTGTGTGTGTGTGTGTGTGTGTGTGTGTGTGTGTGTGTGTGTGTGTGTGTGTGTGTGTGTGTGTGTGTGTGTGTGTGTGTGTGTGTGTGTGTGTGTGTGTGTGTGTGTGTGTGTGTGTGTGTGTGTGTGTGTGTGTGTGTGTGTGGTGTATAAGATACAGTATCTCCCTTTCTCTGTAAGTGTGTGTGTGTGTGTGTGTGTGTGTGTGTGTGTGTGTCTGTCTATCTGTCTCTTTCTGTGTGTAGTGTTTAAGATGTCGTTCTCTTTTTCTGTGAGTGTGTGCATGTGTGAGGCATCTCTGTGTGTTTATTATATAAGATGTCTCTGTAGGTGTGCATGTGTGAGGTGTGTATCTGTGAGTTGTCTTTAAGTGTGTGTCTTTCTGTCTGTGTCTCTCTTTGTGAGTGTGTGTGTAGTGTATAAGATGTCTCTCTGTGATTGTGTACATGTGTGAAGAGTGTATGTTTGTGTGTGAAAGTTGTCTATCTCTGTGTGTGTGTGTGTGTGTTTGTGCATGTGTGAGGTGTGTGTGTCTGTCTCCAGTGTGTGTAAGCTGTCTATCTGTGTCTGTGGTGTACAAGATGTTTCTCTTTCTCTGTGTGTGCAAGTGTGCTTAATCTCTGTATGTATGTGTGAGTTGTGTTTGCGTGTGTGTATCTGTTGGTTTTCTTTATCTCTGTGAGTGTGTATGTGTGAGTTGTCTATATCTGCGCATGTGTGTGTGTCTATAAGATGTCTGTGAGAGTGAAGTGTTGAGGTAACTCTTCCACAATAACAGTTAACAGTCTTGTTCTATCATCTCTATCAGTTTTCAGTAATCCTCTGCTGGGCTGTTTTTCTGGGTCATTTCTCTGAGCTGAACAGAAGCAGGTCCTCTGTTGGGTCGGCGACAGAACAACAGTGCTGATATGTGCTATTAAATAATATTGACAGAGGCAGTGATGCGAACACACTGTCTGAGGCTCTGCTGAGACCACCACACAGATAACAGCGCACGCACACACACACCGCTGCACTCACAGGCACGCTACTGCAGCACTGCGCTACTTGTTGAATTTATGCATTATACACATATTGAATTATTTTCTGGAGATTAAATCTGTTGCTTGTCAAACAGGAGAAAAAGACGAGGCTCAGCTCTGACATCTGCACATAAAAATCCAGTCAGATAAATCACTGCCCACAAATATGACTGAACAGTGTTTATATTATAATATTTTGTTATTGTTTTGTTTTAGTAAATGTACAGTCGGCTATAATAATGAGATTTATAATCAGAATATATTTTTTAACCATCTGAATTACAGCAATGTACATGTAATACACACACACACACATATATACATACATATTAGAGGTCGCGTTAACCTAATATTTTCCGTCATTGACGGATTTCTTTCGGCAGTGACGGAAAAATCTTTAGGTGATCCGTCATTTTGACGGATTATGCTGAGGGTGATCTATTGTAATTTGTAGCTAACTGTAATTCAGGGCGCAAATGCTTTCAGGGCGTGTCAGAATGTGTTTTTGCTAACTTAAGGGCGGGAAATCTGCCTTGCGCCATGGCGCATGGTCTAAAAGGGTTGAGTTTATTTTCTTAATGAGTTATAGGTGTGTTTTGAGAATAAACCAATTAGAATCTCATCTCCCATTCCCTTTAAGAGCCAGCTGCGTCGCGCCAAGAGCGCATTCACTATTTACAGGACACAAAGTAAGTCTAAGTGGAAAAACTGAGCATTTCACAAGCAAACAGTTAACAGTTTTTTAACAGAAAACTGTTAAACAGAGCATCTACTGCGTGAGAATGAGACATAATGGAACTACTTTCACATTCGCTCTTGGATAGGGAAACCTTCACACACAGACATCAATTAGTCTATAAATAATTAATTTTGTTTGTTAAGCACAAATATTCGTTTCAAAACTATTTCTAAATTCAGTTATAATTTCCAGCAAACGAATAAATAAACATTATTAACGAAGTGTGCTCAAAAACCTGAGTTATCTCCTAAAACACATGCTGTGCCCCTTATGGTCTAAAACCTGACAGGTGGGCAAATCTAAGCTTGTTTTTAATAAAACAAATATAAATATGGATATAATAAATAATAATGCTAATAATAATAACATTATACAAAAGCAAATTGTTATGAATGAACTGAAAAAGCCTCCCGAGATGAAGAAGACATAAAAGCAGTGATTTTTCATATTTATGTAGGCTAGAAAATAATATGTTTTGTAATATTTTAATCCTTTATATTTATATTCTATATCTATTCTTATTATATCCTACATATTTCCTTAATATTTACATTTTTTCATATGTAAAGATCTTTGCCTATTGCTCTCTTGTGCGTATTAAGCAGTGTGTAAGCGAGGCGCAACTCTGCGCCGGAGTTTAGACCAGGTTTGTTTTGGTCTAATGAAAAATCTATTATAGTCTCTCAAAATAGCAACGCGCCAGCAGTCCGCCTCAGAACGCCTCCCTTTTTAGACCAGAACGCCTATGGGCGCACAAATGAGCGCTAATGCATTTGCTATTTAAACAGAGTAGCGCAACGCCTCAAAGAGACTCTTGCGCCAAGCTGAAACGACCAAAAGACTATTGTGCCACGCCTTGCGTCACACTGCGCCGGGTGTATGATAGGGCCCTATGGTTGTGTCTCTTCTTTGTCACGCTGGCTGAAGTGGCGCTACCCAGATAGCAGGTAGTGATCGGCCCGAGCTCGGCTGCCCTTCGGCACCTCCGGCTCCGATTCGGCAACAGCGAGTGTTATCCGGGCCGAGTATGGCCCGCAGCTCGCTCCCGCACATGCGTTTGTGATACAGCTGTAAAGCACTGGCCTGATTCCTGTTAACCATATCTGGCTGTTTTGAGAGTCTGTTTGTGGAGTCCGAGCCGCTTCTGGCAAGGACTCTCCAGTGGGGCAGCAGAACGCGGCTTCAGCCTCTAGAACAAATTTAAAACTGTCACGAGAAGTCAACTTCCCGAGGCAAAGACAGAATTTAATGACAATTATCCTGCATTAGTCTCTCTTGATGTGTTAGATTACGCACAGATAAACGCCCAGAATCTTGCATTCAGGTCGACGCAGAAGGAAGATATGAGGTAAGGCAGATAGTTATTGATCATTTGTCAAATAAATAAATTAATAATTTAGCCTATATATTCGTCGTGCACGTTCATTATTAAAATATGAATAAAAAAAGCAATTAGAAAATATGCAAATTAATTGACGGTCAATAATAGTTTATGACAGAATTTTTACAACCCTCTCCGTCAAAATGACGGACAATGACAAAGTCTAACGTGACCTCTGATATATATATATATATATATAGCCATATATTTTTCATTATTCAGATTTCCGTATGGAATGCTATTGGTACAACTATATGATGTATTATTTGGCTTATAATATTATTTTTTAATAATATGCATTGCTATTAACTTAATATGGACAACTTTAAAGATTATTTTCGCAAAATGTGGATTTTAAGCCCTCAGATTATAAATATATATAGAGTGTGTTTGTGATTGTATATATAGACCCCTTTTGCCCTCAGAACTGCCTTAATACTTCGTAGCATAGATTCAACAAGGTACTGGAAATATTCCTCAGACATTTTGGTCCATATTGACATGATAGCATCACACAGTTGCTGCAGTTTTGTCGGCTGCACATCCATGATGCTAATCTCCCGTTCCATCACATCCCAAAGGTGCTCTATTGGATTGAGCTCTGGTGACTGTGGAGGCCATTTGAGTACAGTGAACTCATTGGCATGTTCAAGAAACCAGTCTGAGATGATTCTCGCTTTATGATGGCGCATTATCCTGCTGAATGTAACCATCAGAAGATGTGTACACTGTGGTCATAAAGGGATGGACGTGGTCAGCAACAATACTCAGGTAAGAAATTATCCCCCACACCATTACACTACAACCAGCCTGAAACATTGATACAAGGCAGGATGGATCCATGCTTTCATGTTGTTGATGCCAAATTCTGACCCAAAATTCTGATCCAAATTGAGACTAATCAGACCAGGCAACAATTGTTCAATCTTCTATTGTCCAATTTTGGTGAGCCTGTGTGAATTGTAGCCACAGTTTCCTGTTCCCAGCTGACAGGAGTGGCACTCGGTGTGGTCTTCTGCTGCTGTAGCCCATCTGCCTCAAGGTTCTACAGTTGTAACGAGTGGTTATTTGAGTTACTGTTGCCTTTTGTATTAGCTGAAACCAGTCTGGCCATTCTCCTCTGACCTCTGGCATCAACAAGGCATTTGCACCCACAGAACTGCCGCTCACTTTATATATTTTTTCTTTTTCAGACCATTCTCTGTAAACCCTGGAGATGGTTGTGCGGGAAAATCACAGTAGATCAGCAGTTTCTGAAATACTCATACCAGCCTGTCTGGCACCAACAACCATCCACATTCAAAGTCTCTTAAACCAGCTTTGTTTCCCATTCTGATGCTCAGTTTGAACTGCAGTAGATCATCTTTACCATGTCTACATGCCCAAATGCATTGAGTTGCTGTCATGTGATTGGCTGATTAGAAATTAACAAACGCTAACGTAAACAAGCAGTTAAACAGGTATTTCTACCTTCTCTCCCACTGCTCCTGGGTTTCCGATGCCTCCTGGAGGTCCCTGTGGTCCGTCTGCTCCTGGGGGTCCGGAGGGGCCTCTGGGGCCTGGTGGACCAGGTGGACCCTGAGAGAGAGTCAAGAAAAAGCTTAGTTTCTGTTAAACTGCATGTATATTTGACCAAATTCAGTTGAATAGATGTGGGACCGTACCATCTGACCGACGTCACCAGTCTCTCCTTTCTCACCAGGGGGTCCAGGCAAGCCCTGCACACAAACATACCGTTAAAACCACCGTGCAAAACAAACAAAAAAAAGTGATTTGTAAATATTTTGGAGATTAATTTCTATTATATATTCTATAAAATAACACATATTATGTTTTATACTCATTTTGGCAGATTTAGGCTGTCTTGGATAATGTCATTTTTATTTGAGTGACTTATTGAATCATTCGTAAAATGATTCATTCAAATTGGCTGATTCATTTAGAATGTGTGTGTATAAATGGGTCATTAAATGGCTGACTCAAATGATTTATTAAAAAAATTAATTTAGGAAAAAAAAAATTCAACAGTTATATGGATCTACTACCATTCTATTGTAGGATGGACAGAGTAAAAGAAACAGTTGAAGAGTAAAGTTGAACAATAGTTCACAAAATGTAAATCTTCTGTCCCTCAAAAGATTGTTTCAGTTTCTCTCTTCTGTTGAAAAAATGGAGATACTTTGAAGAATGTCATTTGCTGGCACCCATTGACTTAAATAGTAATTGGTAAGGCCAGACGGAATCTGCGGACGTTTTTCGCTATTTCTGCAGAGAATTTTGGTAAAAATCTGCGGATTTCTGCTAAATTATTTTGGTAGTATCATAACTAAAACCTTAATATGTAATATAAAAAATAACATCTTATTAACTATTATTTAATGTTTAAAATGCAAATCCAATTAGATTCACTTCAGTTGGTAAACAAAGCACGTCTCACACAATATCTCTACTAAAAGACAGAAAATATTACTGTACAAACTGCATTGTACATAAATCAGATGAACATTTTCATATTAGTCAATAATATTACTGAAATTAATTTAAAAACTGAATAAATATAGATTTACACACATTTACTCAAGTAAATAAACAGAATTTATGATGGGCTAAAAATCTGCAAAATTCTGCTCGCGCAGATTCCATATGGGCCTAGTAATTGGTTTGTCCTACTATGAAAGTCAAAGGGTGCCAGCCACCAACATTCTTCAAAATATCTTCTTTTAAATTTAAGTGAATTAAACTAATAAAGGTTTAAAACCACATGCGGGAGAGTAAATGATGAAGTCATTTTTGAATGAACTATCTCTAAGGTCAGTTGTGCACATGATGATTGCAAATGATTTAATTTACATTTCTGAAGTATGTTCCAGTGAACCGGCTTCCTTCATGAGAATATATTTGGGGCAGGGATTAATGGTTGTAGTTTCCTATAGGTTATTATTAGGTAAGTTACAGGATGACCCCGCCCTCACAGAGTAAACTATATAAATATACAGTTGAAGTCGGAATTATTAGCCCCCCTTTGATTATTTTTTTCTTTTTTAAATATTTAACAGAGCAAGGAAACTTTTACAGTTTGTCTGATAAAATTTTTTCTTCTGGAAAAAGTCTCGTTTGTTTTATTTCGGCTAGTATAAAAGCAGTTTTTAATTTTTAAAACCATTTAGAGGACAATATTATCAGCCCCTTTAAGCTCTTTTTTTTTCTGAAGGTCTACAAAACAAACTATTATTATACAATAACTTGCCTAATTACCCAAACCTGCCTAGTTAACCTAATTAACCTAGTTTAGCCTTTAAATGTCACTTTAAGCTGTATAGAAGTGCCTTGAAAAATATTTAGTCAAATATTATTTACTGTCACCATGGCAAAGATAAAATAAATCAGTTATTAGAAATGAGTTATTTAAACTATTATGTTTAGAAATGAGTAGAAAAAATTTCTCTGTTAAACAGAAATTGGGGGAAAAATATGGAAGTTTTTTCCTAACAAAATTAAAATGAAAATTCAAATGCTTAAAAGATCAAATAATAAATCAAATGCTCAAACTGACATTGCAAATGATAAATCAAATCCCCAAACTGACTCCTCAAATGATAAATCAAATGCTCAAACGGACTTTGCAAATGGTGAATCAAATCCTCAAACCGACTCCTCAAATGATAAATCAAATCCTCAAACTGACATCGCAAATGATAAATCAAATCCTCAAACTGACATCACAAATGGTGAATCAAATGCTCAAACTATAAATCAAATCCTTAAACCGACATGGCAAATGGTGAATCAAATGCTCAAACAACTCCGCAAATGGTGAATCAAATCCTTAAACGACTCCGCAAATGGTGAATCAAATCCTTAAACGACTCCGCAAATGGTGAATCAAATGCTCAAACAACTCCGCAAATGGTGAATCAAATCCTTAAACGACTCCGCAAATGGTGAATCAAATCCTTAAACGACTCCGCAAATGGTGAATCAAATCCTTAAACGACTCCGCAAATGGTGAATCAAATGCTCAAACTGACATAGCAAATGGTGAAAAAAATCAATGGCGGCTAATAATTCTGACTTTAACTATATATATTTATTAGTAACTTGGTCTTATCATAGCATTTATATGTATATGTCTTTGAATAAAAGCATCTGCTAAATATATAAATGCATATTTAGACTGTGTGTAAGAGGAAGGGAGTGCGATTTCTAGTTGACTTTAAACTGCACCGTCTAACCTGAAGGCCAACAGGTCCAGGTGGTCCTGGGAAACCTCTCGAACCTTCATCTCCCTTCTGTCCGAACAGACCCTGCTGACCTCTGGGACCGGGCTCTCCATCAGCACCCTGCAGGCAAGAATCAACATCACTAAAAACCACTTACACCACAGAAAAATAATGCAGTATGGGAAATGACTGATTTTAGAGCACTTACAGAAGGACCTGGCTGACCGGCGGGACCCTGGGGTCCAGTTGGCCCTGGAGGACCCTGAAAATGACGATGGAAAACAATGTAAAAAAAATCATAACAAAGACACCATCCATTTTCAGTGCAATAACAAAACAAACGATCGCTGTGGGAGAACGCCATGAACAAAACAGTCGTTGAGTAAATGATGCTTTGGGGTTGGATCGTGATGTAAAGAGTAAATTGAGAGCGCCTCACCTGTTCACCCTTGTCACCTTTGCTTCCCTTCTGTCCGGGCTCTCCAATCTCGCCCTATCACAATAACACAGCATTTACATATGCTAATTTATGCAAACTAGTCACATGAGACAATAATACAGACACAACATCGGGTTTTCCACACCATTACTTTCTAAATACATATGTTACGCTCACTGAGGCTGCATTTATTAGACAGCCAATACAGTAAAAGTCTGATATATTAGTTTAATTTAAAATAACTGTTTACTGGCGACACAGTGTGGAGTTTGCATGTTCTCCCTGTGTTGGCGTAGGTTTCCTCCGGGTGCTCTGGTTTACCCTACAGTCCAAAGACATGTGGAATAGGTGAATTGAATAAGCTAAGTTGGCTGTAGTGTATGTGTGTGTGGGTGTTTCCCAGTACTGGGTTGCAGCGGGAAGGGCATTCGCTGTGTAAAACATACTGGATAAGTTGGTGGTTCATTCTGCTGTGGTCATCCCTGATAAATAAAGGGACTAAGTCAAAGGAAAATGAATGAATAATGCAAACCTAAAATTTCTGCATCATTACTTCAGTCTTTAGTGTCACACGATTGCTTTAGAAACCATTATAATAACCTGATAGGCTGCTCAAAAAACATTTAATATCTCATACGACTTTTAATAAATCCTGGTTGCATGAATTTATTATTTAGTAAAAAAAAAAAAGAAAGAAGAATTTGTTTTTTTATTGTATTGACAAGGATAAATGAATATTATAATCACACTATAACTATAAGTCGAATAAAACATCCACAAAACCCCCCAAAACATTAAGAAGCAAACATTCCTTCATTCCTCTGGCTGTATTTCCCAGAAGACTTTGCACCTGTCATGCATGGCGGAACTGACACACATATTCTTCAGATATCATTCGCACCTTAAACCTGCCAATGCTAACACATGTCGGTGTCACACACATCCCAAATCTGTATGTGTAGGTTTGAGTGTGTCACAGTGATGTCATTTCCTTCACACGTTCATCCATGTGTTAAATCAGATCTTTTACGATAAGCCGAACTGCAGATTTGACTCTTGTAGTATTATGAATATTTCAGTGCTACATACTGTATATTACTATTCAGAAGTTAGAAGATTTTTATTTTATTTTGCTCATCAAGGTTGCATTTATTAATAATAATAATAATAATAATATGTAATGTTATTTCCTTTTGGCAACACAGTGGCTCAGTGGTTACCACAGTTGCCTCACTGTTGCCAGTTGACATTTCTGTGTGGAGTTTGCATGTTCTCTCCGTGTTGGTGTGGGTTTCCTCCGGATGCTACGGTAACCCCCACAGTCCAAAGACATGTGCTATAGGGGAACTGAATAAACTAAATTAGCCTTAGTGTATGAGTGTGTGTGTGAACCCGAGAGTGTATGGTTGTTTCCCAGTACTAAGTTGTGGCTGGAAGGGCATCTGCTGCTTATAACATATGCTGGAATAGTTGGCAGTTCATTCTGCTGTGGTGATTCCTGATAAATAAGGGACTAAGCTGAAGGAAAATGAATTATTTGCTTTTAAACTGTTTCTTTTGTCAGTTTATTTGAATGTATTCCTGAGATTTGTTTGGCAGGGCTGCGTTCTCCTTCAGAAATCTTCTATTCAGGCTGGCTGATTTGCATCTCTGTTATGTTCAATTATTGTTGGTGCTTTAACAATTCATTATAATCGTTTTAATCAATGTTAAAACAAATATCTGCTTCGTATTTTGTGTAAGGAGTGAGACGCTTCGCTTTTCCGGATTCTTTCATAAATGGAAATAAATATAAATATAATAATTGGAAATCATGTGAAATTCAGTGTGTTCTTGATGAATCACATTATAATGGTACTTTTGATTAGTATTACATAATGGAATTACCACAAATTGTTAACAAGTTTTCAACAAAAACTGCACATTTATAGAAAACTGTTTACTGCAGGAATATATCTGAATGATTTGTGAAGTATTGTGTGACTCTAAATATAATAATATTTCTTAATTTGAAAGTTTTTTTTATTGTATTCTTAATTAAATATATGCACTGATCTTTTCAGGGCGAGGCAGTGGCGCAGTAGGTAGTGTCCAAAGACAGTTGACAGGTGAATTGGGCAGGCTAAATTGTCCGTAGTGTGTGTGTGTGTGGATGATTCCCAGAGATGGGTTGCGGCTGGAAGGGCATCCGCTGCGTAAAAACTTGCTGGATAAGTTGGCGGTTCATTCCGCTGTGGCGACCCCGGATTAATAAAGGGACTAAGTCGACAAGAAAATGAATGACTGATTTTTTCAAAAGCACTGAAAATGTAAAGCAGCAATGTCTATTTTTCATTCAAAAGTGTCATATTCATAACTTAGTACTTTAATAAAAACAGAGAATGCCTAAAATACACATACCGTTATTATTAAATACTGCTATTTACTACTTTAACCCTTTCACTACCCCACCAAGAAATACATTTTTGGATTGCAATTCTTAACTCCTAAAGCCGCCTTTCCACCACACACGACAAACGACAAGCAACAGACTGGAAGTCATTCATTTCCATTGGAGAGTAGTTCGGGAGCTTCCGATCATCTCCGTATGCGGAAAAATTTGATCCGATTTGAGCTGCAGATGCGTTAAAATATTTAAACTCCAGCGACTAGACCGTATGCGACCGTTCGACCGGAAGTGATGTATTCCAGTGTTGTCCAAGCAGGTCTGTGCGACTGAGATGAGAAATAGGAGGTTTTTTTCTGTGTTTTTTGATACAGAAAAAAAGTTTATAATAAAAAAAAAAACATTTCTATTGATAATAAGTAATAAAATGTTTATTATTTTTTTTTTTTATGATGTCTCCCCATTTCCTACACATTTTTTTGCAGTCTATGAGTTTCTGGTATTCATTCAATCAACCATGGTGAACGGACGGAGAATATGGCTCTCGCTTTTGCACTACTTTATTTCGGACACCTAAAGAATCCAGCTTCTCTCCCATGGTGCACGACAAAACTGAAAGTTCTGGCCACAAGGGGGCGTATTCCGACAGTCGTGTCTGAATGTCTTGTGCAGTGGCGGCTTAATAACCCTTGTTAACACACAATGCTTTTTTTCCCCAACACATCCCATAATTTGTAGAATATCAGCCTCTACCAAATGGTTGGTATGTCGGTTAATAGTAAAAGTATCGGACTTAATACATATATTTAAACAAAATCTAAAAAATATAAAAAGTGTGAGATTAATTTATTAAAAAAAATATTAAAAATAAAACTTTTTTGATTACTAAATCATCTTTATTTTTTAAAGTGCGCCATAAAACATTTTAGATTCTGATTTAACATGTTTTCTTGTTTTTTTTTTTTTTTTACAGTAAAACCAAGATCAAGTGTAGTGCAACAGGATATTCATTTGATTTTTTTGTAAACCAACAATGCTATTATTTAAAACAGTAAAAACATAGTCAACCGTTTGGTATAGCGGCAGTCAAAGGGTTAAACAAAACTAAATGCATTAATGTGCTAACTTAAGATCAATTCTGTGATTAATCATGACTTTGCTGAATTGAAAACACTGCTATCTAATCCAAAACTCTTTTGACTTGGATTAATTGACATTGTGCGGAGCAAACATCTAAACGTCTAATCATTCCTCCGGAGAAAACATTGATCTGACAACTCACTACTTTATATTTATGTGTGTGTGTGTGTGTGTGTGTGTGTGTGACCTTTCTTTTCCTCACTTTGGCAAACCCACCAGATTCATTTGTGATCATCAATTACATGCCCACGTCTCTCTGTCTTGCATTCATTTCTCTACTCTGATCTCCTTACTACCATCATTTTGTCCTGTACCTTATCACCATCCTCTCCTGGGGGTCCAATGGGTCCGGCTGGGCCTGGAAGTCCTACGGGTCCCTGAATGCCATCTCTACCAGCTGGGCCTTGAGGTCCTTTCTCTCCCTGATATAAAAGAGAGACAAAAGGTTACAATCAATAATTTGGGCTATTAAGTTTCTTGCATCAATATGTGAGACATATAACCATTTGTTTGAAATGAACTGAATGTGATGAATCATTTGAACTGATGATTCTTTAGTGAGTCAGTTCAGTCACAATTGAACTGATCGGTTTCAAAGTGATTTGAAAATTCTAAAAGAATTAATTTGATTATGGTATTGAATTAATGACATAAAAAATGGTTAAAGAAGTGTGTTAGGTGAGAACTAATGATTCATCAAAATGGATTCACTTCAAATCCGATGCTTGGAAATTTAAAATGAATTAATTCACTTTAACAAAGCAGTTCGCAGAGTTTGTATAAGCACATATGGCTTGCATATATATATATATATATATATATATATATATATATATATATATATATATATATATATATATATATATATATTGGTTTATTAAAATATATGGTTCATTTAATTTAAATTATAACTCTTAACCAATCTACGGCAAAACAAATGACTCATTAAATTAAATATTAAGTCCTGTTGATCACTGAACAAAAACAGACATGCATTATGGGTAAATGTATTAAGTAGATGACTCTTTGGCCCCGTTTACACTGTCAGGTCTTGATGACAAATTTCGATTTGTTGCCTATATCTGATTTGTTTGCCTGTCTGTTTACACGTTGTTTTAATTGTGACCCATATCCAATTCATGCGTTTACACTTGCCATACCATTTACAATGTCGCGCATGCATAAAGGCGGGTTTTAGCATCTGTGCCATGCGAAGTGTAGTATAAGCATTGAATGGTTCAGTCCAGATTCACCCCCATGCAGTTAATGTAATGGTATAGCCCTGATGTGTGTGTGTAGTTGAAGATGTAGCCTTTGGCTGTGTGCACACTGGTGTTGGAGAGAATATGTGTAGTCCGCAGTGTGTGTATTAATAACGGCGACAAAAAGCAAAAGTTACAACATGAAGTTCGCCCAACTTTAAAATGATTTTGAGGCGGAGGTGGGTAAGAGCTGTCACCGCAGCTTGCACCTATGGTTTATATATGGTGTCCTCCACCATTCAGAGAAATTTGTGGGTATGAGAGAGATCTCAGGTCTGGTGGGAGCAAATTGTGGCGACTGACTTCTTTCCTCCTCCATGTCTCCTCTGTTGTTGTTGTTTACCACGTTGGCGTCTCCACACATAAGCTCTTTCTTCTGTCATTAAACCGCGGAGCAGCACCACATTGTCGTAAGTTTAATAACATATTAAACGAATTGCCTTAATAAATCCGATCTGCCTGTTTACATGACAGTCGCATTATTATATCTGATTTATTTCCACATATGAAGGAGGTCTGAAACCTATCTTGAATATCCAAATACATACGTTTTTTTTTTTGTATTTACAAGGTCATAGAATACATCTGATCTGTGTCACATATGAGAAAAAATCAGAATTAACTGGCAGTGTAAATAGGGCGCGAGGCAGTGGCGCAGTAGGTAGTTCTGTCGCCTCACAGAAAGAAGGTCGCTGGGTCGCTGGTTCGAACCTTGGCTCAGTTGGCGTTTCTGTGTGGAGTTTGCATGTTCTCCCTGCCTTCGCGTGGGTTTCCTCCGGGTGCTCCGGTTTCCCCCACAGTCCAAAGACATGTGGTACAGGTGAATTGGGCAGGCTAAATTGTCCATAGTGTGTGAATGATTCCCAGAGATGGGTTGCGGCTGGAAGGGCATCCGCTGCGTAAAAACTTGCTGGATAAGTTGGCGGTTCATTCCGCTGTGGCGACCACGGATTAATAAAGGGACTAAGCCGACAAGAAAATGAATGTAAATAGGGCCTTTGCTTTCAAGTGATTAAATACATTTCAACAAAGCAGATATTCACTGATTTATTTAGCACGTGTATGCTTTGTTTTAACAATAACTGTACTCACCGGTCCACCTTTCTCTCCGGCGGGTCCTGGGGGTCCTTGAGGTCCAGGTCGGCCTGGGATGCCAGTAGGACCAGCTGGGCCTGCAGGGCCTCGTTCACCAGGAGAACCCTAGTAATATATGAAATTTCATAAGTGACCATCTTTTGCTGCCGATAAGCTGTTCTGATTAATTATGCATTTGTTCTTGGGAAAGAAAATGATCATGGAGGCGTCAACAGCTGACATGCACATACAAAAAATAATGAGCTTTGATTTTTAAATGCAGAAATTAATGCTGTGTTTTTAAGTTATTGATTTTATGATTATGCATATTGCGACACTATGTAAGATATCTGAAAAATCTGAACATTTAAAAAACGGTCAAGTTAGAGAGAGAGAGAGAGAGAGAGAGAGAGAGAGAGAGAGAGAGAGAGAGAAGAACCATTAATTCAAACATTTGAATAATGCTATTTGAGTTTTTACTTTATTACTATTTTGCACATTTTATTTTAATAGTACATAATAATAATAGTGAATTTGTTCATTATATTAAACAATTAAAATAAGTAGTTAACATCTGCTTACAATGCATCTGCATATTTTATCTTAACATTTATTTACAGTTATAAAAAGTTTGGTCTGGTTCTCAAATCTGATCGGCTGATAACCAAGCGATATTCTGCAATATCAGAACTCATACAGCTTTTTCACCCTTGTGTATTACTCCGCCCACATAGAGTGACAGCAGATCAACAAACTCACTACAGTTTGGTAATTATTTATTATTTATAAGGACAGTGCCTATTTTAAATATTCATTATTTTGGAGATTCAGCGTGTCAGCGGATGACTACAGAGACTTCATAATAAGTCCTTTGGGGAAAAAAACAGCATTTTCTTAGCTTGAGTTTCAAGCTGCAGCTGAACAAATCATTACAGAAAAGGTTAGTGACATTCTAAGTCGATGTCTTACTTTTGCATTGTTTTTGTAGTGCTGTATTTATATCACAGCAATCTGGTAGTGTCTGGCTTTTTCGGGGTTGATTATTGTGAAAGTCTTGCAACAGAGAAATACTGGGAAAACTCTGTAGGCTGATGTCATTTCATGCCGTTCAGCCTTATAATCCTAAAATGTGAGCAAAATCACCTGTTTTATCATCAGTTTAGACATTATGCTAGAGAATCATTCAAACACTAGCTCTAAAGTGATGTTGGGTGAAGTAGCAATAGTTTCTGCTGTTGGACAGCTGCATATGTGAATGAATGGCAGAAGAAAGTAGTTCCTAGTAAAAAGGGATTTTTAAGACTCTACATGTTTGATTTTCTCTTTTATACACGATTATGCCGTCAAACTGTTGTATAAATGCAATACGATAAATACAATAAAACGCACACTTGTAGCAGTGCGATATAGCTGTATATCGTCACTGGTGGGACACTAAGGCACTCGGCCTGCAGCCTCAAGCCAAGGCATGCTTCCCACCAGTGCCAATACACAGCCACATCGCACTGCTACTTGTGTGATATTGCTCATTTATGAAAATGAATTGTATTGCTTTTGGACACTTGTTGATGCATGTTTTTCATCCATTCTAATAAAATAAAATATGAAGCACACAAAACTCATTTCAAACATTCCCACTATTTAATAACCAAATCTAGTGAAGCAATTTGATACGTCTGACTGGTGCTGTTGATTAAAAATCATCTTTTTCATACGCACTCAATGGCTATACTCACTGAAAAGCCAGTGTGTGGAGCAAAAGGATGAAAGAGAAAGAGAAAACAAGATAAACAAGCAAATAACAAAGCCTTTGGAGAAGAATTGGTCAAAAAAAGAAGGGAACGTGTCGACTTACAGCGGGTCCAGGAGGCCCCGGGGGTCCTTCATTCCCTTTCAAACCTGCTGATCCCTGCAAACAGACACAAAAAGCTGCTGAACGTACAAAATACACAACACGATATGTTTGATGATTAAAGGTGACACTGGGATTTATACACAACTACAAACTAAAAGAGCTCAAAATGTGCAAAACATACTTAAAAAATACATATAAAGGGCAATTTATACTAAAGTTGCGCACTATACACTCAAACATATAGTGACTATCAAGTGCATGAAGTTTTCAACATTCTACACTTATATTTATTGGTTGAATAAGTGCACTAAAAAGAATCTTTCAAAGCACACATACTATTTATACTACAAAATGGCCTAGAATAGTACTCACGATTTACTACACAAGTTCATGATTTGGGACACACCTCAAGTTTAAAGTCTTTTGTGAGCACATGTGTTAGCATCGCAGCTAACATATTTCAACAGCCCAGTTGTAAGTACCCAGATAGCAGGTTAGCTTGTTCTTTTAGCTCCCCTTTGGCTTGTTTTCTGTCCTATATAGGCTAACTGTTTACAATATTACATGAAGATTATCAAACTCGGTCGATCAAATAAAATACTAGCTCCATAAATAATAAATACTACAACGCCGAGCATGTGTGTTAGCATCGCAGCTAACATATTTCAACAGCCCAGTAACTTGCGTGGAGGAGCAGCACGGTGGCTTACTGGTTAGCACTGTTGCATCATAGCAAGAAGGTTGCTGGTTTGAGTCCTGGCCGGGTCAGTTTCCGTTTCTGTGTGGAGTTTGCATGTTCTCACACAGTCCAAACACATGCGCTATAGGTAAATTAAATAAAGTTAATCGGCCGTTGTGTGTGTGTGTGTGTGTGTGTGTGTGTGTGTGTGTGTGTGTGTGTGTGTGAATCTGAGTGTATGGGTGTTTCTCAGTACTGGGTTGCAGCTGAAAGGGCATCCACTAAGTAAAACATATGCCAGAATAGTAGGTGGTTCAATCCACTGTGGCGACCCCTAATATATAAGGGACTAAGCCGAAGGAAAATGAATGAACTTGGATGAATTGCTTGTTCAGCTCAAAGGCCTTTGCACACTAAAGTCCAAACGTTTTGTATGTGATTTTAATCTGGAAAATTCATCACCCTACTGAAAAAAACAGCTTAAACCAGCCCAGGGTGGTTGGCTGGTTTTAGCTGGTTGACCAGCCTGGTTTTTGAGGGGTTTTGGCCATTTCCAGGCTGGTTTCCAGCCATTGCCAGCCTGGTCTTAGCTGGTCAGGCTGGGAGATGACCAGCTAAAACCAGCTTGACCAGCCTAGCCAAGCTGGGAGCCCAGCAAAAACCAGCTATGTCCAGCTTAAACCAGGCTGGTCAAGCTGGTTTTAGCTGGATTTAGCTGGTCATTTTCCAGCCTGACCAGCAAAGACCAGGCTGGAAATGGCTGGAAACCAGCTAAAACCAGCCAACCAGCCTAGGCTGGTTTAAGCTGGATTTTTCAGCAGGGACACACAAACCTTGCACACAGAGTCTGATGCGTATTAATTAATTCATTGTGAAATTATTTTCAAAACAATACAAGAGTACTTTACAATACAAGAGTCTTTGAGTCATGATGCAGATTTTGTTGTCTTCTCTCTGCTTAACAAAAAAAGAAAAAGAAAATATTGGGTCCATCCCATCCTCAGATTCCGGAGAGAGGAAGCCAGGAAGGAGAGTTCCACCTCCTTATCTAAGAGCTGCGAGATTAACCCAACCGTTTCAAAGTTTACTTCAGGATGTCCATGGCTCAGTTTGATACTTTGCTAGCAATACTCGAACCACATATTAAAAAGAAGACCACCAGCTCCAGTGAGCCAATTGATCCTGAACAGACTGGCAGTTTGTCTAAGCTACAGGGACACAGACACACAAGCGCACACATCTTTCACTTATATGCCAGTCCTGAATTGTAAAAACACCTCTCAAAATGCCCTTTTCGATGCAAAATGTAACCCGATTGGAAGTTTTTTTTTATGATGGACGAAAGTTTCATAAGCAGTGTATCGAAAGGACTGACACAACGTGAGGTCAAATTGTTTTTTAAATTTACGTTCGGATTCAGTGTGCAATAACCTTAAGACTAACAATGTGCGCTAGCAAAACAAACATCATCCTTTTTAGATTTAATTTGAACTTTGTAAGTTACAGCCAGTGGTATTGTTGGTAATACTCACTACAGGGCCTGGTAAACCTCTCTCTCCTGGAAAACCTCTGAGTCCTGGAGGTCCGTCTTTACCTGAAGGTCCCGCTGGACCTGGATCTCCCTACACACGGAAAAAAAAAGAGAACATAAACAAGTTTGACCAATAGATAAATGTAAATATAGAGGTGTATTTTTGTGTTTATGTGTAGAAGAGGATATGCTATCATTTGGTTCACACCTTTGCTCCCTCTTTTCCTGCAGCTCCAGGTAGACCCTGTTCACCAGGTGGTCCTGGGGGTCCAGGGTGACCTCGCTCTCCCATTGGTCCCGTCTCACCTGTTGGTCCCTAAATGGAAAGTGAGATTGATAATGAATGAGTTTGTATAGTAGGTCCTTTATGAGTTGAACTGAATCATTTCAGTAAATGATTCTTTCGGGAATCAGTTCAATTCACTTACAGTCAAGTTGATTGATTCAAAACTATATATATATATATATATATATATATATATATATATATATATATATATATATATATATATATATAACATTTTTATCATGCGATTGAAATAATTTAATTCAGTTTAATTCAATTCAATTTAAAATGTAGTAAGCTAAACGAAAATGCATCAATTAAAAAGATCGATTCTTTAATAGATTCACTACGATTCAAAAACAATTCTTGGATTTTCAGCAGGAAGCAATTCACTGATGCTGTAATTTATTACTTGAAAATATTAGGATTAATTTAAATAAAAGCACTGCATATTTACTTTAAAAACAAATGATTCATTAACTAAATTTATTTTTACCTAGTTTGCATGTATGAATAATTCAAAGATATGATAAATTCAAACAATAAATCCCAAGCAGAACAAACGATTTGCTATTTAAAAATCATATTTTAAGGTCAACCGTTAATCTGCGCATTCAGAAAACAATTAACTGTTGTACTCTTAGTCTAAGGTACAGCATAATTAAGCAAGGCCATAAAACAGATGATGCTACAGGTGTTATTTTTTAAATATTAGCGCATATGCAAATGATGCAGCATAAATAAAGCGAGCAGGCGAATCGCATTACACGCATGCATTTGCATGGCAGAGCATGAGAATTGGAATATCCATATGTACGTGTGTGGCGTAGTTTAAACCTGTGCCCACCTCAACATTTGCATAAAAAGTAGAATATCATGATTGCTTATGAATTATTCATTACCCAAGCCAGCGCCAGCATCTAACCGCATAAACAAAAGCATGTCAGGAGACAAAGCACAGACAGACCAACAAACAACCCATATGTAACCTAATGGAGCCATTATGATTCCCCAGTGACAACCTCAGGACACCTTTAGGATAATCTAATGAGCGAGTGATGGCTGGTGACAGACTCATGAATATGCATCACGTGTCTCTGGTCTCTGCCTGTGGTAAAGTGATGCTGGAGAAACAGATGCGCGGCTTTCTGACAGAAATGCTTTATAATGTTTTATTCTTCTGCAGATTGTAAAGTGGAGTGCGGCTAATGCCTCCTGAGCATTCAAAATACAATAGAACGGCGTCTGAGAGCATCTTAAAAATGCTTAAAAACAGATTGAATTACCATAGCACTGGAAAGCAGGGTTTTTTTTTTAAACAGTGGCTGAGAGATCTTGTTCGTTTAAAACTCTCACCTTACCATAGATATATAAATTAGATATCGCATATGGCCCTTGGTCATCATCAATATCGCTGCCACATTTGTACAGTGCACCGAAGTCAAGACTTAAGCCAATCTGAAGATGCTGGGCTTTACCGCAGTGTATGGGTGAAGTGACAAGCATTAAAGGCACTAGTGATGGGAAGTTGGGATCATTTTGCTGACTCGGATCTTTGAGTCTCGTTCATCAAGATGAACAAATCTTTTTTCGAGTTCATTTGGTTCAATTTGCCAAAATGTTATTAAAATGTTACGAATTTCTTCCAAACACATCTACAACTAGCCCAAAAGGTTGATCAAACGACAAATAAGTCATAAATATGATATAAGAAGGAGAAAATAATAATTTAATGTTTATTTATGTTTGTCTATGAAGGCATTTTTGTCTCTTTGCTCAGCTCACCTCTTCGTGTCTTCAAATGTCAGGGGTTCATTCACGATACAATGACAGTCACATATAATCTTAATCAATGTACAGTCTAAGCCGATAGGAGCCATGATCGTTCGTTCATCACATGACAGAATGACTCAAACCCGAGGACTCGAGAGTTAAACGGTTCAATTCTTTTTTCGGCTCTAAACGTGTATGATTGGCCCGTGAGGAACGAATGACTCAGACCCGATAGAGGACTCGAGAGATGAACGGATCAAATCTTTTTCCGGCTCTAAACGCGTATGATTGGCCCGTGATGAACGAGTGACTCAGACCCGATAAAAGACTCGAGAGATGAAGGATCAAAACTTTTTCCAGCTCTAAACGTGTATGATTGGCCCGTGATGAACGAATGACTCAGACCCGATAAAAGACTCGAGAGATGAACGGATCAAATCTTTTTCCGGCTCTAAACGCATTTGATTGGCTTCTGCCAATGTGATGAAGACTTGAAATGAACGATACCACCTGCACAAATGTGCGCACACGCGGATGAGAGGACTCGTAGTTCCAGAGTCATATTGAAGATTCATTCAAAATGAACGAATCGTTCATGAACGACCCATCACTACAAGGCACAAAGACACAACATTTCTTAGGTAAGATTTAGTTTGACTGGATGTTACAAACTTTTGTGCTAAACAAGTGTTTTGATCATAATACAGTCACTTACAGAACTGACCATAAGGCAAAGTAGCACCAACTTGCACTAAATACTAGGCTTATGCTAGTTTGGTTGAATAAAATTAACAAACAATGTAAATTAACTATGACAACAAGACGCTGAGTTGTATTACTGTCGACTAAGCATTACGTTATAAATATATAAATATATAAATATATAAAAGTGCCTTCGCCTTCATGTGCATACTTTCTATCCGAAATTATTGACTATTACAAATGCTATATACCATTTAGATCAGAAATGTGGATTAAGCACATTAGATGTAGTGATATTGATGGTTCACATGAGCGTTGATAGAGATTTATTCACAAATGAATTGCTCCCTATTAGAAGTGAAAGAGGGGTGTGCTTCAGGACATGGATTAGATCAAATTGAACAGGGAGGGACGATAATACATTTACATGCTCACAATCACGCACTCTTTGTCGGCAATGCCCGTGCAATCACTTATCCATCCATCTAGAAAAGTGATGTCAAATTATAATTTTTATCATTAAAATAACAAAAATGTTAATTCTAATTATAATTTTTAAAATTATAAATATAATTTTTTTAAATTGCATACTGAGCACCGGAAAACTCTTGATCATAGATTTATGTATATATGTATATATAGGATTCTGTGTTCAACTTACCTGAGGTCCGACTACACCTGGAGGTCCGGGAGGTCCAGTTTTTCCTTGGAAACCCTGCAAAAAGTGAAATATCATAAGTATGAAATATGCATATGTGATAGGGCTGCACAATATATTGTTTTAATATTGATATCGCAATGTGCGTCTATGGAAACTTCACATTAAAGGATGTGCAATGTACATTTAGTCAATCAATCCATCCATCTATTAATCTGCTATAAATATACCCTTACTACAACCAAGGGGATGCCCAAAGTGTTTTAAAACAATAAAACAAAATCACATACTAAAACACTGTAAAAGATTAACAACATACTGTAATCGAAACAAAGACAATAAAAACATTAAAAGGGGGCAGTGTTTTTGCATATCAATATAAAAAGCAATTATAAAAATACAGTTGAAGAATTATTAGCCCCCCCCTGAAGTATTAGCCTCCCGTTTATTTATTTTTTTCCCCCAATTTCTGTTTAACGGAGAGAAGATTTTTTTTATTTAACTAGATATTTTTCAAGACATTTCCATAAAGCTTAAAGTGACCTTTAAAGGCTGAACTAGATTAATTAGGGTAACTAGGCAGGTTAGGGTAATTAGGCAAGTTATTGTATAACGATGGTTTGTTCTGTAGACAGTGGAAAATAAAATTAGCTTAAAGGGGCTAATACTTTGACCTTTATATGGCTTTTTAAAAAAATAAAAACTGCTTTTATTCTAGCCTAAATAAAACAAATAAGACTTTATCCAGAAGAAAAAATATTATCAGACATACTGTGAAAATTTCCTTGCTTTGTTTAACCTCATTTGGGAAATATTTAAAAAAAAGAAAACAAAATTCAAAGGCGTGATAATAATTATGACTTCAACTCTATACTTTTTTAATGTTTAGCCTGGCTTATAGTTGACCAGAAGCCACAGTTTAGAACAAAAATATTTGTAGAGTCATTTGTTTAACTATAACAGTATGCTATTATGCTTAAGTATGCTTCACACGGGTGAGTGGGCTTGACAAACCACCTGTAGAACCACTCTTCTCTCTCAAAAAACTAAGAAAAACCTCCCCCTCCTTATTCTAGCACTTAATGTTCTGAGCACAAACAGTTCCTATGTATTTAGCACTTCTTCTGTGTTTTCCTTTTCTTGTTGAATCCATGAATGCCCCCTCAATTGTAAGTAGCTTTGGACAAAAGCGTCAGCTAAATTACTTAATGTAAATGTAAAAGAGTGGAATATTGACGTGTTTTTTTAGGCCTGTGACTGTGTTAAAGCATTTTAAAAGTGTTTAATACAATCAGGCACAAGAAATTGCATAACTGGTAACTTCAATTAAGGTTAATTGTTTATCAAATTATTAACAGTATTAACACTGTAAGGTGTCGTTTCACATTTGATTATTCAACTGGTGTACCTGAATTCTGTTAAGAATCTAACCGTAACCCTACCTAGAAAACCATAAAGCTGTTCATTTCATTTGCATCTTTTCTCTCTTGTAAACTACCTGACAAAAGTCTTGTTGTTAATATCAGTTGTAACAGCAACAAACAATAACTTGACCTCTAGTTGATCATTTGGGAAAGTGGCAGAAGGTCGATTTTTCAGACAAGCTGCATCCCAATCATCACAAATACTGCAGAAGACCTAGTGGAAATCACATGGACCCAAGATTCTCACAAAAATCGGTCAAGTTTGGTGAATGAAAAGTCATGGTTTGGGGTTACATTCAGTATGGGGCCGTGCAAGACATCTTCAGAGTGGATGGCAACATCTGAGGTATCAAGGCATTTGTGCTGCTCATTACATTACAAACCGCAGGAGATGGCAAATCCTTCAGCAGGATAGCGCTCCTTCTCATACTTCAGCCTCCACAACAAAGTTCCTGAAAGCAAAGAAGGTCAAGCTGCTCCAGGATTGGCCAGCCCAGTCACCTGAGATGAACATTGTTGAGAATATCTGGGGTAAGATGAAGGAGGAGGCATTGAAGATGAATCCAAAGAATCTTGATGAACTCTGTGAGTCCTGCAGGAAAGCTTTCTTTGCTATTCCAGATGACTTTATTAATCAGTGATTTGAGTCACAGCAGAGATGTATGGATGCAGTCCTCCAAGCTCATGATGGAGTCAGACACAATATTCATTCTTTTTCCACTCCAGCATGACTTTATATTCTATACTGGACATTATTTCTGTTAAGTGACAAGACGTTTGTCTAAGTAACGTCAGACCTTACTGTCCTAATTAAATAATTAAAAATCAAGGATGGTCATATTTTATTTTGCTAAAATAAGCGTAATCTAGAGGCCTTTGTGTTTCATATAAGCCACTTCTGATACCAAACGATCAACTAGAAGTCAAGTTATTATGTGCTGTTCCTAAAACTGTGATTTAAAAAAAAACTTGTGATTTGTTTATTATTCTTTATTCATGATTCACGCCACTACAGAATCATTTTAATAAAACCTAAATGAAATAAACATTGAGCTCTTCAATACACATCGCAGAAAAACAAAATATCGCAATGTCCTATTTTTCCAATATCGTGATATTAGATGCTACTCACAGTCTCTCCTCTCTGACCAGGGTGTCCGGGCAGTCCATCTTTACCAGGAGGTCCCTGAAAAACAAGAGAGTGAGGGAGAATCAGGATAGATAATTGAATGATGATACTGTAGTTGTTTTTAAAACATCAACATCACATACAGGTGGACCCTTAGGGCCCGGGAATCCAGCTGGTCCTTGTGGTCCCAACAGACCCTATAAGAAAACACAGAAACTGAGGTTAAATCTCTCTCTGAAGCAATATAGAATAATCAATTCTTTGGATTAGTTCAATGACTATTTCTACCATACCCGTTCACCGGGTGGTCCTGGGGGGCCATCGCTTCCAGAGTTGCCCTGTGGTGGAGAAACAAACGAGAAAGGGATGAGGAAATTAAACAGAACATTTTAATATTTCAGACTGTTTGTAAACGCCCACGCAAATGCGTTTAAATATTAATACCGTAAAACGTGTGCTTATTGCTGGAGGTAATGAGTGCCATTAAAGATCTGTTTGACTGATGGAGGATGTGGAGGTCTGTAAAATCTCTGTTGCATTTCAATTTGCTCCAGCTGAGCCAAACATTGCGTTTTGAAATGTAATAAGACCGTTAGCTGCTGTCAAAGTATTCACTTTTTAGATTTCATGCCAACACAAATGATGAAAGAGCTTTAAAATATCCCGTAAAAAAGAGAGTTGTTATCTGTTAGGATGTGGTGTGCTTTAGCTGAGTGAGTTTTTATGTGCAAGCGCACGCATTTGTTTTTATTATAGTTTTTTTTTTTACATTTTGGACATTATATTAAAGGGGTAGGGGCGAGGGCAGCGCAGTGGGTAGCACTGTCACCTCACAGCAAGAAGCCTGTTGGTTCATCTCAGCTGAGTCAGTTGGCATTTCTCTGTGGAGTTTGTATGTTCTCTCCATGTTAGCATGGGTTTTCCTGCGGGTGCTCCGGTTTCTCTCACAGTCCAAACACATCTGCTATAGGTGAGTTGAATAAACTAAATTGGCTGTGTGTGAATGTGTGTGAATGTGAGAGCGTATAGATGTTTCCCAGTACTGGGTTGCGGCTGGAAGGGCATCCACTCTGTATAACATATGCTTTCATTCTGCTGTGGCGACCCCTGATAAACTACGCCCAAGGAAAATGAATGAATGAATTAAAGGGGTAGTTCACCCAAAAATCTAAAATTCAATTCAGTTCAAATTAAGTTTATTTGTAAAGCACAATAATTCACGATAATTATTGTTTCAAAGCAGCTTTACAAAAGGTGCACATTATTACATTACAGTTATTTTTTATCAAAACTTCATTGTTTACTAATAACTTTAATTAATTAACTAATAACCAGGGCCAGACAGAATCTGCGGACATTTTTTTAATACACCTGTGCAGAATTTTGTAAAAAAAAATCTGATTCATGCAGAATAATTTTGGAAGTATGATAACAAAAATATATGAAATTAAAAAAAATCACACCTTCTTAACTTTTATTTAATGTTTACAATGCTAATCCAATTCGATTCACTTAATTGGTAAACAAAGCAAGACTCTTATATAATATATCTACTAAAAGACAGACAATATTATGTCACAAGCTGTATTGTAAATAAATCATATGAACATTTTTATATTAGTCAATAATATTACTGAAATTAATTTAAAAACGAAATAAATATAAATGTACACACAAGTAAATAAACAGACGAAGTGATGGTCTAACAGTTTGTAGAAATCTGCGGATTTCTGCACAGATTCTATGTGGGCCTACTAATAACTACTCTGTTAAAATAGTTGGGTTAAAAAATACCCCAACATATAATCCAACTGTAGGTTATTACTGTATAGCACCTTCCCAACTATGGGTTATTTTGATTAAATGTTATTTTTTCCATTCTAGTATTACTAATGCTACTATTACTAGTACTACTATTATTTTTATCATTATGGCTGTGTAAATAAATAACATGCAGTTTTCAAAAATATTGAAAATGCTTTATTTCCACCACATTTTAAGTTCCAGACACATCGTTTTTACCCATTTAATATAGATCCGCCACGAAGCGCACGTTTGTATCATCAATAATCGAGAGTGCTGGTGAAACGATAGAAAAAAATGACAGGAAGACGTAATTTGATTTTAAAAAACAATAACAGTACTGTGTTGGAGCTTAAACGTTATAAAACAAAAACAACATTACGCACACATATTGATACAGCTGTTCTGTGTCAGTTAAATTAGTTGCCTGCTGAAATTTTTAACCCAACTGACTGAGTTGTTAAAAAAAATAATAAAGTTTAAAAATAACCCAACAAAGCTCCATACATTTTTTACTCGACCATTGGGTTAAATAAATAACTCAACGTTTTTTAGAGTGTAATAACGAATCAATTAAACTTAAACAATACAAATGTTTATTTTTCTGTGTGGACATTGACAAAAATGAATCATTTATCCTCTGCTTTTTCCAAACCGGTTTGATTTTTGTTTTCTGTTGAACTCCAAAGGAAATATATTGAATAATGCTGGAAAGCTGGAAACATTGACTTCCGTAGGATTTGTTTTTCTTCCTATTGAAGTCAATAGTTACCGTTTTTAAACATTCTTCACTATATCTTCTTTTGTGTTCAACAGAACAAAAACAACTCAACTCAAAACTTTAAATGAACTAAGGCAGAAAACATTTCCTAAAAAAAAAAAAAAAAAATTAGCCTGTTTCAAAATAATACAAATGTAAAATAGCAGAGAAATAGGAGAGCCTCACCTTTGGTCCTGCTTTCCCTGTGGGTCCCCTCGGCCCTCTTTCACCACGAGGTCCCTATAGAGAAAAGGGGGAACAAAGTGTGCATGCATGAGAAAGCAGAGTGCGGAATCAGTCCTAAAGCCTAAATAACAAGCATCTAAGAATAGTTTGCTTCTGTGCACATTTTTTTCATCTTACCGTGGGTCCTCTCTGTCCTCGGGGGCCCGGCTTTCCTGCTGTCCCCTATGTGTGACAGAGAATAATATGTAAATTTAATACAAAAAAATAAATACATTAAAGAGATAGTTCACCCAAAAATGAAAATTCTGTCATCATTTACTCACCCTTGCTTTGTTTATAACCAGTTTAAGGGCTTTTTTTTGGTCTGTTGAGCACAAAAGGAATTATTCTGAAGAATGTTAGAAACCTGTAACCATTGACTTCCAAACAAATACTATGGAAGTCAATGGTTACAGGTTTCCAGCATTTTTCTAAATATCTTTTTTAGTGTTCGACAGAACAAATTACTCATATTGGTTAAGAACATGTCTAAATGATTATAGAATAGTCATTTTTGGGTGAACAATCCCTTTGACACATTCTTACACTCTGTACAAAAATGAATGCTGCCTAATTTTTATAGTTCAATCAATTTGACGTTTCTAGTCATCTCAACTTACTAATCAAACGGACTAAAAATTTATTTGGTTGAACTTTATATTACCTTTTATAATAAGTTAAACTTTGTAATGACTAAACTACTAATAAATAAACGGTGTGCAGTGCAATTACTAATCCAGCATTTTATTTTATTAATGACTTTATTTATTAAAAATAGATGTACGTTAACAGATATCAAAATAAATGCATGTTTTTAAATGATTTTTGTCTGCAAATTCAGACATTAAAAAATGATGGCTGTTATTTGTGTAATTACGACAGAACCACAAGCCATGCTTCTTACAGCTCAGTATAACTGATTAATTTGATTATCTGTAGATTACATTAGCACTATCCATCTTATGAATACTTAATGCAGTGAGTTATGCTGGAACAAAGAAAGTTGTGCATCAACAAATGAATTCAGCATGTGTGTGTGTGTGTGCGCGCGCGTTTGTGTTTAATGGCTTGAGAGAATAAGAGGTTTTAGGATTATAATGTGTTTATGGGAGACTGCATTGTCTTCCTAATGGCAGCAGCTGCTGCTCTCAGCTTAAATGTGATGATATACAGCCAATAAAGCAACCGTGCAGAGAGCTGGGAGTTTACTGAGGCCTTTCCCTGCTTTTCTGGGCCAGAACAGCTCCAATAGCAGGCATTTTACGCACACACACACACACACACACACACACACACACACACACACACACACACACACACACACACACACACACACACACACACACAGACACACACACACACACACACACACACACACACACAGACACACACACACACTATAGCTCAAAGAACTGTTAGCTTTAATACTCTGAGACAAAAACCCAGAGCTTTACTGCTGATATATACTGTAGTGCGCGAGTTAAAATAACTACATATATAATACATTTATCTGCCTTTTCAAGCAGCACTTTCATTACTAGTCATTATTAGAGTTTCTCAGACCTCATACGAGTTTGGTACAACATGATGTTGTCTAAAATATGACAATTTTATTATTATTATTTTTTTATATATAACAAACTAATAACATTACTTTTTGTTCAATTTTATCATATTAATAATTAATAATAAACCTAATTTTACTTTATTTTATATTACTTTTCAGTTCTGTCAGGTTGTCGAATCTGATTGGCTGATAGCCATGCAATATTCTCCAATAACAGCACTCATACAGCCTCCTCACCCTTGTGTATTACTCCACATATAGAGTGGCAGCAGATCAATAAACCCACTACAGTTTGACAACACATTGCAACCGTTGGACAACATCATGTACTTTTGAGGCAATGTAGTTGTTTAGATTGCAACTATACAGTTTATTTTCATAAGCATAGTGCCTATTTTAAAATATTTAACACTTCTGAGATACAGCGCGTCAGCATCCATCAGCCTGTCATACTGAGCAGAGCAAAGACGGTTGATGGTCCACCACAAGATGGCGATAGAGAGCGCATAATAAGTCCTTAGAGGCAAAAAAAACTCAGCGTTATTTCAAACAACAGCTGATCAAATCATTATAAAACAGGTAAGTGACATTGTAAGTTGATCTCTCTATTTTGTATGTTGTAGTGCTGTATTTATACCATAGTAATTTGGTAGTGTTTGCTTTGCTTTGGCTTTAATTACTGTGATATCCCAATTGCAACTGAGCAATGCTGGGAAATGTCTCTAGACTCATGGTATTTCAAGCCGTTCGACCTTACAATCCTAAAATGTAAGCTAAATCCTCTTTTGTCAACACTTTAGACATTACGCTAGAGAATCATTCAAATACTAGCTTGTAAGTGACGTAAAGTGAAGTTTGTGAATTAGCAATGGTTTCTGCTGTTCTGACGTTGATTTTCTTTTTTATACACATGATTATGCCGTCGAACTGTTGTATAAATGCAATATCACACTTATAGAAGCGCGATATGACTGTATATCATCACTGGTGCGACACTAAGGCACTCGGCCTGCAGCTTCGAGCCATCGCAGCCTCCCACCAGTGCCAATATACAGCCGTATTGCACTGCTACTCATGTAATATTGCTCTCACACACACACACACACACGTATATTTAAAAAAACAAGCTAATTGAAACTTAGAAATGTTTCCTTAGCAAGATATTTAGTTCAATTTAAAGCTTTAAATAAAAGTTAAAATGTAACTTTGTGTAATAAAAGTTTTAAATGTACTAACTTTTATTAAATCATTCATTAAATCTGTTATTAAATCTGCATTCTTTCACTTACGTCGCATTTCCCAACTGCCTCCCTTCATCAGTAGGAAGGATGCTGAGACTGTCATCCATGCATTTGTCTCCTCACGCATCGACTACTGTAATGTTCTTTTCATTGGTCTGCCTGCCAGCCTCATCTCCAGATTACAGTATATTCAAAACTCTGCGGCTAGAATACTCACTCACACCAAACGTTCTGCTCACATAACCCCAATCTTGTACGACCTCCATTGGCTCCCAGTTGCTTATCGCATTAAATTCAAAATTCTCCTCTTTGCATTTAGATCCCTAAATAGCCTAGCTCCCTCCTATCTCTGCAACATGCTTGTCCCCTACACCCCAACTCGTTCATTACGTTCCGCTGACTCTGGTCTTCTCGCTGTCCCTCGGTACCGCCTCTCTTCAATGAGGGGCAGATCATTTAGTGTTATTGCACCCAAACTCTGGAACTCCACGCTCACTCCACTCTGCTAATAATATCTCTGAATTCAAATCCTTACTTAAGAATCACTTATTTTCTGAATGCTTCGCTTCTGATCTGCCAAACTGACTACTTTATCTGATTCACCTCCACTCTGCTCATTTGTCTCCTCTGTCTTGTTTGTGTAAATCCAGTTTGTTATATTTGACTTCATGTATGTTTGTTTATCTTTTTGTCGCATTCCTTATAAAGTGTCCTTGAGCTTTGAAAAGGCGCTATATGAATAAAAATTATTATTATTATTATTATTATTATTATTATTATTATTATTAAAAATTGACTTTTATTTAAAGCTAAGGAATTTTTAAACTATTAATTACCATGTTTTTCCATCTTAAATTAATTTAATTTTGAACTATTTTGAAGAAACATTCGCAGCATTTTATTGCTTCAAATGAAATCCAAGCTATATTTTATTTAGATGCTAATTCAGTATTCCTAATTTTTATTTGTTTCAGCTTAGCAAGATTTTTAACAAAAGAGTTTTTTAATAAATATAGTTTCATTAGAGTCTTTAATTCCCTATTGGTGCCATATTTATGAACTCCAACGCAATTCTAGATCTCAATTAGACTACAATCGATGTAAACAAGATTTTCTCTCAAATTGCACTGAACAAAACTGCTCCAATTGCATTTATTAAAGATCCTCATATTACATCAGAGATATTCTTCAATATTAAATATTTTCCATTACGTTATATGATCACCCTGCATTTCAATTCTCAAAAGTAAGAAACCTCACAGAAACCCAGTGCATTATATCCTTCCGTCACTTCAAAACATAAAAAAAGCCTCTTCGTGAGAGAAAGAAAAAGCAAACGCAAAAGAGAAACCCTTTGGCTTTTACACACCCTAGTGCCTTTCTCTCCACTGGTGCCCTGGAATCCCTGAAATCCTTGAGAGCCCTAAAAAAGAGAAAGAGAGAGATTAATTCACAGGTCCATCAAAGCGAGGACAGAGAGAGGGATAAAAGGAGGAGAAGAGAGAAAAAGTGCTGCTGCAGCAGTGCATGCTGGGTCACGGTCAAACGGAAAGCTGACACCAGATGGCATTATGGGTAAATCCACTTAGCTTTGATCAAGAAGTTCAAACATGTCTGCTTTTCGCTGCGGCTCTAATGCATGCACACACACACAACCTCAGCCTTATATCAATACACACACACACAAACACACTGAGGATGCTGGGTAATCACTGGCAGATCGGGTGTGTTTACCTTGGGTCCTTGCCGGCCTGGATAACCTGGCAGTCCGGGTACACCCAGCTTACCCTAAAACCAAAACACACTATGAGAAACATGAGCAAATGTGACCAAACACTGACAAAAAGCTGGATTATATGTGTAACATGCTATTGAATAATTAGCATATATTAAGTTTATTAAGTTAGAAAGTCTTTAAGCAAACCTTATTGCGAAACAGTACCACAAATAGTGCAAACAGTGTATGTTCAATTACACATTGTGTAAATTAGAAGTGCTTATAGTGTATATTCAATATTGTTTGTATATATTAGAAGCGTTTATAGTGTATGCTCAATTTTATATATATATATATATATATATATATATATATATATATATATATATAATTGAATATATATATATATATATATATATATATATATTCAATTATATACAGGGCATTGTACCGTTTATAGCGTATTTTAATTATATATTGTTGTTATGTATTAGAAACGTTTATAGCTTACTTATCTAATATATATTGTGCTTATATATTACAAGCATTTATAGTGAGTATATTTTATTATAAATTGTGTATATATATTACAAGTGCTTATTGTGCATATTCAATGATATATTGTGTGTATATGTTAGAAACGTTTATAGTGTATGTTTATTGATATATTGTGTGTATATATTACAAGTATTTATAGTGTACATTCAATTTTATATTGTGTGTATATTACAAGTGTTATAGCGTATATTCAATTATATATTGTAGCATTTATAGTCTATATCCAATTATATATTGTGTGTATAAGAAGCATTTACATTGTATATTTAATTATATATTGTGTCTATATATAAGAAGTGTTTATAGTGTATATTCAATTATATATCGTTTGTATATATTACAAGCATTTATAGTGTATATTCAAGTATATATTGTGTGTGTAAATATTAGAAGCATTTATAGTGTATATTCAATTATATATTGTGTGTATATATTATAACCGTTAATACTTATGTTTAATTATATATTTTGTGTATATATTAGAAGTGTTTATAGTGTATAGTCTATTATATATTGTGTGTATATATTATAATCATTTATAATGTATATTTAGGTACATATTGTGTGTATATATTACAAGTGTTTAAGGTGTATATTCAATTATATATTGTGTGTATATATTATAATCGTTTATAATGTATATTTAGCTATATATTGTGTGTATATATTAGAAGTGTTTATAGTGTATATTCAATTGTACATTGTGTGTATATATTAAAAGCGTTTATAGTGTATATTTAGTTATATATTTTCTGTATATATTCAAAGCATTTTTAGTGTGTTTAATTATATATTGTGTGTATAAATCATAAGTGTTTATATTGTATTTTCCATTATATATTGTTTGTGCATATATTGGAATTGTTTATAGTGTATATTCAATTACATATGGTGTGTGTATATTAGAAGACTAGAACAATCTTCCTAACTAAATCTGAGCCTCTGAGTGACGTGAAAAGCACTATTCATATAGAGCAAAATTCATCACCTAAAGTACTGTCCCACTTACCTTCTCTCCTAAGGGTCCCAGTGGTCCAGGATCTCCAGGCAAACCAGATCTGCCTTTGGGTCCCTCGGGTCCATCTTCACCTCGGGGTCCCGCAGCACCAAGCTCTCCCTAAACACACATCAGACATTTTACACACTGCAGATCATTGAAATACAGACTTAGTCTACTAGTTTGACTAACTGTTTGATTACTAACTAACTATAAGACAACCATCTATCTATCTATCCAGTTGATGACTAATTAACAACTAACTAGTTTTACTAACTACCAAATTATTAACTAGTCTGCCTTTTAATTTAAAGATAATCTATCTAGACTTCAAATGTAACAAACTAATTAACTGACAACTAACAATCCATCCAACTGATGACTGACAACTAACTAGTTTATCTTAGAATAGATCAGGTCAAGTTTAACTGATTATTAGCTTAATAACTAATCAGCCATTTTAACTGAAAAATAATATATAGACTCCAAATATAATTAACAAACTAACTTAACGACAACTAACTATCCATCCAACTAACTATCCATCTATCTGATGATTAATTGACAACTAACTAGTTTATCAGTTTAACTAAAAATATATTACGTGCACAAGTTTAAATAACTAGTAGTTTATAATTAATCTACCATATACTAACCAACAGACTAGCTAACTAACTAACTAACTAACTAACTAACTAACTAACTAACTAAGAGACAACTAACTATCCCTATATATAATGACTAATTGAGAACTAAGTGGTTTAACTAAGAATTTATCAAGTCTACAAGTTTAACTCTGATTATTAACTAATCTTCCATTTTAACTAAAAATTAACTAACTAACTAACTAACTACCTATCCATCAGACAACTATCAATTCATCTGATGACTAATTGAGACCTAACTAGTTTATCAGTTTAACTAAAAAAATAATCTACTATTTTAACTAAACACAAAGCAACTAGCTAACTATCTAGCTAGCTAGCTAGCTAACTAACTAACTAACTAACTAACTAACTAACTAACTAACTAACCAATCTTCTAACTAACTAACCAACCAACCATCAGACAATTAACCATCCATCCATCTGATGACTAACTGACTAACTAGTTTACCAGTTTAACTACAAGCCAAGTCTAAAATTATAACTATCAGATTATTAACTACCATTTTAAATAAAAAAATATCTATAGACACTTCAAATATAACTATCTACCTACCTAGCTAACTACCTAACTACCTAACTAACACAAACAAAGGAAATATTTAAAATAAACCAATTCAATTGACCCCTCAAACTTGTGGACATTTACAATAATAGTTTAATTCATAAAATTGTTTATATAAAACAGTTTAAATGTAATTCACTTTCTGTGAAAACATTCAAACACAGAGGCTTCTGGGTATTATGTGGAATAAAACTGTGGAGGTTATGAACAGACCTTGAATGTCTTTATCACAAGTAAAAGTGATTTACGAAAGTCAATCCTGAATAAACGTTTTAAATAATAAAACTACCTTTCTGTAGACATTTACTGTGTGTGTGTGTGTGTGTGTGTGTGTGTGTGTGTGTGTGTGTGTGTGTGTGTGTGTGTGTGTGTGATTTGTTTTTGCCACTTTGAAGATAATAGAGGCAAAGATGGCCACTTTAGCAGCATGGGAACAGTGAAGTGCGTGTGTGGCATTTAACAAGACTAAAGGGTAATTTGGGACAATGTCCACCCACTTAAATCTAGAAACATTTGCATACTGGCCCCTAATAACCCAGAGCGGGGCGCGTTTGCTCATTACAGACATTAACTCAGAGACACGACTGAGTCAGCAGATTTATAACACACAAAAATCACATTAATTACACTGAGAGAATATAATGCCCCCTTCAACCTAACTCAAAACACTCTTTAATCTGTTTGTGTATCTGTCTGTCTGTTTGTCTGTCTATCTATCTAAAACACTCAGATTACTAACTTTCTATCAATTTAACAAAGAAAATCTCTAAAGTTTACACATCTAACTAGCTAGCTAAATAAATAACTGTCTACCTGATAACTATCTAGTGTAAAAGTTTAACTAATCAACAAGCTGTCAGCTATCAGATTATAACAAACTATTAGACATCTAAAGTTTCTATTACTTTAACTAAAAACATATCCAGTCTACAAATTCAACTAACAGACACTATCTATCTATCTATCTATCTATCTATCTATCTATCTATCTATCTATCTATCTATCTATCTATCTATCTATCTATCTATCTATCTATCTATCTATCTATCTATCTATCTATCTATCAATTTTTCCATCCATCCATCTATCCAGTTCACCTAACAAATAAGTAATGCTCTATCTATCTAATGAATATCAGACAACTAACAAGTCTACTAGTTTAACTAACAAAGAATATATCTAGTATCTATCTACATCTAATGTTGATAAATAATGTTTATTACATTGGGTCCCTTTTATACACCTGGCACAATAAGGCGCAAGACGTGTTTGCCCAGGTGAGAGCAAATCCATCTGCCACAAGAGGTATGTTAAGGCGCATTTTTGGCACGTTGCTATTTTGAGGAACTAAAATAGACTCTGCAATAGACCAGCTGAAAGCAGGTACTTTCCACATAAATATAAAAACCTCAGCCTCCATGCCTTCTTCAACTCAGGGGGCTTTTTTCAGTTTATTCACAACAACTTACTTTTGTATAATGTTATTATTATTAGTAGTAGTAGTAGTATTTATCACATGCACATTTATATTTGTTTTATTAAAAACAAGATTAGATTTGTCCACCTGTCAGGTTTTAGACCATATAGGGCATAGCATGTGTGTTTGGATATAACTGTTATCGTATATAAATCGTTATTACTGTTCATTTATTCATTTTGCTGGAAATTAGAACTGAATTTAGAAATAAATTAGAAACAAATCTTTGCACTTAACAAACTAAATTAATTATGTAGGCTAACAGATGTCTGTGTGTACAACACTGTTTCCTTATCCACGAGAAAGTGAATGTAAAGAGAAAGTGAATGTAAAGGCCGATTGGAGGAGGCTCATTCTTTATCCTTGTGCTGCAAATGGTCTGTTTAACTGTTTTCTCGCTAGTGAAGTGTTCCATTTTTCCACTTACAAAGTCTATCATGTAAATAGCAACTGACTTTTAAAGGGAATGGGAGATGAGATGTAAAACACATCTCATTAAGAGAATAAGCTCAACCCTGTTAGACCATGCGCCGCAGCACAAATTGTATTTTTTCGTCCTTAAATAGCAAAAGTGGATTCGGACAGGCCCTTAATGTTTTAGACTTTGCGCCTAGATCATTAAAATAGAGCCCATAGAGTTACCACGATGTTGTTTATCAGTTGAGCACCTTCAAAATATTAGTATGTTTTTCTGCTTGTGCTAATCATGTGACTCTCATCATAACCTACTTTTGTTTTTTTTAAATATCAATGTTAATGATACTAGAACTTCTATGTTAGGCTGCTTTGACACAATCTACAATGTAAAAGCGCTATAGAAATAAACATGAAACATGAAAACATGAATAATTAACCTTCAAATGTTTATAATTACTGAAATAGAGTAGTTTACTGTATATGTATAAATGCTCATACCTTATTTTTACAGCAAAATGTGGTCAACCACATCTGCCAATTTTTTTTATTGTAAATTTTACAGAATATTATTATTATTCAATATTATATTTTTTACAGTGTGTGTCTGTGGAGTTCAGGAGCTTCTCTTTCTGTGATATGTCATTGCTAAGGGGGTTTTTAGCACATTTCTTTATGTCCAAATCCCCAAGCTCTGGTTTTTAGGTACGGCTCAGGTTTGTTCTTCAGTGAGCGTCTATATTTGCTCAAATCCCAAAGCTTACGAGCAAAAAAGCAATAGTGGTGGACCACTAAATATAGACACACAGTGATTTGTCTAATTCTTCAGAGATGCTCTGTGAATTAAAGATCGACCCAAGTGAAAAGAGAAATCAAATCCTATTATTCCCCTGAGATAAACCCAACACAAATAACCTCTTCAACTTGAGAATAAATCTCTCACCTTGTCCCCTTTAACGCCCATATCTCCCTTAAATCCCGGGAATCCGTCTTCTCCCTGAGAAAGAAAGAGAGAGAGAGATGAAGATTTGACACTCTGAGAAACTTCCTTTCACACATAATACCTTTTTTTTTGACAAATGCAACAGGAGCGATCTCCATGGCAACTGCTATTTCTGCTATTTGCAAGGGCCTGATCTTATTTTCCTGCGGCGTACTCTCGTAGGATAAAACTTTTTTAATGACCAAAGCGAGAAGGTCAAAAATGCATCTTGGAGTATGTTATCAGTTCCATATTCAGAAGCAGAAATGAAACATTAATGATACACGGGAGCAGTGCATTAGCCGTCGGCGCGCACGCACACACTCACAGTCAGATGAACACACTCTAAAATTACCTTTTCACCCTTGTTTCCTTTCAGCCCGCGGACTCCATCAGCACCCTGCAGATAGAAGGAGCCAATGAAAAAAAGAAAGAGGCGAAATCAACAGAGGCCATCTAGACTTCAAATCTCTGAGAAAGCAAACCTCTGTGATGGTGAATGCTGTGTATGAAGCATGAAGGCGCTAAAAGCACATTTTCAAAGCAGGCTGACTTGCTGTCTGCTTTCTACATGAATTGCATCCTCGTGTTGTAACTGGTTTATAATGCAAGCCGGATGAAAGATTTCACTCACTCAACTGATTATCCATTAAACTCTCACTTTTAGATTAGAATTAGACTGTTTAGTTTTGACTGTCACGCAATGATTGAATTGCCATGATATTTCTAAATACAAAAAAGACAGATACATTTTTTTTTTGCCTTTCAAAAACATAACTCAATTCCATTGTAAACTTTCACAGGCTGCCTGACTGAGAAAAAAGCATCTGTATAGGTGGTGAGGCACCTTTTTGAAGACAATTAAGGAGCTATTTTCAAAATTTGGCATTTACGAATGAAGAATTTAGATCTAATAAGTAAACATTTTGCAGTGGAAAGCCAACTAAATAAAAGTATAGGCAATTAGCAGTGTCAGAACATCAGAAGTGCCTCATCCTTTACTACTAGGAACTACACCAACATTCACTGAACAATCAGGGATTGTTATGAGATCTACTAATGACTGTTGAGATGGAAGAAATGAAGATTAAAAACCACAAACCTTCACACCTCGAGGCCCAGGATAACCAATCGGCCCTTGAGGACCATGAGGTCCCTGTAAAATACAATCAGTTATTGATCACATCTAAAGCTGCATTTGTACAACAAAACTGCCACAAACTCATAAGATAGAGGAAGAGAAATGCAGGATAAACACATACCAAGTTTCCTTTCTCTCCTGATGGCCCTTCTTTCCCTGGGTGACCCTATTTTGAAGAACGATATGCAAGTTATGATATTGTTAACACTATAAAGACATCAAATCTTTGAGTTGTCGCTTTGAGAAAAGAGAATCTATCTGCTTCTATATGTATTTATCTTCCAGATGACTGACAGACAACTATCTAATGTGTGCCCATATTGTCTACAAGCTTAACTAACTAACTAACTAACTAACTAACTAACTAACTAACTAACTAACTAACTAACTAACTAACTAACTAACTAACTAACTAACTAACTAACTAACTAACTAACTAACTAACATATTACCATCTGACAACTAACTAGTATTTCAACTTAACAATCTTGTCTACAAGCTTAACTAACTAACTAACTAACTAACTAACTAACTAACTAACTAACATATTACCATTTGACAACTAAATAGTATTTCAACTTAACAATCTATCTTGCCTATACATTTAAGTGACTAACGAAGTAACGAACTAACAAACAAACAAACAAACTAACTAACTAACTAACTAACTAACTAACTAACTAACTAACTAACTAACTAACTAACTAACTAACTAACTAACTAACTAACTAACTAACATATTACCATCTGACTACTAACTAGTCTATCAATTCAACAATATGTCTAGTCTATTCGTTTAAGTGACTAACTAACTAACTAACTAACTAACTAACTAACATTACTATCTGACAACTAACAATTCTACCAATTTAACAAACAATCTATTTAGTCTATGTTTGACTAACTAACATAATACTATTGGACAGCTAACTAGTGTACCAATTTAACAAACACTCTATCTAGTCTATGCATTTTAGTAACTAACTACCTACCTACCTACCTACCTACCTACCTAACTAACTAACTAACTAACTAACTAACTAACTAACTAACTAACTAACTAACTAACTAACTAACTAACTAACTAACTAACTAACTAACTAACTAACTAACTAACTAACTAACATATTACTATCGGACAATTAAATTGTCTATCAATTTAACAAACAATCTATCTAGTCTATGCATTTCAGTGACTAACTAACTAACTAACTAACTAACTAACTAACTAACTAACTAACTAACTAACTAACTAACTAACTAACTAACTAACTAACTAACATATTACTATCGGACAACTAACTTGTCTATCAATTTAACAAACAATCTATCTAGTCCATGCATTTGACTAACTAACATAATACTATCTGACAGCTAACTAGTCTACGAATTTAACAAATACTCTATCTAGTCTATGCGTTTTAGTAAGAAACTCACTAACTAACCTATAACTATCCGACAACTAACATGTCTATCAATTTAACACTATATATTCTATGCATTTAAGTAACTAACTAGCTAACTAACTAGCTAACTAGCTAACACATAACATAACATATCTGATAACTAACTAGACTGTCAATTTAAAAAACAATCTATCTAGTCTATGTATTTAACTAACATATTACTATCTGACAGCTAACTAGTGTACCGATTTAACAAATACTCTGTCTAGTCTATGCATTTTACTAACTAACTAACTAAATAAATAGCATATTACCATCCGATGAATAACTAGACTAGACTAAATAGACTAATCTGTCAATCTATCTAAACACTAGTCTATGAAAAATTAATCTATTAATACCAATTTATCCATCTATCTATCTAATCTACAGTGCAACTAACAACTAATATATCTAGTCTACAAGTTTAACTGACTAACTACCCACCTAACTAACAGACAACAAAAACAAAGACAGCCCTTTTTCCCTAGGTTGTCCTGCAGTGCCAAACAGATATGATGAGTTGTGCAATGCTGAGTTGTGGCTTTGAGATGTGAATAATGTGTGCTTGTGAAGATAGATCTGAGAGAAAACAAAAATGGCAGGCAGATCCCTGTGCTATAATTATGAATACAATGAAATCTCTCTGATACGCAAACAACAAAGTTTGAGACGATCAGACGAGATGCGTGTGGATTTCCCGGACTCACCGGAGGCCCGTCGGCTCCTGGCATTCCCGGCAAGCCTGGTTTTCCAGTGGGACCCTGATAATAGAGGAAAACCAGCACAGATAAGCACTCACAAGCCATTAACACTCACAACACACTTCCTGTTTCAACACACACACATGAATAATCATCTCGTCGATCGATCTATCAGCTCATGTGGCCTGAGGGTAGATGGGTTAATGACAACTAATGATGTCCATAATGAGGAAAATGGTTCAAATGCATCTTAACAAATCTTTGTGTTCTTAAAGTGTAAACAAACAGTATATTATTCAGAATAGAATCTTTTATTTCATTAAAAAGCATCACGTTAGCTGAGTTTGCATCTTTCTGTGATCATTCATGACATCTTGAATGAGGAAGGAATGACTGAAACACCCAAATTTAGAATTAAAATGTTTTTTTTGCAAAAAAAAAAAAAACTGGAATAAACGCTGACATAAACAACATGAAGAAAAAAAACAATTTGCAAAAAAATGTTTCTGAAACACATATGCCAAATAAATACTGAAGTAGAGAACATTGTGTCATGCGGCCAATCAGCTGTCTTCATTATCCTCGCCTTGTTTACTGTTGGCTGCTAGGTTACTAATACTACAATTAGCTGCTCTGACAACTTGAATGGAAATATTTCCGTCATTTCCTAATTCCCATTTGAGTTTTTTTTTATTTAATTTTCAATTTAATTTCACTTCTAATTCTTTTTTAATTATTATTTAGGATGGAAGCATGTGTAGCATTTAATACTGTATATTTAAAGTAATTTTACATAAATGCATTTAAAATGTCAGCTCTAATTTCTTATGTAACATTCTATCTGTCATAATACAGCAGCCCTGACCTGTAATGAGTTTTTTTTTTTTTATTTTAGAATTATTTTTATTGACATTAAATGTTAAATTGCTAACAATCCCCATACTTTTCAGTTGCAGATTGAAGTAATTAGTCAAATTTGAGTTACTGGCATTAAAAACAACACAGTGGATAAAGTAATTATAAAAATGCCAGCACATGGTTAAAGTCAATACCAGGGGTTATACATTTTAGCGAACAAAAAAAAAAGCCTCACCTTTTCTCCTGGAGGTCCGATCGGTCCCTGAGGACCATTAAGCCCCTGTGGAATAAGCGGATGTGAAGTGGTTAATGATATGAGTGAAGGGGGAGGGCTAAGTGTGTAAGTGGGAGTCTCCTGATGAATACCTGAGCTCCAGGGTTGCCTTGCTGTCCAGGGGGACCAGGTTCACCTTGAGGACCCTGATGGGAGAAAACAGTAGGGATCATATATTGGTAATATAGATCATAAATACAAATAAAGTCAAATTTTTATTCTTTTAAAAATATTTCCCAAGTGCTGTTTAAGAGAGAGTATTTTTCTTTCAACACATTTTGAAAGATAATTTAATAGAATAATAAAATTAGTTATAATAACTAATTTCTAAAATGTATTACTTTTATCTTTGCCATGATGACAACACGTAATATTTCACTAGTTATTTTGCAAAACACTAGTATCCAGTCATTGAAGTGATATTTAAAGAATTTATTGTTCAGTAGCCAATCAAAAAAAATATAAATAAATAAATAAACAAACAAATAAATAAATAAACAAACGAACGAACGAACGAACAAACAAATAAATAAAAAATTTATAAATACACAAATATATCAATAAATAAATAAATAAATTAATTAATTAATAAATAATTCCATACATACATACATACATACATAAATACATACATACATAAATAAATAAATAAATAAATAAATAAATAAATAAATAAATAAATAAATAAATAAATAAATAAATAATTTGAACAATATTGCCCTTAAAAATTATTTGTCAATTTCCTAAACAGGAAATATTAATATTTTTAATAATGTTGCAATAATTGTATATAAATCATGCATAAACATATTCATGTGTAAATGTATGTGTGTCAGACTTACAATGTTTCCTTTAGGTCCTGGGTGTCCGTCCATACCAGTCACACCCTAAAACAATTAAAACCAGACCAAAACTGAGAAAAACTAATTCAGCAAACGTAACACTAAGAATAAAAACATTCATTAATAGGCTGTTGTTTAAATTAGTGATAACTCTAATGAATGAAAGAGAAAAAAAGATTCAGATGAAGAAAACATTTGCACTCACAGGAGGTCCTGGAGGCCCTTGAGGACCTTTGGGGCCCAAAACACCACGAGGACCCTGAATAAGAGAAGATGAGGAGATGGAGAGTTGTGTTCAGCTGATAAACACAGGCTTTACTGAGATAAAAAAAAAGCGGGGCTGCATTCACTAGGTCACATGATCTCGATATGAATAAAGCAGTTTTTTATGCCATCTATTACACACTTCATCTCACGTGCTTCATTTTAAGTATTATTTATTTAAAAAAAATTATTCTAAATTAATTAAAGAGCTATGAAGTATTACATTTTAAATGCTAAAACATTATAATAAAATAAATGTTTATTATAAGATGTTATTCATATTTAACTTTGATTAAATCAAACAACAAATAAACTGGCGATGCTTTTTTAATAATTTTTAAATAAAAATAAAAAACGACAAAAAAAAATGTTCTGCCTAATTAAAAAAATCAAATAAATGTTGATTAAATACTTTAAAATGACCTAATCTATTTAAAAATAAAATATATAAGTGTTTCGCTTATTTAAAGTATCATTTATCAAAATGTCAAATTTTAAATGTTCAACTGAAATAAAGATTTAAAAAAAAAATGTAAAAAAATGTAAAAAAAAAATAAAATAAAAATAGATAAATAAATAAATAATAATAAATACAATTTATATCTTAGGTACAGAATATTTTAATGTTAAATCCCATTCTTTAAATAGCTTATCGGAAATATTTATTAAAATTAATAAATGTTTAAATAATTAAAAAAAAAATTATATTTAAAATGGAAATGGCCATTAAGGGTTCCAGCTATTTAAAAATGTAAAATAATAATAATAATAATAATAATAATAATAATAACAATATGATTAATAATAATAATAATAATAATAACAATATGATTAATAATAATAATAATAATAATAATAATAATGACAATATGATTATTAATAATAATAATAATAATAATAATAATAATAATAATAATAATGATAATAATAATAACAATATGATTAATAATAATAATAATAATAATAATATGATAATAATAATAATAATAATAATAATAATAATAATAATGATAATAATAATAATAATAATAATGATAATAATAATAACAATATGATTAATAATAATAATAATAATAATAATAATAATATGATAATAATAATAATAATAATAATAATAATAATAATAATGATAATAATAATAACAATATGATTAATAATAATAATAATAATAATAATATGATAATAATAATAATAATAATAATAATAATAATAATAATAATAATAAGTACTATTTATATTTCAGCTTTACTATATTTTACTATAATGTTTCTATAAATACTATTTGTATCTGAGGTATGCCATATGTTATTGATAAATCATCTACTTTAGCTTATCAGACATAATAGTGAATGTTTATGTGTTGAGCCATGTATAATCTGAATGATGAATACAGAGCTCCTCCTGCTGGACAGAGTGTTAAACTGTTTTAACAATAAGTGGTCAACTGAACAACCTGTACACTTCCTTTCTCCCGTTTCTCTCACAACACATCCAAAATACAAAACCGTATCTGCCATTGTTACGTTAGCAGATAAAAGACAGCCTGCTGGCACACTGGAGGAAACATAAGCTTACCGGTTCACCAGGCAGGCCTCGGGGACCGACCTCACCATCGTCACCCTGTAACACAGGAAATGATGTCATTATTAAGACCAATTAGATAAAGTAAGATAAAAGATGAAGAGGGAAGTGTCATTACTCTTTCTCCATCTTCTCCTGAAGGCCCCGGTGGACCCTGAGGACCCGTCTCACCCTACAAATACACACACACAATCATTAACACTCATTTAGTGAATAACTTGCTACTTACATGACTATATTATAAATTAATTAAAGACTGCATATATGCAATCTGGATATTAACATTAAGGATTTGAGAACATCAAAAATACGCATTTTATAATATTAAATTAAATTAAATTAAATTAAATTAAATTAAATTAAATTAAATTAAATTTAATTTAATTTAATTTAATTTAATTAAATTAAATTAAATTAAATTTAATTTAATTTAATTTAATTTAATTTAATTTAATTATTTGCTCTAAAGTGTCCTATTAAATTTAGGAATGTTCAAATAAAATTAAATAAAAAAATATTAAATTACAACCTATTTTATAATACTTATTATTTATCAAAATAAAATAACATTTATCTGAAAATAAAATAAATTTACTCTTAAGGGTCCTAACTATGTTTACATATAATTTGAATAAATAATATTAATAACAAATAGCTAATCTATAAATTTTTAAATGTATTTGAAAATAAATTGTAACCGATCTAAATTCTATTTTATAACATGCACTATATGGATCAACTTGTTATTAAATCTGGACATTAATTAGAAGATTGGAGAAAAATTTAAACATCTTAAATTGAATTCCAAAAATTAAATTAAATTATATTAAATTCAATTCAATTCAATTCAATTCAATTCAATTCAATTATTTGTTCTAAAATGTCCTATTTATTTAGGAATGTTGAAGTAAAATAAATAATAATAAAATAAAATATATTAAAACGAAAACTTTTTAAGGGTTTGAATTATTATAAAACCTTTTTTAAAAACTCAATATTGACATGTTATACAAAAAAATGTAAACTATTTTACATTTTTTATTATATATTCAAATAAAATGTATTTATAAAATAAAATAAAAGTCCTAAACATATGTATATGTTATAATAATATAAAAATTAATGTATTTGAAAATTAAGTAACACTGATCCAAATGCTGTTACAATGTCGACTACAAGTGCAAATAAAATATAATATATTTAAAAGATAAATAAATAAAATAATAATTTTTACCCTGTATAAAATAAAATAATTATAATATATTTTTCATTGTATTAATTTCTAAAATAAAATACATTTTAATTTAATTTAATTTAATTTAATTTAAAACTAAATAAAATTAATGTATTTGAAAATAAAATAACTCTGATCCAAATGCCATTTTACAATGCCAACTATATGCGCAAATAAAATAAAATATATTTGGAAAAAATAAATAAATAAAAATAAAATAATCATGTTTACCCTGCTTAAAATAATCATAAATAATTTTTATTGTATGAATTAAAATTAAATAAAAAATAAAAATAAAAAATAATTAAAATAAAATAAATAAATAAAAGAAAAAAATTAAATTAAAAAATGAAAAATAAAAACCATGTTTACCCTGTGTCCCTTTTCACCGGGCAAACCAGCGAGACCATCAAATCCTCGATCTCCCTGTGAGACACAGACACAAAACAGTTCCTAATTACAGGACAGTTACATTTTTAGAGACAATTATTCCCAATTATAATCCATCTGCTTCCTTTCTTTCATCTTACTGTGCACATTCATCATTGTGTGTCATGCTAAAAGCAGTCTGTTTATTGTAAATCTCTCTAGGTTTACCTTGGGTCCTGTCTGTCCAGGCATCCCTCTGGCTCCATCTGAGCCGGGTCGACCCTAAAAACGCACAAAACATCATTACTATATAATAACAATCACACCAGCCTGGGGGATTTCAGCGAAATGCAAACCTACCCTTCTACCAGGCTTTCCGGTAGGGCCTGCAGATCCCATTGGACCACGAGGACCCTAAAACACACAAAAACAGGTCTGTAAATTTTGTGTAATCGACCTACATTATCAATAAGCCTCTCCCCTTAAATGACAAATGAGCCAAGGGTAGTTGTGGGTAGTGGTAAAATGAAAATAAAAGGGTAGTGACTGGAAACATCTTTATATTGCAGCAAATTTAGGTTTAATGAGGTTTTAATGATGTTTATTATACAAAAGTGATTAAATAGTTTTGTAAAAAAAAGATAGGGATAGTTTAATAGCTGCAGCGATAGGATTATTAAATAAAAATAGCACTGGGCAACGATTAATTACAATGTTTTATCTGTTTAATTTTTGTTATGAATGTTTTATTTATATTTAGATATAAAATATATATGCACTGTATATTATAGGAATTATATTAACATTTAAATATCTCTAGATATTTTTGTTTTGTATAGTTTTGTTTTGGTACATTATTTAAACATAAAAATAATTGAGATTAAGCGCATCAAAAATAAAAGTTTTTTTTTTAAATTATGTTGATAAACAGCGCAATGCGACCAATTATAACAAATAATGTTGGTTATTTTTATATATTTTTACGACATTTTAGTCTCGTCTCTATGTATGTCAAGTTGAATATGGATGCAGTCACTGTTAGTATCTAACAATACTGATGTCGTCCAGGTTTTGTCACATCTTGGTGAAAAGTTCAAATAAACATGAGAGGAGTTGGGGGGGGGGGGGGGGGGTAAATATGAGGTGCCAGATCAGATTTCAGAGGTGCCAGACCTGGATCCCACTTGTGCGGCACAAATTAAGCCCTGGTTAGGAGTAATGAGCAGGGCTAGACAAAATCTGTGGACATTTTTTTATCTGTATCTATTTCTGCATATAAATTTGTCTAAAAATATATACATTCATTCATTCATTCATTCATTTTCTTGTCGGCTTAGTTCCTTTATTAGTCTGGGGTCGCCACAGTGGAATGAACTGCCAACTTATCCAGCAAGTTTTTACGCAGCAGATACCCTTCCAGCCGCAACCCATCTCTGGGAAACATTCACACGAACATTCACACACACACTCATACCCTACGGACAATTTAGCCTACCCAATTCACCTGTGCCCAGTGGCGCAACAAGGGGGTATGCAGTATATGCGGCGCATAGGGGCGCCACACATGAGGGGGCGCTGTTGTGCCAAAACTATTTTTAAAATTATCCTTATTAAAAGTTTCAAATAATAAAAATAAATAAATATGTTTTGTTAAAAAACATTATTTTGCATTTTAAACGAATATAATATTGTTATTGTTTAATTCAAAATCATTTAACACAATAACATGCAGTCCCACAGCCGAAAGTGGTCATGTAGATGTAACTGTTTAGATTTGTTTTTATTTTTATCAAAATAAACTGTCAAATCATACATAATGTCAAAAGTTATAAGATTAATCTGAGTATTTGTCTTAATTTATTATTAATTAATTAATATAAAATAAGAGGGATCACACAAAATTTGAACCCGCATACCCCTCAGTAAATGTGTAGTTGCGCCCCTGCCTGTACCGCATGTCTTTGGACTGTGGGGGAAACCGGAGCACCCGGAGGAAACCCACGCGAAGACAGGGAGAACATGCAAACTCCACACAGAAACACCAACTGAGCCGAGGTTCGAACCAGCGACCTTCTTGCTGTAAGGGAACAGCACTACCTACTGCGCCACTGCCTCGCCCATAAATATATACATAAATAATAATAATAATAATAATAATAATAATAATAATAATAATAATAAATAAATAAATAAATGAATAAATGGATAAATTAATAAATGACTGAAAAAATAAATAAATAAATAATTTATGCAGAATGATTTTGAGAGTATAGTAACTGAAAGCGTAACTTTTATTAAAGGTTTACAATTCAAATCCAATTAGAACCTCATTTCATATATTTTTTTGTAAACAATTGTTTTTATTATTTCAGTTTTTGTTTAATATAGAGAGCATACAGCATATGACTAAATGGTAAAAAAAAAACAGAATCCCCAACCCCCACCCAGGTAGACTTGCTCTATAATAACAGAAGTAAAAAGATTGATGTGTTAAAAAAGAAAAAAAAGAAAATAATGTTAAGCCAAATAGAGAGTAGAAGAAAGGTAAGTACAAATAATTAACTATTACATCACGAGATACATAAAGTACATATAAACAGACAAGCTGGACATTGGAAGGTTGAAACAAAAGATTTGACAATATTAAAAGCTATAATCTAGGAGTTAACAGTTTTTGACTGAGCTCCATGAAGTTCCATACAAATAATGTCCAGCAAAGATAGCCCCCCGTATTTCATACATTGACAAAATGACAGAAAGTATTACTTTACAAACTGTATACTAAATAATCATATAAACATTTGCCTATTATTCAATAATATTCCATATTAATTCATGTGTGACTAGTAATGAGTGAGGTCTACCTGAGGTCCTGATTCTCCAGACTCTCCTTTCAATCCAGACACACCAGGAGGACCCTGGAAAGATCAAAACAAGCTTAGACTTAGACTTAGACTTAGAAAACCTTATTGCTCCCGCAGGAAATTGCTTACGTAATGACTGCCATAACACACAAACAGAGAAACACAAAAACACAAGACAGAATAAATAAATTAAATAAGTGAAATAAGTCACATAAATCCAACCAATCTATAGAAGGAAACAGCCACAATACATAAATACACAAACTATTATATAAGATATTACACTTAAAAGAATCAGTGGTAACTAATACTATTAAGTCATATATCAAGTAATGAAAATAATATTAACCAAAACCAATAATATTACACGTAAAACAATTGCACATAAAATATTTCAAGTAATAAAGTGATACAACACTCATTTAAAAAACAATGATATTGCACTAAAAATATTTAACACCTAAAAAAAAATGTACAAATATTGCACCTAGTAGACTATTGCACATCATAAAACATAAAGCTTGAAATAATGTTATTATATCATTATCATCATACACAGACAACCTTAAATTGAGTGTGCCTCACAGAGGTAAGTGGGCCTGACAAACCACCCGTAGAAAACACTCTTTCATCTCTCTGACAATTTAATGGACACTTTCGTAGAATCAGCACAAAAAAACACTGTGAATTTATGAAGTGTGCTTCACACAGGTGAGCGGCATGTAGACCACATGTAGAAACACTCCTCTCTCTGAAAAACACTCCCCCTACTCAATTCTCTGAGCACTAACAGATCCTTTGTATAATTAGCACTTGTTGTGTGTATTGCCTCTTCTTGCTGAATGCCTCCTCAACTGTACAGTTTGGACAAAATTGTCAGCTAAATGCCTAAATGTAAATATAAATTGGGACAGAAATGAAATGGACATACCAGAGGACCAGGACGGCCTGTCAAACCCATCGGTCCAGTTGGTCCCCTCATGGCCAGCTATGCAAAAATAAAACAGAGCTATTAGTTTGCATTCAGATGCTTATAAGTATGTTTGTGTGTGTGTGTGTGTGTGTGTGTGTGTGTGTGTGTGTGTGTGTGTGTGTGTGTGTGTGTGTGTGTGTGTGTGTGTGAGTGTGAGTGTGTTTTACCCTGGCCTGCTGCATGATAGCTTGCATCTGAGCCTCTTGAGCAGAAACAGCAGGACCTTTCTGTCCTCCGTCTCCTCCTGTGCTCATGCGGAACTGCACACACACAGCAAAAATATCACAGTTAAACATTCAAACACTCGAAACATTCAGCCAAACACGCTTATATGAGTCAACAGTGTGCTGCGTTGTTAGAATAAAACGTATTTGGAAAATGAAAAAGCACTATTTTAGAATGTTTGCGATATGTTCGGATCAAATCAGTTGAAAGAAAAAAATGAAATATGTATAGCTTGTCATTAACTGAAAGATTTACAGAGCAGTTAACAGAATAATTCACCCAAAACTGAAAATGAATAGTTTTATTTTGGGGTGAACTATCCCTTTAAGCATGCTAATAAAAGATACATGTTTACAACGGAATGCTGGCTTACTAATGCACATTTTGCTGTAAACTGTCTTTTAAAAAATTGTTTGTGAAAGAACAATGCTAAAAATAAATAAATAAATAAATAAATAAATAAATAAATAAATAAATAAATAAATAAATAAATCAATCAATAAATAAGCTCTAAACAGGGCACCTATTTACAAACTCTCAATTAATGTTAAAATAAAATATAGTAATTCTAAAGTGTTAATAAAATGCATACGGTGAATGATAAATGTTGCATTTAAGCAGCATATTAAATTAAATGAGTGACATCAAGTTATAGCAAAAAATAGAAATTTAATTAAATAAAAAAGCTAAACTGCTCTGTTTATTTAAAAAATTTAAACGTTGAAATACAATTAAATACAGAAAATGTAAAAATATAAAATGTAAAATCAGAAAAAAAATATGTAAAATAAATAACTCAAATTTAAAAAATCATCATTTATAATTTATGCAAATATTTAAAATGTATTTAAAAAAAGCTCTTAAGTGCTCATTATAAATTAACATTAAAAATATAAATGTGTTTGAGAAAAAAGATAAATGTTTTTTTAAAATGTTCTATCTATTCATAGATTCTAATAGCAAAATTTATTTTTATTTAAACAAACAAACAAATAAATTAATTAATTAATTAATGAATAAATAAATAAATAATTTATATAAATAATAAATACAATTTTTATACAAACCCATGAAGTTAAATGCATGCAATTGCAAAATTGAAGTGAAGTAAAAATGCCACTGGAAATCAAGGGCGAATTTAAAGGCATTGGATTATGTTATACAGTTTTTCCTGTTTAGATTGATCGATTAGGGGATTGTACATCATCAACACAATACATCCACACTGTGCACAGAACACAATGAATTAGGTTCTGAATAAACCTACAGCTGAAATCAGACCAGCATTATCAGTCTCAGTGCAAAGCTAAAAGTATCCGGCAGTGCCATCTGGTGGCTAAACCCTACCATTACATTTAATGCTGGATTTATTCAGTATTGATTATGAGGGCTTTTTGACAAAGCACGATGTCTTGTTACACGTGTGTTAACACTTTTGCACACAAAAGATCATGTTTTGAGCATGCAACAAGCCATTGTGCACACTTAAAACATGATCTTGCATGCAGAATTGTTAACACATGCAACAAGCCATTTAGAGTGCACAAAACATGATCTTTTGCATGCAGAATTGTTAACACACATGCAACAAACCATTTAGAGTGCAAAAACAATTGGTCTTTGGCATGCAGAATTGTTAGCACACATGCAACAAGCCATCTAACGTGCACAAAACATGATGTTTTGTATGCAGAATTGTTAACATGCATGCAACAAGCTAATTAGAGTGCACAAAACATGATCTTTTGCTTGCAGAATTGTTAATACACATGCAACAAGGCATTTAGAGAGCACAAAACTTGGTCTTTGGCACATAGAATTGTTAACACGCATGAAACAAGCCATTTAGGTTGCTCAAAACATGATCTATTGCATGCAGAATTGTTAATGCACAAGCAACAAGGCATATTGCGCACTCAAAACATGACCTTTGGCACATAGAATTGTTAACACGCATGCAAAAAGCCATTTTTAGCACTCAGAACATGATCTTTTGTATGCAAAATTGTTAATGCCCATGCATCAAGGCATTTAGAGTGCTCAAAACATGATTTCTTTGCACACACAATTGTTAACACGCATGCAACAAGCCATTTAGAGTGCTCAAAACATGATCTTTTGCATGCAGAATTGTTAATTCCCATGCAACAAGGAATATTGCATGCTCAAAACATGATCTTTTGCACATAGACTGTTAACACACATGCAACAAGCCATTTAGAGTGCTCAAAACACGATCTTTTGCATGCAGAATTGTTAATATCCATGCAACAACACATTTAGAGTGCTAAAAACTTGATTTCTTGCATGCAGAATTGTTAATGCCCTTGCAACAAGGTGTACTGCCTGCTTAAAACATGATCTTTTGCACATAGAATGGTTGACACGTAAGCAACAAGCCATTTAGAGTGCACAAAACATGATCTTCTGCATGCAGAATTGTTAACATGCGTGCAACAAGCCATTTTACAGGCTCAAAACATGATCCTTTGCATCCATGACTGTAAACATGCAAGCAAAAAGCCATTCTCAGCACTGAAAACATGATTTTTTGCACACAAAGTTGTGTTGGAAATCTAACTCCATATGAGCAGAGGTGATGTGCAGCCTGAAGCTCCGTTAAAATCACATGCTGACTGTAAACACTCAGTTTTACCATGCTCTTCCAGAACATCTGGATTTGAGATGGAAGCTATCCAGTAATCTCCATTTAAAGACTCACAGACTTGAAATGAATGCTCAAAACACACTCAGGAGTATAAATATTTAAAAAGCCGATATTGGAGTAAAGAGTCGGAAAAGAAAAAATGTGGAGAAGCTGAGGAATTAGTGTTATTGATGGAGGATCAGAGTATTTCTGAGACAATGATCAGGAAACTGCTCTGAAAACAAATCCACAGCTTAACGGACATTACCAAACCTCTCATCTGCAGGATAGAACTGATCTCAGTACCGAGCAATGGAGCTTTAACTCTGTCTATGTGTGTGTGTACCTCAATGTGTGAAAGTGTGCTTGTTATTTACGTACAGGCAGCATCAGGACAGTCCCTGGAGGTCCTGGAAGACCATCAGCTCCAGGCAGACCAGCACGACCAGGAAGACCCTGTCAAGAGCAGTAATGTATTTACATACAATATATGTACTGGACATATCAGGGATACATGTTTTGAAGTAATCTTATCGATACTATAACCGATATTTAAGTCCTTCTCATTGTCCATTCCAATATACAGTTAAAGTCAGAATTATTAGCCCCCTTTCTTTTTCTTTTTCTTTTTTATATTTGCCAAATGATGTGTAACAGAGCAAGGACATTTTCACAGTATGTCTGATAATATATTTTTTCTTCTAGAGAAAGTCTTATTTGTTTTATTTCGGCTAGAATAAAAGCAGTTTTTAGTTTTTTAAACATTTTAAGGTCAAAATTATTAGCCCTTTAAGCTATATATTTTTTTGATTGTTTATCCGCTTGTTAAGTGTGACGTCACGCGGAGCGGCTTCCGGGTCCAAGCGCTCTATTCAACTGAATGGGGAGATTCATGAAATGGTAATAATAAACATTTACAAAGCGATTTAATACTTTCAAAAGTCACAATCGCAATATATATGTCCATGCCTAACATCCGATGGCAGGAAAGTAATTCATTGTTTTATAAATTGTTAAACTTTTGGTATTTGTTATGCAGCAAGCCCAGTTGTGTACACTATGAATTTATATAAAATTAACTTCAATGTGCGATATGAATAAAAAGTGATCATAAACGAATGATTTCTCCACTCAAATGAATGGCGGCTTGGACCCGGAAACAGTATTTCATCCGTCACAAACACGTCACCACTTAACAAGCGGATAGAACAAACCATCATTATACAATAACTTGCCTAATTACCCTAACCTGCCTAGTTAATCTAATTAACCTAGTTAAGCCTTTAAATGTCACTTTAAGCTGTATGGAAGCATCTTGAAAAATATCTAGTCAAATATTATTTACTGTCATCATTGCAAAGATAAAATAAATCAGTTATTACAATTAGAAATGAGTTATTAAAACTATTATGATAATAAATGTGCTGACGAAATCTTTTCTCCCTTAAACAGATATTGAGGAAAAAATAAACAGGGGGGGCTGATAATTCAGGGGCTAATAATTCATACTTCAACTGTATATACAGATAATCAAAGTTCATATTTTGATATTATAACGTTCATATAATCTGCAGTTTGTGCATCCAGAAGAACAAAAAAAAAAAAAAAAATCGATAAATAAACTGAAAAAAAATCTGAAATAAACATTTTAAACATTTTTAGCGATAAATAAACAAAAACTGTGGAAAAAGTAAACATCTGTTCTCCCTATGAAAAAGGTTTTTGAAAGACATTTGTACTGTTTTATTATTGTACAAATAATAATACAAATATAATAAAATATATTGTTAATAGAATGTATTATTGTAGAAATATTATTAAAAATATCATCGTAAAATATAATTTTATTTGTAAATAATTCTTACATTAATTTATACGTTTTATTTAATAAAAAGAAAAAAATACACACACACACACACACACACACACACACACACACACACACACACACACACATATATATATATATATACAGTTGAAGTCAGAATTATTAGCCTCCTTTTTAATTTTTTATAATAATATATTTTATGATAATATATATTTTTTTCTGGAGAAAGTCTTATTTGTTTAATTTTGGCTAGAATAAAAGCAGTTTTTAATTTTTTAAACACCATTTTAAGGACAAAATTATTAGCCCCATTAAGCTATTTTTTTTCAATAGTCTACAGAACAAATCATCATTTTACAAAAGCTTGCGTAATTACCCTAACCTGCCTAGTTAACCTAATTAACCTAGTTAAGCCTTTAAATGTCATTTTAAGCTGTATAGAAGTGTCTTGAGAAATATCTAGTCAAAAATTATTTAGTCATCATGGCAAAGATAAAATAAATAAGTTATTAGAGATAAGTTATTAAAACTATTATGTTTAGAAATGTGTTGAAAAAAAAACTTCTCTCCATAAAACAGAAATTGAGGAAAAAAATTTAAAAAGGGGGCCAATAATTCAGGGGGGCTAATAATTCTGACTTCTACTGTACTGTGTTTTTGAGCGTTGCGTAAAAAGTGTTATGATTACTCACCCTCTCACCGGGCTCTCCAGCGCTACCCGGGGGTCCTGTTGAACCTGGAGGTCCGGGGAGACCCTAAAGAAGAAGAAAAAAACACAGCAGAACTGTCAGAAACGCATTTCTAAAGGCATCCAGAGAGGTCAGCAAGACACTCTCCATGGCTCCCTCTCTCAAACTCATGCTGTTAAAGTCTCTACAGGCCTGTCAATCCCTTCAATCCTCCAGCTGACAGAAGAAAAATGCTTATAAATATGTCGGTCAAGAATGAAGATGAAGAAAGAAAACAGACACACAGCTGTTTAGTATCGTCAGTAAAAAAGAGTCTAAAAAACGATGTAGATTTCCTTACTAGTAGCTTTCCAATAATTAGTAAATAAATAGATGATGGATGATCTTTTTTTTATGATTTTTTATGTCACAAAGGACTTGTACCTAAGAGGCCAAAAAGAATAAATAAATAAATAAATAAATAGGGACAGTGAATCAGTTAGATCAAAACAATCAATTGTTGATTCACATTAGTTGTATTAATTTGACAACAAGAGCTTAGTTATGAATTCCTATAGTATTAGAGTGTGTGTATGTTTTGTTGCTTGAAAACCACACAGTCTGCAATTATGCTAATCATCTATATTACTCTAGATCAGGGGTGCCAAACTAATTTTATGGAGGAAAACCGATTCCCGAGTGGGCCTGAGCGGTAAAATCATGGTATATATAACTTAAAAACAACAACTTCAGATTTTTTTCTTTGTTTTAATACGATCAACATAAAACATAAAGCTGGAGCCTGAGGAAAACATGATCTCCCGGCAATTCGTAACCTTTTGATTTAGTGGCTAATTCATTTGTACTATCTCATTCATACAATTTACTAGGCTACGATTTGCTTATCCACCAATGATGGTTGGGTTTAGGGGTGGTGTTGGGGGCTAAAAACATGCATTTTCGTATGACTGAACTTTCACAAATTACCACTAAAACACTAAACCTGGGTTGTCCAAACTCGGTCCTGGAGGGCCGGTGTCCTGCATAGTTTAGCTCCAACTTCCTTCAACACACCTCCCTGGAAGTTTCTATCTTTTCAAGTTACCCTAATGAACCTAGTTAATCCTTTAAATATCACTGTAAGCTGTATAGAAGCGTCTTGAAAAATATCTAGTCAAATATTATTCACTGTCATCATGGCAAAGATAAAATAAATCAGTTATTAGAAATGAGTTACTAAAACTCAAGTTTATGTTTAGAAATGAGTTGAACAAATCTTTTTTCATCACATGCCTTGCATTTACTAACACAGACTATATTTAAAGTGTTTGGAAGTAATTTGTGTTTTCCTCCTGTAGAAAAACATCTTAAGAACAATGTTTAGTGGCTCAATTATTACAACAGTTTTTTTAAAAGACTAAATACTTTATTGATATAATGTAAACCAAGCACATGTGGTCAGAACACAAACAAGTCGCAGGTAATGAATTATTAAGCGTTTCTCCCAAAGTAAAGTACGTCTAAGCAGAATGCTAGCAGGCGTCTGTAGCTCCGCTCACGCTCCACCTCTTTGCCCATTACTTGTATCCCCTATTCGGTGCGATTACACGCAAACAAAACAGCGACGGTTGGCCACGCCTACTCGTAGCTTCATTTGTGAAACCTATGAGTGACGTCACTGATACTGCATCCATATCTGTTACAGTCTATGGCCTGTGCACATATAGACCTTTTTCATGGCTGCTGTATGGAGGGCGCCATAGCGACCAGCGTCTTCCGGTAGAATGCGAAAAACTTCCGTTTACAGCGTTTACAACTGGTAAAATGGGTTTCAATAGCGTTTTTAATATATTACAGAGTGTTTTTGTGACACACAACTTAGAAATGTGTCTGTTAAAGCTGTTTTAATCTGTCAGATGTGGTTCAAGCCCGTCAGTAATACGAGAAAAACATTCTCCTAGTTCACGTGTCTGCCGTAAGAAATACAGTGTGTGTGTGTGTGCGTTCCCGGCCTGTCAGCTGTTAGCTCAGCGGCTCTTCAATACACACACACGCACACACACATGCAATACTTCGCTGCATTATAGAGCAAACCGTATTATTAGCATGAAACTTATGTAAGTCGTGCAATTTACAAAAATGACCAATAAAAGTCTGTTACTGATCCTCTGTTGGCTGATTTGCTGTTCATTCTAATCGCGAGCCGTTTTTGTTTTAGTTCGTGTGTTGTTTTTACCACTGTTTGTGTTTTTCTGTCATTTCAAAATGACACTAGCCTATATTTTCACTTTGTCACAGTTATTAAATCAGTGTGTCAGTGGCACAGTACAGGCTACATATGTGTGTCAAACATTTTGGTGAATTACATTTGTTTGGGCTGGTTATATATTTGAAAAAAAAAAGAAAATGTTGACTTTAGCGATGACGAGGCTTCATTTAAACTGCAGAAGATGCCGTCTGATAACGAGGGAAAAACACCTCACAGCAGCTGTTTTTCATCCTATTAGATTGCATTTTTTAAATGATCAGTCCAGGAGATGGTGCTGATGGACAACAGAAGTAGATGAAAGAGAATAAAAGCTGGTAAAATAAATTAAAACTATCGTTTCAAAGCTGTCCAAATGTGACTGTTTACATGCATCAGCTGCTGACCGGAAATTCTTAGCATTCTCCTTGTGCATACACGCAAAGCATCATGGGTAATTTTGCGTTCCAAGAAAAAGGTCCATAGTCCACTATAGTTGTTATAGCTGTACAACCCTAGTAGCAAAGAATTCTGGCCCAGATTTGGCACAAAGCTGGCACAGCAGGCATTCATCCGGCACTGGCATACAGCATGTGGGCCAAACATGGCCCGGGTTTGGCAGAGGTGACACCGTCTTTAAGGCCGTACTCATACTAGGTACAGTTGCCTCGAACCGGGCCAAAGCATGCTTGTCCCCCCCTCCCGTCTCCCCCGACGGCCCGCGCTCACACCATATCGGGCCTTGGCACGCTTACGTCATCGCTGCTGCGCTGTTCAGAAGCCCTCTCTATGGCAAGCCTTTTTAGCATTTAAATCTTTGTTCTGACTCCATAAATATATTTAGAGATATCTCTAATTATATTTTGACTAGTCATAATTATAATTCGACTAGTCAGAATGACAATTAGAGATATCTGCAATTACAATTGTACTAGTACGAAATCAGATTGGAGATATCTGCAAATATATTATGACTAGTCATATTCCTCCATTGACTTCCATTGAAAAATATTTGCAGATATCTCTAAATGAGTTTTGACTAGTCACAATTGTAATTAGAGATATCTCTAACTGAGTTTTTACTAGTCATAATACATTTGGAGATGTCTTTAATTCATCATATTTAGAGATATTTACAAATATATTTGAAGATCTCTAATTAATTTACTAATAGTCGAATTACAGTTGTAGATATCTTGAATTGGATTTTTGACGAGTCAAAACTCAGAGATATCTGCAAATATTTTTTCAATGGAAGTCAATGGAGGAATATGACTAGTCATAATATATTTGCAGATATCTCCAATCTGATTTCGTACTAGTACAATTGTAATTGCAGATATCTCTAATTGTCATTCTGACTAGTCGAATTATAATTATGACTAGTCAAAATATAATTATATCTCTAAATATATTTATGGATAGTCAGAACAAGGTTTAAATGCTAAAACGGCTTGCCATACGCTCTCACCCAGTAGCACAGTGGAGATTTCTCTAGTTATATCCTTTCAGTCGTTTGTCATGCATTGACATGCAGTCAAATATTTCGCCAAACAATCCTTAGGGATGCGGTGACACGCAGTCAGATATTTCACCGAACAGATCCGCCACTTTTGGCGCTTCTAAACAATCATAAAGCTCTCGTGCTGCAGGAATGAGGAGGTTTGCTGAAGGCACGCAGCTGTCATGCTGTGAGGAGTTTGCGTCTTTAATAAACTACGGCAGTTTGCGATCACTGAACAGTAAGAATGATTAATAAATCCATATGAAACAGCCCCTTAAAAGTCACGTCTCGCTTTCGGTTTCGGGCTTTGGCGCGTTTTGCGATCACACACAAGCGTACCACGCCAAAGCCTAAGTGATCCGCGCTCAGGCACACCTCTTCCAACCGGGCCAGGCTGGCCAAGTGAACCGTGCTTGAGCCCAATTCAGCGCACTCAAACTTCTCAAACGATCCGGGAAACGGGCCTGGGCACGGTACGGATGGCATAGTGTGAGTAGGTCCTAAGGCGGCACACAAGATTTGGGCCAGATGAAAAACGTAGTATTTGGCCCAGATTTAAAAATTTGAAAGTGGGCCATGTGAGTTTGGCCAGTCTTGACCCACATTTAAAATACACAAATCATTTTTGAGTAAAAAAAAAAAATTCTACCAATCAGGTCACTTTGAGAAAAAGCGTGCCCATAGTGTGCCTAAAGCGCATCACTCCATGGGTTTATTAATTTCATTGCAATCGTGACACACCAACCTATCTGGCCCAGTTCAGGCCCAGTTACGAGTTATTAACTTGGCTGAGACTTGGCCCAGATATGGTCCGTGTTTGGCCCTTGTCTGGTAGCCAGATTTGGTCCAGTCATGTACCGTAATTCACTGCGGCATGTGGGCCAAGCAAAACCTGATTGTATGGGCCAGAGCTGGGCCAGAGAAATTTTGCTATGTGGGAAATTCATGAAGGCTGAAGAGATGCACAAGATATTTATTTTTATTCTAGTATAATAGTACTGTTTTTTAAAACTTGCACTTGGAGGCCCCCCCAAGATGCTGTTGCAGTGTAAATGATAAGCCAAGATGTAAAAAAAAAATTTTGTTTTTAGTGGGAAAACGTGTGTGTGTGTGTGTGTGTGTGTGTGTGTGTGTGTGTGTGTGTGTGTGTGTGTGTGTGTGTGTGTGTGGAGAAACACAAAAGCACAAGCTGACTCACCGTTGGACCCTCAGGACCGGACGGACCTTCCACCAGCATTCCCTACAGGACGAGCAGAAAAACACAAACATCAAAATCACAGTAAAAACAACACAAACACAAGAGCTCAAGTGTGAGAACACCTCCATCTGTGTTTGTGTGTGTGTGTGTGTATTGAGTGTGAGTGTGTCTATGTGAGTATGTGTATGCGCATGTGTATATTTTTTTGTGTATGACTGTGAAGGTGTATGTGTGTGTGTCTATCTGTGTTTGTATGATGCAGGGGTGGGCAAACCCGGTCCTGGAGGGCCAGTGTCCTACATGGTTTAGCTCCAACACTAATTAAACACCCCTGAACATGCTGATCAGCGTCTTCAAGATCACTAGAAATCTATAAGCAGGTGTGTGTGTGTGTGTGTGTGTGTGTGTGTGTGTGTGTGTGTGTGTGTGTGTGTGTGTGTGTGTGTGTGTGTGTGTGTGTGTGTGTGTGTGTGTGTGTGTGTGTGATTAGAGTTGGAGCTAAACTGTACAGGACACCCGCCCTCCAGGACCGAGTTTGCCCACCCCTGATTTGGGTGTGTCTGAGGCAGCGAGGGTGAATAATGGGTCAGTGAGTATGTGTGTGTTTGTGTGTGTCTGTGCATGTGTGTGAATATGTGTATGCTGTATGCGTGTTTTTGAATCATGAGAGACTAAAGCACAGCTGACTGAACATTCCAGAGCACAGCAGAACACAGCCAAACAAACAACTATAACCATAGCAACAAAATCATGAAACGGATGATAATTAAACACTGACAGCCAATCAGAATCCACCCAGCTTTAAAAAGCGGGAAGATTTATATTTTATACTTATATTTAAGAATTATAACCAACATTAACTGATTGTTAAACATGTTGCATTTGTTGTTTAGGATGTAATAATCCAGCACAATATTGCTTTGTGTCAGATAAATAATTAATAAAATAATTACTTTCAGATATACATATATATAGTGAGATTGACACCTATAAACCGATAAATTAATTTATTCAAAAACAAAATATTTTTATAACTTTTATCATTTTTATAACTTCTAGAGCGAGAGTATTTTTATTTAATTTAGCTTCACTTTTAGCCATTTCAGTACTTAATATATATATATATATATATATATACACAACAGTTCTGCCTGGATCTTGAATCTGAGAAGCTGTGCGATATTCAGACAATATAATGTACTTTTGAGGCTTTTTTAATCGAGAATGTAGTTGTTTAGATTGCAACTATACAGTTTATTTATAAGGATAGTGCCTATTTTAAAATATTTATAATTTCTGAGAAACAGAGCATCGGTGGCGATTACTCCGCCATACTGAGTAGACCAAAGACAGTTAATGTTGTCTATCCCCAAGATTGCGACAGGACCGCATAATAAGCCCTTAGAAAATTAAACAGCTTAATTTCTAACTACAGCTGATCAAATCTTTATTAAACTGGTAAGTGACTTTCTAAGTCGTTCTTTGTCTTTTGCATGTTGTAGTGCTGGATTTATACCATATAATTGTAGTGTATTGAGTGTGAGACGGGACTCGCATATCAGGAATATGTGTTGCGTTGGCAGAAAGAAAGAAGAAATGCCTGCATGTGTTCAGCGAGATTTTATTCATCGCAAACACAACAGCAATCCGGTAGTGATTGCGCTGCTTTTTTCGGGGTTAATTATTGTGATCTCCCAATTACAACAGAGAAATACTGTAGACTGTAATACTGTAACTTAGGGAGATATCCCTGTAGATGGATGGTATTTCAGATCACGTTAAGCCCTATAATTTTAAAGTGTGAGCAAAATCAGCTGTTTTGTCATCACTTTAGACATTACGCTAGAGAATCATTCAAATACTAGCTATTTGAAGTGACGTTGGTGAATTAGTAACAGCTTCTGCTGTTTTGACGTCAGCTGCATATGTGAATGAATGGCAGAAAAAAGTAGTTCCTAATACAAAAGAGTTTTTAGACTCTGTATAATAAATATATCAAAACAAACTTTTATTTTGGATGCAATTGATTGCGATTAATCTTTACCCAGCACTAATTTGCTTGTGATATAACAGTATGCAATATTATTCTCTCTCTATCTCTCCCTCTCTCTCTTTCTCCCTACCCCCCTCTCGCTTTCTCTTTTTTACAACACAGTAGTTAACAAAAATTTCTGCTTAACTTCTAAATGCTTGAATGAATTGCTGATTTTTTTACTAAATATTTCCAATAAAAAGCAAACTAATAAGCAACACGTGACGCTGTTTAATTTTATTCTGTAAAATAACATTCACCACATACAGTATATGCTGCATGTAAAAGATTCCATCACAGGAAAAAACTTCTTTTTACAGATGTTGTGCAAATCCAGTGTGATCAGAATCAGGACATAAAAACTGCTTCATCTGGAAGTCATCGGTCAGGATCAATTACTGGTCAAAATATGCTTGTATGAGCTGCATCATAACCACAATAATGCCATTATATCATGCAGATCACATTACAGACCAAAACAACAATCATTAGAAACAGAGAGCTGATAAAACAAGTGTGTTTATTGACAGATGTTGCTGTACTGTGGTGTTTTTTTAAACATGCTTTGAGTCTCGTGATGTCCTGAAGTGTTAACATGCCAACATTGTTTTGATGCATTTCTTACATGCTAAAAAAAACACCAAAGACATAGTGTGTGTGTGTGTGTGTGTGTGTGTGTGTGTGTGTGTGTGTGTGTGTGTGTGTGTGTGTGTGTGTGTGTGTGTGTGTGTGTGTGTGTGTGTGTGTGTGTTGTACTTGTTTTTATATCCCGATGGGGACTTGGATGCACACAGACTCATGGTCACTGTGAAGACCAATATTAAGGAATCCATGAGTAATCATGATTATTAATGAATTAATTAAATAATTATATTATTTATTTATTTATTTATTTATTTTTGACTGGATTATCTGTTTTAGAATTTTTAACAAGATAACAATATTTTGGTTGTTGTTGTATTACTTATTTGGTAATGTAGTTGTCTTTTGTCAAATTTATAATATTATAAGTATTGTAACATCTCTTATAAGTCTTGTAATATATATAAATATAAATATAGCCTAACTTTCCCAGCGGGCACAGGACGGCAACATAATGCCAGGTTGACGTTGTACCCCAACATTGTGGGAACATTGCATTTTGTTTGGAAATAAAATTGGGGTGGACGTCAGAACCCAACGTCAGGTCGACGTCAGTGTCCAACGTCCAACCTAAAATCAACCTAATATTATTGTCTAATGATGTTACAGCTTGATTGTGTACGGATATTACCACTATGACGTCTAACTGATGTTATATTTAATTGACATAACCTCAAAAAAAATGTCAGTGTCAATATTATGTTGGTTTAAGGTGGCCATTACCACTATGACGTCTAGCAGATGTTGGATTTTGATGCCCATACTTGACGAATTAATGTCAGTATTTGACGTCAATATGACGTTGGTTTAAGATGTTGGCTCAACGTTGGATTTTGGTTACTTTCCAACACAACCTAAAATCAACCAAATACCAACATCTAATAATGTTACAGCTTGACGTTTTATGGCCATTACCACTATGACATCTATCAGATGTTAGATTTTGATTGCTATATCTGACGAAAAAATGTCAGTGTCAATATGACGTTGGTTTAGTATGTTGGCTACATGTTTGATATTGGTCACTTACCAACACAACCTAAAATCAACCAAATATCAACGTCTAATGATTTTACAGCTTGATATTGTGTGGCCATTACGGCTATGGCGTCTATCAGATGTTGGATTTTGGTTGCCATGCCTGATGAATAAATGTCAGTATTTGACCACAATATTATGCTGGTTTAAGATGTTGGCTCAACGTTGGATTTTGGTTACTTCCTAACACAACCTAAAATCAACCAAATATCAATGTCTACTGATGTTACAGCTTCACGGTGCGTGGCCATTGCCACTATGACGTCTAGCAGATGTTGGATTTTAATTACTATATCTGACGAATAAATGTCAGTGTCAATATAACGTTGGTTTAAGATGTTGGCTCAACGTTGGATTTTGGTCACTTTCCAACACAACCTAAAACCAACCAAATATCAACATCTAAGGATGTTACAGCTTAACGTTGCGTGGCCATTACCACTATGACGTCTAGCATCTTTTGGATTTTGATGGCCCTACATGACAAATAAATGTCAGTATTTGACATCAATATGACGTTGGTTTAAGATGTTGGCTCGACGTTGGATTTTGGTTACTTTTCAACACAACCTAAAATCAATTAAATATCAACATCTAATAATGTTACAGCTTGACGTTTTATGGCCATTACCACTATGACATCTATCAGATGTTAGATTTTGATTGCTATATCTGACGAAAAAATGTCAGTGTCAATATGACGTTGGTTTAGGATGTTGGCTACATGTCTGATATTGGTCACTTTCCAACACAACCTAAAATCAACCAAATATCAACGTCTAATGATTTTACAGCTTGATATTGTGTGGCCATTACGGCTATGGCGTCTATCAGATGTTGGATTTTGGTTGCCATGCCTGATGAATAAATGTCAGTATTTGACCACAATATTATGCTGTTTTAAGATGTTGGCTCAACGTTGGATTTTGGTTACTTCCTAACACAACCTAAAATCAACCAAATATCAATGTCTACTGATGTTACAGCTTCACGGTGCGTGGCCATTGCCACTATGACGTCTAGCAGATGTTGGATTTTAATTGCTATATCTGACGAATAAATGTCAGTGTCAATATAACGTTGGTTTAAGATGTTGGCTCAACGTTGGATTTTGATCACTTTCCAACACAACCTAAAACCAACCAAATATCAACATCTAAGGATGTTACAGCTTAACGTTGCGTGGCCATTACCACTATGACGTCTAGCATCTTTTTGATTTTGATGGCCCTACATGACGAATAAATGTCAGTATTTGACATCAATATGACGTTGGTTTAAGATGTTGGCTCGACGTTGGATTTTGGTTACTTTTCAAAACAACTTAAAATCAATTAAATATCAACATCTAATGACGTTACAGCTTGACATAGTGTGGCCGTTACCACTATGACTTCTATCAGATGTTGGATTATGATTGCTATATCTGACAAATAAATGTCAGTGACAATATGATGTTGGTTTAAGATGTTGGCTCGACATTGAATTTTGGTCATTTTTCAACACAACCTAAAATCAACCAAATATCAATGTCTAATTATGTTACAGCTTCACGTTGTGTGGCCATTACCACTTTGACTTCTAGCAGATGTTGGATTTTAATGGCCAAACATGACGAATTAATGTCAATATTTGACGTCAATATTACATTGGTTGAAGATGTTTGCTCGACGTTGGATTTTGGTTACTTTCCAACACAACCTAAAATCAACCAAATATCAACATCTAATGATGTTACAGCTTGACATGGTGTGGCCGTTACCACTATGACATCTATCAGATGTTGGATTTTGATTGCTATATCTGACTAATAAATGTCAGTGACAATATGACGTTAGGTTAAAATGTTGGCTCAACATTGAATTTTGGTCATTTTCAAACACAACCTAAAATCAACCAAATATCAACATCATTTGATGTTATTAGAGGTCAATATTATGTTGTTCTTGGATGCTGGTTAGACATTGATTTTTGGTCACCTGACGTCATGACCTAAGTCTAACTTAACATTAATGTCTTATGACAAAGTGTGCCTGCTGGGTTTGTACATTAGTTGTAGTCATTCTAGTTTCACTACCATTTATTTTTCATTGTATAAATATGTAAAATTCATCCTAGACCATTTAAATCTATGTCAGTCCATTAAATGTGCTTCAAAAATATTAGACTCGAGCATACTTTTGTTATATTGTCAAAATATTTTGTAGATAAAACAATATTTGGTTGTTTGATAAGCAAATTTATTCTCTTTTTTCTGACTGATTTTCTCAGCACAAATGCCTATGAGTAAATTCAAAAATGGATTAGAGTACAAGACAAAGGTTTTCTAAGTTGTGCTACTTTTAAAATGCCCCATTAATTCAGTTCTTTCTTGTTATTTTTTTTGTAACTGTGAACATTTGAGAATTTGTTTAGTGTACTTACTTCTGAATAAGATATAAAGCCACACTTTCCCTGAGATCTGGCTGTGTATCAGGTTAGTTCAAGTCTCTTTCATCAGCCTGAGGTTCATTCACAATAAGCGCAGATGTCTTGAAGTGTTCAGAATCTCATGCTGAGAGGCTGATTTCTGTTTTAAAGCTCACAGCTGTTTGACATCAAGAGCCACGTGAGCAGCAAAGATCTTTCCCATCATGCAAATATAATAGACTTTGTAAGGTGAACACATCTGCAAATCGCAGACATTGATGTAATAGGAGCGACTCCCTCCTCTTTAAATTGATTGAAGTGAATCAGTAATATAATTATTTTAATATTTTATTATAATTAAGTATTAAAATTAATAATGGTGTAATATCAATAGTAATAATGGAAAAATACAATGACACAAACCAAACACATCTATTCTAGCTTCTCTGTCAGTGAACATGCTTGTTTTTCAATGTTGTGAATATTGTTTATTTATTTATTATTAATTTGTATGTATTTGTTTATTAGTTTATATTTAAATTAATTAATTTATTTATTTATTGTTGTTTATATTCAATTTTTTATTTTGTACTTTTATGTTTTTTTCCACTGCTGCCATCACAGAATACTTTTTTCATCAAGAACTTTTGTTTTATTTCATTAATTATTTGTTTGTTTGTAAATATTTGTTTGTTTGTTTATTTATTAATTCATTTATATGTTTATTTATTCATTCATTCATTTATTCATTCTTATTTTTATTTTTTTATTCATTCATTTATTTCTTTTATTTTAATTAACAGTATTTATTTATTTATTTATTCATTCATTCATTTTTATTACATTTTTATTATTTTTTGTTTATTTATATATTTATTTTTGTATTTTAATAAACAGTACTTATTTATTTATTTTTGCTGTGTTTTAATGTTTTTATTTTGTATTATTGCGTTTTTTTTAATTGAATATTACTTTTCTCATCAAGAACTTTTGCAATATTTGCAGTCATTTTTTTATGACTTTGAATGCTAAATATCAGCTTAGTATTCATCTTAAAACAACTTTAGTATTTATTTATTTTATTTTTAATACATTTTTTTATTTCATTTATTTATTTTGAATATATGTTGATGTATTTTGTATTATTATTACTTTGAATGCTAAATACTAGTTAAATGCCATCAATATTATTCTGGTTGTCATTGTTGCTTATACACATTCTGGGTATTTCAATTTCTGATCTAATGAATCCACATTACTCTGAGGTCCTGTTTACTTTGGTATTAACATGGAGACTACAGACATGTTCTCTTGTGTTCAGATTTCCTTGAGACTTCATATTTTTCATGCTTGTAGAGAATAGAGCTGTTTTTTTTGTTTAGTTTTTTTGTGGCAGTTTGAACACTTTTTAGCACATAGGCATATACACTATCAAATCAATCCAATGTAATCTTTTTTCTTCACACAAATGTTGGAAGTTTGTATCCAACTCAAAATACTGTGTGTAATCAAACTGACAACAACTTATTAATAAACTATTTAATTAATAAACGTTCAAACTTGTAATTAAATGCATTTAATACCTGGATGAATGTGAATAACTTGAAGGATTCAAGACCAAACTTGGATGCTTCCCTTTGATTTTGTGTCAAAAAAATGTTTGTTGAAATGCCAATCACCTCAGGAAAATATGAAAAATGCTTTTAACTTCTCTCGTACTGTATATCTTGTTCACTTTGTACCTAATATATGCTGTATATATTAAAGAGAATACCATTTTAGTGCATATAAATATTGCTGTTGAAGTCTATACTATTTTTACAAAAATTTATTCAGTAAGGATTAATTCAATTGTGTTTAAGAAATGAATACATTTTATTTGATGAAGAAATACATGTTAAAATATATATATATATATATTTAAATGGAAAACTTATCTTGTAATAAGTTTTCAAAATGTTACTAATTTTAAAAAATAAAAACAACTTACTTTCCATCACTCTTTTCAAAAACGTATACAGTATGTACAGTATATTACAGTAAAGATGACTTACGGGTTCAATGATGGCCGGCTCGCCTTTCTGCCCTTTCTCTCCTCTCAGACCATCCACCTGTGGAAACCCAAACTCCATTTAATTAAGTCCAAATCAGTGTATTTCAGTCTAAACACAATGTGGATTATAAACATATACAGTCAAGCTCGAAAACTATTCATACCCCTGGAAAAGTCTGATTTAAAGTTACTTTGCATGTTTTTTGGGGACCGGAAATGACACAGGCTTCTCCAACAAGATAATATGATGACACAAGAGCGATCAATGTAGGAAAAAAATATTTCTTTAGGTAAAAAATATTTCTTTAAGTAACTTTAAGTCAACATTTGCCTGATGTCTGAATAATTTTAGGCTTGACTATATAGATATAAGTCACAGATATGGTAACAAATGTGTAAATAGTGTGACTTTCCAATCCTGTATGATACAACATGAGGAATCATATTCAAAAGAGTTTCAACAACAAGCATATGCATAATAATTATTGACGGGTAAATATTGATCACGATAAATCACATCTAAAACAAATGTTTGTTTTGACATAATATACTGTGCATATTGATTATGTATATATAAATACACACATGCATGTATATATTTAAGAAAATTGTTGTATATATATATTTAGATATAACATACAGTTGCATTTAGAGTTATTAAACCCCCTTTTTTTATCTTTTTAAAATATTTCCCAAATGATGTTTAACAGAGCAAGGAAATTTTCACAGTGTCTGATAATATTTTTTCTTCTGGAGAAAGTCTTATTTGTTTTATTTCGGCTAGAATAAAAGCAGTTTTTAATTTTTTAAAAGCCACTTCAAGGTCAAAATCATTAGCCCCTTTAATCTACATATTTTTTTCAATAGTCTACATAACAAACCATCATTATACAATAACTTGCCTAATTACCCTAACCTGCCTAGTTAACCTAGTTAACCCAGTTAAATGTCGCTCAAAGCTGTATAGAAGTGTCTTGAAAAATATCTAGTCAAATATTGCTTACTGTCATCATGGCAAAGATAAAATAAATCAGTTATTAGAAATTAGTTATTAAAACTATCATGTTTAGAAATGTGTTGATAAAAATCTGCTCTCTGCTAAACAGGAATTGGGGAAAAAAAATAAACAGGCGGGGGTGAATAATTCTGGGGGGCTAATAATTCTGAGTTTAACATTATAGCTTTAAAAGTCTGTCAAGGTCAGTGCACAAAGGTCTATCTCACACTCCCACATACTTGCACACACCCACACACACTATATACCATACAACAATATAATTTTTATCTAGAACCTAAGCTTTTTTTTGCACTGCAACTAATGATCAACAGTAAAATGAGTACATTGTGCATCTTCCCAACAGGCAAAACCAGCATGTCAGTGTCATGGATGTTTCCATCCAGTCTGAGATGATTTTGAGTCTTGATTTGGTTTCAGCAAATGGAATGATTTTTTGTGACAAATTTTATTTCGACACATATTTTGAGAATATGCTTTGGAATTTAAAACAAAATTCAACAATACACTCTGGGCAAATTGACTACCCTTTGTTTATGTTAGTGTTTTGCCCCATTGACTTCCATTATAATGACATTTTTTGATTGCAAATCCATGACACCATCCCAGCAGGCATACAACATCAAAAGACATTAATATTAGGTTAGATTTAGGTCATGACATCGGGTGACCAAAATTCAATGTCTAGCCAGCGTCTAAGAACAACGTTGTTTTGATGCTCTATAATGACGTCAAATTACGCTGATCTTTGGTTGGTTTTAGGTTGTGTTGGAAAATGACCAAAATCTAACGTCTGATAGATGTCATGGTGATGACGTCCACAAAAACGTCAAGGTGTAATCTGATTAGACGTTGGTATTTGGTTGATTTTAGGTTTAGGTTGATTTTTTGTTTGGAAATGAACATCGGGTTGACGTCAGAACCCAACCTGGTTTTCATTTCCAAACAAAATTCAACGTCCCCACGACGTTGGATATGTTGGGGTACAACGTCAATATGACATCATATTGATGTCCTGTGCCTGCAGGGATATAATCATGCATTCTTGATCGTTGCTGGTTTCGCTTGTTGGGAAGAGGTTTAATTTACACATTTTTACTGTTGATCATCAGTTGTAGTGCAAAAAAAGCTTGGGTTCTGGATAAAAATTATTATTAATATTATTATTAATAATATTAATATTATTAATATTGTTGTATGTAGTATAGTGTGTGTGTGTGGGCGTGTGCAAGTGAGAGAGACCTTTGTGCACTGACCTTGATATGTTTGAGAAATAAAAGTAAGCATGTGAGCTCTCAGAACATAGTAAACATGGTAAGTGTATTTCTACACAGACACTATAATCTGCTGTTTTCCTCCATAGCACAGGCCTATCTAAAGGGTTAATGCAGCCAACTGATGACCAACAGTAAAAATAAAAGGTTTTAACTCTTCCAAACAGGGTGAAAAACAACAACCAAGAACACATGGTTATTTGGTGTCATGGCTTTGCAATCAAAAAATCTGGCTATGATGGAGGTCAATGGGGCAAAAACAGCCACCAACATAACAAAAGGGTAGTAAATTTGAGCAGTGCACAAGGGTAAACATATTTTTTAAATATTGAAAGATTCTATAGCATTTCCCCCAAAATGCAGCAATATTTATTGTTATTACATTCTGTTATAAATGAACAAGTCATTCCAACCTTGAATGAAATTAAGTAAACAATCACAAAATTTGTCATAGTCAAGGTCAACTGTAGAATTATTGTAGACACAACCACCCTTACCTGTCCATAGATTTCATCGGTCTCGGCAGGAAGTGCTTTATCACCATCGGTGTACAAATCATCGTAATCGTACATCTTTTCCAGCTCAGCATCGGTGTAATCCGTGATGGACTCCTCTTTAAATTTGTCGATATCGATTGATTCTGCTTCTCCACCGATGCCTCCCTGTCCACCCGTGGCAACAGACTCTGCCCCCGCTGCAGCCCCTGCACTGCTGGTTCCGCCCCCAATGGAGCCACTTGAAGAAACAGACCCGCCTCCAACAGAAACAGACCCGCCTCCAACTGACACAGACCCGCCCCCAACGGACACAGATCCACCCCCGACAGACACTGAGGTGCTGGAGCTGCTGCTGCCTCCTCCTACAGTATAATCTCCTTCTCCGTATCCTTCTCCGTATCCCTCGCCGTAGGACAGATCATAACTCTCGCCATACTGGGCATCATCATAACCGCCGCCTCCACCAACCTGCATGGACAGACAAACAGAGATGGTTTGTTAAAAGAATAACATAAAATAAAATAAACAAATAAAATAGAATGGAATGAAATAGAATTAAACTTAATTAAATAATAAAATAAAAATGCACAAATAAAATACAAAAATAAAATGCACAAAATACAGAAATAAAATAAAATAAAACAAAACAAATTAAAAATAAAAAACAAAATAAAATAAAATACATGAATAAAATACAAGAAATAAAATTAAAAAAAATCTGTAAAATAAAAGCAAATAAAACACATAAACAAAATAAAAAATAAAATAAAATACAAAAATAAAATAAATTAAAATAAAGTTAAATAATATAAAATAAAATATAATAATAAAATACAAAATATTTTTTTTAAATAAAAATAATAAAATAATAAAATAAAATGCACAAATAAAATAAAATAAAATACAAAAAATAAAATACATTAATAAAATAAAATACAAAAAGAAAATAAAAATAAAAAAGCTAAATAAAATAAAATACACAAATAGAATACAAAAATAAAATAAAACTCACAAATAAAATACAAAAATAAAATAAAACAAATACAAAAACAAAGTAAAACAAAACAAATACAAAAATAAAAGTAAAATACACAACTTAAACAAAATAAAATAAAATACACAAACAAAATACAAACATTAAATGAAATGAAATGAAATGAAATGAAATGAACTGAAATTAAATTAAATTAAATTAAATTAAATTAAATTAAATTAAATTAAATTAAATTAAATTAAATTAAATTAAATTAAATTAAATGTTTGTATTTTGTTTGTGTATTTTATTTTATTTTGTTTTAGTTGTGTATTTTACTATTATTTTTGTATTTTGTTTTGTTTTACTTTATTGTATTTTTGTATTTGTTGTTTTTGTATTTGTGTTTGTATTTGTACATTTTTGGATTTTTTGAGGATTTTTTATTTATAACATAATAAAACACATTTATTTATTTTTTTAAGCACATTCATCATTTTCATTAGAACAATTTAGCCTATTTTATTGTCCTAAAAATAGTATATTATATGTTTTTCAAAATGTACAGACTGGATTTTATGAATAAACAACATATTTTTAATAATTATTACATTAGTTGGAAAGAAATGTTTCCATAGCAAAAGACTGAAATGCAGTTTGTTGCAATTGAATACTAAACGTAGTACTGACCTAAAACTGAACTAAAAATAAACGAATGTTAATAATTTATAAAATATATAAGTAAATGTAGCCTATTAATTGCACTATTTTTCCTTTAGATAGGATCCTCAAGTAAAATATTTTAAAAGATTGTTTTCCATAATTATAGTAACACTGCAGTAATAAGCTAATTTAATAAATCAATAAATATATTATACATAATAAATAGATTTTAAATTCAATAATTCAATCAAATAAACCAACAAATTCAACAATTTTTTTATTAGACTGGATCCACTTTAGTAAAATCCTCATAAGTAAAATAGGAACAATTTTTATGCCTTAACATTTAAATTAAATAACAATTAAATAAAACTTTAATTAAAAATTAAATTAAACTAAATTTAAATTAAATTCAAATATTAACCATTGCTGAGGATAACTAGTTAGTCATCCTGTTAGTTAGTAGTTAGATAACTAAACTCACTGAGGTAGAGCTGGAGCTGGAACTAGAGCTGGAACTGGAGCTGGAACTGGATCCTGTACTGCCCCCAGAGCTGGATCCGGAGCCGATACTGATCCTGGAACTGGATCCAGATCCGGAGCTGCTGATGATTCTGGTGCTGGATCCCGATCCAGAAGTTCCGTTTCGGATGATGGTGGTGGTGGAGTGCACTGTACCTCCTTCTCCTCCAGATGATGAAGATGAAGAAGTGATGATCCGCCTGTCCAGATCTACTCTACCCAATTGGTGGTCCACTTCTCCTAGTCCCAGATCCAATTCTCCAGCTGATCCAGTACCAGTGCTAGTGATGGTGATGGTCCGGGAGCCGTCAGGACTTGAGGTCGACTCGTCATAATAGGTTTCATATCCGGTATCGTATCCATCATATCCATCATACCGGTCCTCACCGGTATTGGCCGTGTTGGAGCTGGAGGAGGAAGAGGATGAGGAGGATGATGATGATGAAGATGATGATGAAGAGGATGATGAAGAGCCGCTGGATGATCTGCTGGAGCCTCCTGATCCACTGCTGATAACAGAGGTGATGACGCGACCGCTGTCCGGAACAGACACCTGCACAGCAAACAAGAGTTTATCAGAGAGTGCATATGATTTACAGATTCAATCCAGTTGACCACAGTATACTTTAATAATAAAATATACATTCTCTCTCTATATAATGTATAATCGTTTTTAGTTTTATAAATGTATATGTTTTTTTTTCTAAACAAATAAAATTATTATTAATTATTATGGTTTTTATTGTTGCTGTTTTTGTTATTAATTATTTTCACCACAATTAAATGACAGTTTCCTTGATTCAAATAAAGCAAAATAAAACAGTGTATAAACATTATTTTAAGACCTGCGAATATAGGAAATGATTAGCGATTGGATGTGATTTCGAGATTCAGTTTCTGATGCAATCAAGTTGAACCCAGTATATGTTGTATTAATAAAAATACATTCTCTCTACACTTATACAGTTGAAGTCAGAATTATTCGCCCCCTGTCTATTTTTTCTTCTAACTGTTACTGGTAAATAAAAAAAATAGATAGACAGATGGACGGACAGACGGATGGATAGACGGATGGACAGAATGATAGAAAGAAAGAACGAACGGATGGATGGATGGATGGATGGATGGATGGATGGATGGATGGATGGATGGATGGATGGATGGATGGATGGATGGATGGATGGATGGATGGATGGATGGATGGATGGATGGATGGATGGATGGATGGATGGATGGATAGATAGATAGATAGATAGATAGATAGATAGATAGATAGATAGATAGATAGATAGATAGATAGATAGATAGATATGGACAGACACAGACAGATACGGACAGACAGATGGATACAGTAGACAGACAGACAGACGGATAAACGGACGGATGGATGGACAGAATGATAGGAAAAAAGAATAAACAGATAAATAGACGGACGGACGGAAAAAAATTATAGAAAAAACGAATGAACGAACAATGGATGGATGGATGGATGGAAGGATGGATGAATGGATGGACCAACGGACGGACAGGCAGGTGGATGGATGGATGAATACAGTAGACAGACAGACAGACAGACAAACAGACAGACAGACGGATAGACGGACGGACGGACAGACAAACAGAATGATAGAAAGAACGAATGAATGATCAACCGACCGAACGATAGATAAAAAGTGAGACAGACAGACAGACAGACAGATAGATGAATAGAAAACATTATAGAAGGAATGAACGAACGAACGATAGATGGATGGATGGACAGATGGACGGATGGACAGAATGATAGAAAGAAGGAACAAACAATAATGAGATGGATAGACAGACAGACAGATAAACGGACGGACAGACGGACGAATGGAAAAATAATAGAAAGAACGAACAAACGAATGAACAATATATGAATGGACGGATGAATGGATGGATGGATGGATGGATGGATGGATGGATGGATGGATAGATGGACGGACAGATATATACTATTTTACAAAAAACAGAACTAAACACTGACTTCGGTTTCGGTTCCAGTGGTTTCTTCAGTTATCGTTTCTTCAGTCTTGTCTGAGTCCATGTCCTCATAGTAGGGATATTCATAATAATAGTTATCCTCCTCTGGGTTCTGAAGACAAACAAATAATACCGAGTGTTACTCACAGCTGAACATTCACATTTTAGAGTTTATCAGCATTCATATCAACAACCTCAAATATTTCAATACAGTATCATGCAATTAAATCTTTAAAAGGGACCTACAGGATTACGCCCCTTTTTACAAGATCTAAAATAAGTTTCTGATGTCCCAAGAGTGTGTGTGTGAAGTTTCAGCTTAAAAGACCCCACAAATAATGTTTTATAACTCTTTGAAACTGACCCTTTAGACTTGGATCCTAATTATGTAGTTCTGGAGACTGTCGCTTTAAATTCAAATGAGAATGTGTTCTTTTCAAAAGAGGGCGGAGCTGTGTCAGCATAGCAGCAGATTCAAAAAATGAGACTAATATCCTCTGCTAATGACAGAGAGATGGTCACTAATGGGAGGGGCTTTCCTCCTCTGATGACACTTACATAAGGTGAATGTCAATCAAAGTGTTCCTGCAGACTTTTTACTATTAGAAGCTGGTTATGTTCACACACTGTTGCCACACAACTGTGTTTAAACCACTTATACAAGTGATTTTGCATAATAGGTCCCGTTTAAATCAGTATGCATTATAATTATATAAGCAAAAAATTTTTTAAACAAGTTTCAGATGAAAAACAACACATCAAACTGCATACTATATCCATAAATGTATAATACTGCAGATGGAAGCACTTGGGCAAAATGAGTAATGCAGAAACACAAAATATTTCTGAGCCGCAGGACATCAAACTGAGTCTCAAGAGTCTCTCAAGCGGCTTGTAATTATGGCAATTATGACGATGATGTGAACGAAGCATATGTGAACATTATTTGTTCTCCTTAACAAAAAAAGAGTGGCATCTTGAGGGATTATTTTATATTTAAAATAGGCGAGTGAAAACAAATGAAAAAAATATATATATATCTATGTATATATATAGGCTTAACTTGGTTATTTAGGTTATAATAATAATTTAGTAAAAAATGAAATACTCCAGCCAAACTAAAAGAAATAAACTTTCTCAGGAAGAAAAAAACATTATAAGGAATACTCTCGGTCTTGATCTAATAGACTAGAGAAAAAGGAAAACAGGGATTCCCTCAAAGCCAAAGTTCAGGAAATCCACGTTCAGTCTTATCTAACATGAGGAATTGCTGACCTCTCGCTGCTGATTGCTTGCATTAGTGACGGAAAACTGCTCGGCTTTTCATCTGTTTGCCTGATATTTCACTGACGGATCTGGTTTTTGAAGGACCGGTCAAAAGTTCAGGGCTTTTCTTTTAAAGAAGCCCCCCTACTAACAGAGATTTACAGCTCCTGACACACACACAAACCTGAGGTCATTTCTGTGCCAAAAACACACATCAAAGACACATAAGAGTCCAGAAAAACACTCCACATTCTTTACTCACTGATAACTCTGCCATATGCTGGACACTAGAGTTTCTGATTGAAATGATCTTGCTTTTATTTATTTAGATTTCCATATTTTTATTTATTTATTTATGTATGTGTGTATGCATGTATGCGTGTATGTGTGTATGTATGTATGTATGTATGTATGTATGTATGTATGTATGTATGTATGTATGTATGTATGTATGTATGTATGTTTGTATGTTTGTATTTTTGTATGTTCCTAAAATTTAAATAGAATAGTATGATATTAAAAATGGCAAGTTTGATTTTAAGAGTAACAAGTTTTCTACAAATTAATTTGCAGTTGGTTAAAATGGATATTTTATGAAGTCATTAAGAATAATATGAAATATGCTCCTGGAAGATCAAAATAAAATACAGCATTTACAAATATTAAGACAACATCCTGAAATAATTAATATAATGTTCTAAAAAAAAAAAAAAAACTAAATAAAATAATAAACAGGTGTGGTGGCTTTAATAATAATAATAATAATAATAATAATAATAATAATTATTATTATTGTTATTATTATTATTATTATTATTATTATTATTATTATTATTATTATATATGTATTATTATATATTTATTATTATTATTATTATTATTATTATTATTATTATTATTATTATTATTATTATTACTACTACTATTATTATTATTATTATTATTATAACTACTACTACTAATATTATTATAAGTATTATTTTATAATAATAAATTACAGTAGAATATTATTATTATTTAATTGTTTTTTATTTAATTGATTAAATAAAAACTGAAATTAAATAATACTTTCTATTCTTCTAAACATTATTCCATACTATACTATTATTTTAAAATGTTGTTTCTGTGTTAGTGGTAATAACATAAAATAAAATAAAATTTTAATTAAATTAATTGGTAAACAAAAAAGAATCTAGTAACACATTACAATAAGATCCCATTAGTTAATGTTAGTTAAGAGCACACAATGAAAAATATTAATTTAATAATTTAATTCATTTAATAAAAATTAATTTATTTCTTGTGATTTTTTTCATGAATTAAATAAAAGAAATTAAATAGAAAAATAAAATAATATGAAAACAAATGTAAAAAAAATTATATAAAATTCTAAATGAACTACAGTTTTATATACAATTTTATTTTAAACAATTTCTTTAACTGCATAAAGTAAATTAAAATAAATATTTTTTCAATATTGGGGTGCAGCTGGAAGGGCATTCGCTGTGTAAAGCATATGCTGGACAAGTTAGTGGTTCATTCTGCTGTTGCGACCCCTGACTAACACAGGCACTAAGTGAAAATGAATGAATGAATGAATGAATGAATGAATGAATGAATGAATGAATGAATGAATGAATGAATGAATGAATGAATGAATGAATGAAAATTAAATATAAAATACTCAATAAAAAATGTAACAAAAGGTTAAAAAAAATATTACAGCATTTATTGGTAATGAAAAAAATTATGTTGCCTCACGTAATTACTGTTATATATTATTTTTATTTTTATTTCATTTTCACCAATAAAATAACTATATAATAACAATATTCTTGTAATATCTTGATAATATTTTGTTTTTGTGTTAGTGGTAAACAAATGAAAATAAAATAAAAAATAATAGATTAAAATGAAATATAATTTTTATTAAGTTAAATGTAAATTAAATACAAAATGCTGAATGAAAATACATTTATTACAGTATTTATTGTTAATTAATCAAAAAAAACTTAGCACAACGTTTGATTTAATAACACATTAATAAATGTTGAAAGATGATGAATAATTGTTGATTATTAGTTCATGTTAGTAAATACAATAACATTATCTAATGGAGCCTTATTGTAAAGTGTGGCCATTTTGCCTTAACAGAATATGTTATTCACATTATAATCCATCATACATTTATTTATATATACTGTAATACATAACACATTCATTTATTAAAACAATATGAACAGGTGCGCTCTGACAAGCTCCAATTAGATGAGACTTTATTTTCACGTCACATATTCTGTCTGTTTTTTAAAATGTTTTATCTATTACACGATTGTTAAATATTAAATTCTTCGCTTTTCAGTTGGATGAAGTTCAGTAATGATCCACTTTTTGATGCTCAGAACAACTGCTTGGCCTCGCAGTCAATCCCACAATTCCCTGGAGCGCGTTCTGCTAAGCGGCCATAGAGAATCAATTGAAAACGGTCAGTCATCTGCGTGTTATTCAGCTTAAACTATTTTCTCATAAGTTTTTGCATGCCGAATCTCTCAGTCTTTCATTTAATGCTTTCTCTTTCTCTCTCTCTCTCTCTCTGCAGAAGTTTAGAGGATATTGGTATCTAAGTGAACACAGATGGACAGAGGATGAACACCCAGTTGACCCCCTAAAATTAAAAGAAGTACAGAGTTTTCAGCACTATTTTTGAGGTCATCTAAGCTACATTACTCCTGAATGTTGTTTTGCTAAAATGTTAATAAATAAATAAATAAATAAATAAAAATAAATAAATAAATAAATAAATAAATAAATAAATAAATAAATAAATAAATAAATAAATAAATAAATAAATAAATAAATAAATGTTTCTTGAACAGCAATTTAGCATATTAGAAAGATTTCCGAAGGATCATGTAAATGGAATAATGATAAAAATTCAGCCTTACAATAAATTATATTAAAAATATTCAGATTTTAGTAAAAAAAAAAAAATCCAATTGTACTGATTTTTGCTGTACTTTAAATCAAACAAATCAGACATTTTCAAAAATAAAAAAGACTTAAAATTGCACAGTTATAAAAACATAACTTCTCATAAAAGTTGACTCTATAAACATTTTACACATTTAAAATATAAAGAATCTCTGTCACATTTGCTGTCTGCTCTTTTGACTTTTATTTTATACTTACTTGTTTTGACCTAGGTTATTTCCTAGTTTATTTCAGTAGTTACCCAGTTTAGTTTAGTTACTCATCATGAAGAATTTTAGTTTATAACCCCTTATTTAAGTTTTCTTTATTCCTGTTTTTACTTTATTTTGATGGTTTCTCGTTGATAGGCTGATTGTGTTACATTCTTGCTTTCCTAAGCTCTTTTCTAAGCCTTTGGTAATTCTGCTCCAAAGTTGTGTGTTTTGTTTTGTCTATTTTGTTTATTTTAGTTTATTGTTTTTACATTTATATACCATCATTTACTTTAGTTCATTGACCAATACTGTTACATTCTTGCTTTCCAAAGCTGTTTGGTTATTCTCTTATAAAATTGTGAGTTTTGTTTTGTCTACTTCCTTCAGTTTGGTTTATTTGTGAATAAAAGCTACAAATACACACTAACCTCCCTCATAAAGAACTCAGTGATTGCAACATAAGCATAAAACACAAATTAATACAGACGATTGGCATAACATCATACTTGATTTAGGATGCATTATAAAATGTAAGTTTCTGTTTCTAATTAGTTTTCATGGTTTCTCATTGATAGGCTGATTGTGTTCACCTGTGCCTTGTTTAGTTACTCATTTCCTGTTTATACACGCTCGGTTAGCTCATTGTCCAATACTGTTACAGTGTTGCTTTCCTAAGCTCTTTTGTTCTTCAGTTTTGTGTTTTTTTTTTTTGTCTACTTTGTTTATTTGATGAATAAAAGCTACAAAAACTTCCTCACTTGCCTCGTGCTTTTCTGCTGTCATGTTACATTTTCTAGTCTAATAGGAATCAAGCATTTTATCTAATGACAAAACAATGTACTTTACTATTTTATTAATACAGCATGTCAGTGCAAACTGAGCCTAAACCCTTTGCAGGCCGAGACCTGCTTTAGCTTTGCTCTCTTCTCCTCCCTCTATCACTCTCTCTCTCTTTCTCTGACTGATGAGGTCATTTGTTCGCTTGGAAAAATAAAATTCTAAACAGACTGCCTGCAGCTGGGTCTTTTCCGATGAAATGGAAACAGCCATAAAGTATTAATACGCCTGAAACACATACACACACACACACACACACAAGTGTGGGCAGGTATTACTGCATTTTAATTTCTTTCTCATTCCAAAGGCCAAATAAAAGCTGAATAAATATATAAATAGTCCAACAGTGAGTGCTTTGTGATGTCACATTTGCCAACTCTAACACTAAAACCAGATTTTTACATTTTCGTTAACAGGTTTTCATTAACGGGTTCACCATTGAGTGCAATAGTAAAAACTCCATTCATTTTCTCCATTGAGAATTTAACTTTTGAAGGATTTTTTTTAACCTTTAAAGAATTTAAACCTTTAAAGACAGACTTGTTCTTAGCGGAGTTATTTATTTTTTGTTTTTGCATTTGTTGATCTTACTTGTTCACATTTTTAACATATTGTCAAAAATATAATGTGTAACAATCGGTAGTGGAAAAAACTTCATTCCCCATAATGCTCTACGTAAATTCCACCAATCAGAGAGTTGTAGCTATTTATTAGCTTTTAACTCCGCCCACTCACAAATGGCATATTTGAGATAAATCTCTCTCCCTACACCCTCTAAAAAATAAAATAATTGGTATTGGTATATGTATTGCAATAAATAATAAATTTATGGTGTGATAAATATAATCAAGAACTGTAATTTTTTTATATTTGCACATTATTTAAGTTGTTGTTTATAATTCCTTATACGAATATAGATCTTTTCCTCAAAAATGCTGAAATGAAAATTCCACCAATCAGGGAGTTGCAGCTAGTACATAGCTTTTAGCTTCTCCCACTCCCTTGACAAACATAGAGATAATATGCTATCCTTACACTTAAAAAAAAAACTAAAATATTTGTATTTATTTATTTGGCAATGTATGCAAAATATATGTTTATATAGATATAATCAAGGAATATAATTGTTTTATTTTTTACCATTATTTTAAGTGTTTCATTCCCAATGCTTCATGGGATTGTAGTTCTTTACCTTATTGATGCTGTACAGAAAATCCCACCAATCAGAGAGTTGCAGCTAGTAAATTACGGTTTAACTCCGCCCACTCCCTCGACAAACACTGAATAATGTAATATATGTTTTTATAGACATAAACAAAACATTATAGTTTTATATTTCACCATTATTTTAGTTGCCATTTACAATGCTTCATGGGATTGTAGTTCTTTTCCTCGATAATACTGTACATTTTAGAAAATCCCACCAATCAGAGAGTTGTAGCTTGGAAATTGCATTTTAACTCTGCCCACCCCTATGAAAAACACTGATACATGTAATATATGTTTTATAGACATAAACAAGACGTTATAGTTTTATATTTCACCATTATTTTAGTTGCCATTTACAATGCTTCATAGTTCTTTTCCTCGATAATACTGTACAGTTTAGAAAATCCCACCAATCAGAGAGTTGTAGCTTGGAAATTGCATTTTAACTCCGCCCACCCCTATGAAAAACACTGAATAATGTAATATATGTTTTATAGACATAAACAAGACGTTATAGTTTTATATTTCACCATTATTTTAGTTGTGTCATTTACAATGCTTCATGGGATTGTAGTTCTTGTCCTCATTAATGTTGTGCAGAAAATCCCACCAATCAGAGAGTTGTAGCTTGTAAATTGCATTTTAACTCCACCCACTACCACGACAAACACTGAATAATGTCAGATATGTTTTTTTAGACATAAGAAAGACATTTAAGAGTTTTATGTTTCAATATTATTTTAGTTGTGTCATTTACAACGCTTCATGGGACTGTAGGTCTTGTCCTCATTAATGCTGTACCGAAATCCCATTAATCAAAGAGTTGCAGTTAGTGAATTGCGTTTTAGCTCCGCCCACTCCCTTGACAAACACTAAAACACGTAATATATGTTTTTATAGATATAAATAAAATGTTTTAGAGTTTTATATTTCACCATTATTTAAATTGTGTCATTTATAATGCTTCATGGGATTGTAGTTCTTTTCCTCATTAATGCAATACATAAAATCCCACCAATCAGAAAGTTGTAGCTTGGAAATCGCATTTTAGCTCCGCCCACTCTCCTGACAAACACTAAATATTGTAATCTATGTTCTTTTAGACATAAACAAGACTTTACAGTTTTATATTTCACCATTAGTGTCATTATTAGCCCCTTTCACACATTCAGACCTTTCCGGAAAATTGCCGGCAATTTTCCGGAAAGGTTGTATGTGTGAACAGGTCCTTTTTGAAAATACCGGTAAATTCGTTCTGGCTATTTTCCGGAAAGAGAAGTTGTAACATTACCGGCAATTTGCCGGAATGCTGCGCTGTGTGAATGCAGAAGGAAGATTGCCGTAATAAGCGCGTGCACGTCTAGAACGTGCTGACATGAGACACCTGCTTTAGCCAATCACAACAGTCAGACGCATTTACGTCCGCGCGGTTTGTGAGAATAAAAGCCTTTGAATATTTTTCCAGACACATTTAGCTGCTAGAAGTTAGTCAGATCATGTTTATATGTTCTTCTTAATGCCAACTGTGTAAATAATCATCGATGAGATGCTTATGATAAGCCGTTGTTTGTTTACCTTCAAGCTTTGCGTGTGCCTGTGAAACAGCCTGTGAGCGCCTGCACACGCACATATTATGAACATCTCGACATGCGAAAGTGATCCTGCGAAAGTTGTTCACAATATTGATCATCCACAGAGTTTGTAATTTAGTCAAATGTTTACAAATACAAGCGCAGCCGTTTAAAGCTCATTTGTGGTGAATGATGTCAGAATTTACCGGTATTTTGGAATGGATGTGTGAATGCTCTTTTCCAGAAAATTTCCGTAACATCCGCGCCTGTGTGAACAGCGCTTTTTTGAATATACCGGTAAAGTCGTTCTGGAAATTTTCCGGATATTTACAGGTATCAGTGTGTGAAAGGGGCTATTGTCATTGCCATTTACAATGCTTTATGGGATTATAGTTCTTTTCCTAAATTTAAATCAATTAAGTTCACAGTCTTGTCTTTTTGACATCTTTTCATGCACTTTTTGACTTTGAATGAAAGTTTATAATGTTGTGATTCTCCTCGTAGCTGATTATATTGGTTCACGGCTTATAAAACTTTAAAATATTCTTTTTTAAACCCCACCATGAGAAAAAATGAAGCCGTTGAAAAGTGAATAGCCACTAATGCACTGTATCAAGACCTCCGGAAACTGCCATGACTAGGGATAATTGTTGAACTTTTGCCTGACGTGGTGGCTTTATTTTGACAGATTTGGATTTAAAAGTGCTTAAACTGTCCAAACCCTTGACAAGATGTTCCTGACTGAACTGATTTCACTCTCTCTGTTTTGCTTTGGTTTTGTTCATACAAGCCAAGGATTTCTGGGACATCCTGACCTCTTCTCCTTCTCTACAAGGGAATGAATACTGGTTAAATGATGAGAACTTACAGATTGATCAGTGTTTGGGTCTTGGTTCTGGGGCTGTTCGGGTGCAGAAACCTCACAGTCTGGGCTGTAATGCTCACAGTAGTCAAACGCAGCTCGGTGGTCCGATACAATCATCAGCTGCTGGATGTCACCCTGTAACAAAGAGGTCAGTGATTACAACTTAAGCATAAAACACAAAATAATACAGATGATTGGCATAACTTCATACTTAATTCTGGAGGTATTTAAAAATGTAAGTTCCCTTTGTTTCTGTTTCTGCTTTGTTTTTATGGTTTCTCAAAGGTAGACTGATTGTGTTCACCTGTGCCTTGTTTAGTCACTTGTCATTTTACGTTTATATACCCTCAGCTACTTTAGCTCAGTGTACAATACTCTAACATTCCTGCTTTCTTATGCTCTTTTTAATTGATAGACTGATTGTGCTCACCTGTGCCTTGTTTAGTTACTCGTCATTTCATGTTTATATACCCTTAGTTGCTTCTGTTCAATGTGTAAGGCAGTTGCTTTCATAAGTGCTTTGGTTCTTCTGCTACAATGTTTTGTGTTTACTTTGATTAATTTTGCTTATGTGTAAATAAAAGCTACAAATACATCCTCAATGCCCTCATAAGGAGGTCAGCAATTAGAACTTAAGCATAAAGCTGCGGTCACAGTGGACTTTTCTCCCTATAGACTTCCATTCATATGCACGCGAATGTGTCAGACCGGAAACGCAAGTTTATGCATTAAGTCTCGCTATTCACTGCTAGGAAAGTTCAAGCTTGGTGAACTCTGACCTGCGAAATCGCATTATATGATTGTGTGAGACCAATCAAGGGTAAAAATGTGTGTGACCTCTCAGCACAGACATTTAAAACATGGACCATTCACTTGGTTTTTTTAAATGTCCAATCATCTTGTTTAACCCCACCCCTTTTTGCAGTGCTGTGCGACAGAATTTTAGTGCGACAAAATTCTAGTGTGACTGCAGCATCAAACACAAAATTAATATATGATTTAACAAGTATCAAAAAAATAAAGTTACCTTTGTTCCTGTTTATACTTTGTTTTTATGGTTACACATTGGTAGGCTGATTGTGTTCACCTGTGCCTTGTTTAGTTACTGGTCATTTTACGCTTATATAGCTTTCGTTGCTTTAGTTGAGTGTCTAATACCGTTACATAATTGCTATTCTAGGCTTTTTGGTTGTTCTGCTTCAAACTTTTGTGTTTTGTACTTTGTTTAGTTTTGTTCATTTGTGAATGAAAGCTACAAATACAACCTCACCTCCCTCATAAAGAGGTCAGTGAAAACAATGCAAGGATAAAACATAAAATTAATAGATGATAGCCAAAACTTTGCTGTGATTGTGTTCACCTGTGCCTTGTTTAATTACCTGCCATTTTACGTTTATTTACCCTCAGCTGCTTTAGTTCAGTGTGCAATATTCTTACATTGCTGCTTTCCTAAGCTTTTTGGCATTGGTAGACTGATTGTGCCTCGTTTAGTTACTCGTCATTTTATGTTTAAATACCCTTAGTTCAGGGGTGTCAAAACTCGGTCCTGGAGGGCCGGTGTCCTGCAGATTTTAGCTCCAACTTGCCTCAACGCATCTGCTAGGATGTTTCTAAAGAGCCTAGTAAGAGCTTTATTAGCTAGCCCAGGTGTGTCTGATTGGGGTTGGAACTAAACCTTGCAGGACACCGGCCCTCCAGGACTGAGTTTGGGCACCCCTGCCTTAGTTGCCCAAGTTCATTGTGTAAGGCAGCTACATTCTTGCTTTTCTAAACGCTTTGGTCCTTCTGCTCCAATGTTTTGTGTTTACTTTTAGTTTAGTTTTGTTTATTTGTGAATAAAAGCTACAAATACATCCTCACCACCCTTATAAAGAGTTCAGTGACTACAATGCAAGCATAAAACAAAATTAATACAGACGATTGGCATAACTTCATAGTTGATTCAGAATACATTAAAATAATTGAGTTTTCTTTGTTTCTGTTTCTACTTTGTTTTTATGGTTTCTCATTGGTAGACCGATTGTGTTCACCTGTGCCTTGTTTAGTTACTTTTTACATTTTACATTTATTGTGAAATTATTTATTATTATCTTAGTGTTTGTCTGTGTATATGTGAATGTACAGTCAAGTCAGAATTATTAGCCCCCTTTGAATTATTTTATTCTTTTTTGAATATTTCCCAAATGATGTTTAACAGAGCAAGGAAATTTTCACAATATGTCTGATAATATTTTTTCTTCTAGAGAAAGTCTTATTTGTGTTATTTCGGCTAGAATAAAAGCAGTTTTAAATTTTTTAAACACCATTTTAGGGACAAAATTATTAGCCCTTTAAGCTATATTCTTTCTTAGTCTACAGAACAAACCACTGTTACACAATAACTTGCCTAATTTCCCTAACCTGCCTAGCTAAACGAATTAACCTAGTTAAGCCTTTAAATGTTACTTTAAGCTGTATAGAAGTGTCTTGAAAAATATCTAGTCAAATATTATTTACAGTCATCATGACAAAGATAATATAAATCCATTATTAGATATGAGTTATTAAAATGATTATGTTAAGATCTGTGTTGAATAAATCTTCTCTACGTGAAACAGAAATTGGAGAAAAAATAAACAAGCGGTCTAATAATTCAGGAGGGCTAATAATTTTGACTTCAACTGTATTAGTAATTATCATCAGCAATATACATATCATTAAAAATATTAAAATACATAAAATTTGTCTGTCCAATGATGAGCTCATTACACACTTAAGTGAACAGACATAACAAATAAGAGAAAGATTTATTACAACTCCTGCAAAAGATGAGTTTCCGAAGACATTTTAATATAATACAGCGCAGATTCAGCAGGAACAAGGTTCAGTAATTGGTCATAATTGCCTTGCGGTTCAGTAAGTGAGTCAGATTAATTCAGTTCAGCTCAGAATGATTCAGAAGAGACTGGGAGAATGTAGACGTCCAACAACCGTTAACAGAAAAACCGAATAAAAACTGCTTTAAGCTGCCAAGCCTGACAGTCAAATGGACACTAATGCATTAAAGACGCATCTACAGCAATCAGACAACAGTGTGAATCATCACATTCATCAGAGAGTCAAAACACCACCGTCACATTCATGCAGAATTCATAACACACAGAAACACACAGACGAGAGCTTTCTGCAAAACAGCTGCTTGCTTTCATTCAATAACCATGGTTTTTGGAAAAAATAATGAATACAATATGGAAAAGGGATGAAACACCTGTTGGAATGGGACAGGAAACACACACACACACACACACACACACACAGTAAAAAAGTGGGTCACAGTCTGGGCGGAGAAAACTGAGTCACAACTTGATGCCAAAACTGTCCAAACGAATTAGGGCATTGACCAACACCTGTACCCACACAAACACAGTGTACACACACACAAACACACACACAAACATTCAGACGCGCACACAGTCACATAAATCATTCAGATAAACACACACATAGACATAGAGACACACTCACACATATAGACAGACAGAGAGAGACACACACACACATTTAGACATGTACACACACATACAGGCACACACAAACACAAATATAGAGACACGCAAACAAATGCAAAACATACACACATAGATACAAACACACAAACAAAACAGACACCACACACAACCACACGTCTAGTACATTCACAAATACACACACACACACACACACACACACACACACACACACACACACACACACACACACACACACACACACACACACACACACATATAATACCAAAACACAAACAAACACAATCACACAAACACATACAGACACACACAAACTTGTACGAACACACACACACAAATACAAACACACACACACAACCACACATATAGGGTCAAATAGAGACACTCACACATACAGAAAGACAGACACACACACATGCAAACAACAACCAAATTCAGACACATATACACAAACACAGAGACAGATGCGCACACAGACAAATACACAAAAACAAACAGATGAACAAACACACACACAAACAATACAGACACACAAAAATCATCCCACAAACACACACAGATACTTGTACGAACACACACACAAATACAAACAAACACACACACACACACACACACACAAATGCACACATGCTCACAGTGTACACACATACACAAACATTCAGATGCATACACAAACACACACACAAACTTTCAGACACACACAACCACACATATGGGGTCGCATAGACACACTCACACATACAGACAGAGAGACAAACACACACATACAAACACACAAATAGACACAGACACTCACACATTCAGACACACACACATGCAAACAACAACCAAATTGAGACACATATACACAAACACAGAGACAGATGCGCACACAGACAAATACACAAAAACAAACAGATGAACAGACACACACACAAACAATACAGACACACAAAAACCATCCCACAAACACACACAGATACTTGTACGAACACACACACAAATACAAACACACACACACACACACAAATGCACACATGCTCACAGTGTACACACATACACAAACATTCAGATGCATACACAAACACACACACAAACTTTCAGACACACACAACCACACATATGGGGTCGCATAGACACACTCACACATACAGACAGACAGACACAAAAAGTGCCCGGTCTGCCAGATGGCCAGTCCGCCCCTGGATGTCATTCAAGCAGTCCAAACTCCATTGTTTTAGCAATGATAACCAAACAGAAACCATTTATTCCTAACTATTAGAAACTTCCAAGATCAGATTGAATTCACTGAAGCACCGGTTTGACACTCCTTCACACAAATCTTCAATTAGCAATCAGTCTGCAAACATTAACGGTGGAAGGTCTGTGTTGTTCTGTGGCAGCATGGATGGAGGAGGTTAATAGTGGCTATACTCCCATTAGATTTGACTGTATTTTGGTTTACATGTGTTTTCTCTAATATTTACAGTATTTAATTACTTTTGTCTTTATTGGTTTATTTAGTCGTGTCATTTGATCTGTTTAATTTGTTTTGAATTGTAAAAACAATTACAATCATCATGTGCACTTGATTCGTGAACAAATGACTCTTTTAAAACACTCAAAAAGACTCAGAATCAGCAGAGCATC